CCGCTTTAAATGTTTTGGTATCCGTATATGGGCGCTTTTTAAAGCTCCAAAATCATCAAAAAAGCCTTCTTGGCTCAGTTGGCAGAGCGTCTGCCTAGTAAGCAGAAGGTCATCAGTTCAATTCTGATAGAAGGCATTCATTTTTTTGCCAAAATGCAATTTTCGTGTGACGTTTGTCGTATTTTGTTTGGCAAAACTTTCTAAAAAAAAAAAACTCGTTTATAGAAGAGCACGCTAATTTCAATTCATCTTTATACTCTTTTTTTTTTTTCTTGTAGACGCTTGCTCCAGTTCGTATGACCCGCTTTTTTTTTTGGTATTTACACAACGTAAATACAAGCATCATCGCTCAAGAAAACTATTTGGGGTGTTATACATGGTACATCATCTCTCTTAACCCGTTCTAGAAGTTGACAGATGCAAAAAAAATAGTAAACAGTTTCATCAATTTTTAAAATAAAAAATAAATTATCTAATTTAACAGTAAAACGATATACAATTTTACCATTTTCACAAAGACCTTCTTTTTTTATATGTATACATATATTATCATTATCATCCGAACTGTTTATCTTGCTTGATTATAACATCTGATATAAGCTTTCATTTGATCATCGTACATAGCTTGCCTAGTAATCAATATAAATATAATCACTTCAATTACAGACAGGGGCAATGCTAATTTAGAACGTTATTGAATATTATAATGCATCATTAATTTAATTAAACAACTGGAAAAAAACAGTTTTGTTTCTCTCAAATCATAAGGTGCAATACCGGTTATAAAGACAGAAAATATAAGAGCTCCTGGAGTAGCATCGAATAGTAAAACATGTAAAAGTTTCTGTGATGAAAAATAAAGCTAATGTCACTCATGAGTTATGATAAAAAATGAATGATTATTTTACAGCTGAGTAGCGCTCATGGAAGAAAAATAAAAAATAAAATAAAAGTTATTACTTTAAAGGTAACCCAGAGATTTTAAAGAAGCTGGAAGCAACACTGTCCTTATACGACAGAAACATTCATTGTGGATAACTATGATATTCACGAACACTACTCTCTAATGACACTCACCTATCTAACTTTTCTTAGTTGCTGACTGTATTTCAATGACATTTTAGAAATTATATTTATGCGTGGAATCTGTAATAGACTATAGTAATAGATTGTATCATTTATGTGCATATTGAAATAAAGCGAAGGAAAAATAAGCTAAATGGATGAGACCCTTTCATCCTTGGCAAGTATTCCATTATAAGGTTAAGCATTCTTCTTTCTGTATGGTTTTAGATTTACCGTGCTATTATAAAAATAGGATGTAATATTACTAGACATTTATAATATACATTTCAAACATCACACATATTAAGCAGCCTGACGAAAAAAAAGGGGAGGGGAAGTTTAAAGCATCTTCAAGACCTTTACAAGAGAAAGAATATCAGAATTATTTGCTAACAAAAAATAAGATAAATAATATTCAATCTTGAATTTCCATTTGAAGAAAACTTTTCATTATTGATACATTTATTCATTTAATCAATTCTAGGTCTCACTCAGAAGTTAACAAAAAAAAAAAAGCAATAGGGAATGAGAAATGAAGAATTTTTTTTTTGGGTGGCGTCAAGTTCATCAAATGAACCAAAGATAAAAGGTATTTAACTCGCAAGAATTCTATCCCTCATCACTCTGCTTTAGAACATTGAGGGTAGCAAAATGGAAAAGGTTATTCAAGATTCTAATCCGCAAACTATCTTAGGATCTGTACAAAGTCCTACAGTCAAGTGATTTAGGCTCTTACGGCTAGTCTCAACATTGAAAAAAAAAAATGAGTACCCGTCTTTATATCTTCCACTAGAACATATGTAACAGATATATATATATATAAATGGAAATGAAATCGTTATCGATTTGTGAAACAGACGCTTTGGTTGGCGGTATTGAAGTTTAGAAATATCACGTCTACAGGACTGAGCCTTTATACATTTAGATTTTGAAAAAAAAAAAGGCACTTTAACGAGTATTTTAGATGGCTTTTTCATAAAGTCCCTTATCTCTTTCTTCTGATAATGTGTCCAAATGATTCGAAAGTTACTGACAGAGGAAAATTGTGATCTAGGTAGATCGCATCTGGTTCCTCCCCCCCCCCCTTTTTTTTTACCTGAATTTAACGTGCAGGGACAAACTATAATAACTGCTTTTCAAATTCAATAATTAACTTACCACTTTATCATGCAGAATGTGGTATGGCGTGGTTTAAACTATGCATAATTTGGATTTGGTAACTCATTGAAAGTGGTTGTATACCTGCTAACCCAGTATGAACAATCCCCAAACAGATTTGTGATTTAATAATAATAATAAAAAAAATATTACAATGCAACAGATGGGAAAATGGTTTTTTTTTTCTTTCTTTTGAAAAGCGGAATAACACAGAGTAAGATAAAAATGTACGGTGTAATTTGCCACTCTGTTGAACCGACCGAATAAAAAGAGAACGTACTAGCTTTCCAAATTTTTTTTTTTTTATGTTTGGGAAAAATAAAAAAGTGTTCCGAAATGATGTGTTTTAAAAGCGTAGCACCAGCAAATGGATAGTCCGGGGTGGGGGCATTGTGAGCTAGCACGCTTTAATTAATGTCGTGTCTGATTTTGTAGAACAATGCTATTTTTACCAGATCAAACAAAGGATTTCTATTGCAAGAGAATGGAGGGATGCTTATTCTCCTACCAAAGAAAAAAAAAGAAGCTTTTTATTGTGCTTTTGTTTTTTTTTTGAAAGGATCTACGTGTGAGGTTATTATGACATTTTTTTCAGAAAAAAAAAAAAAGTGAGGCATGTTACACATAAAAACGTGGAGACTCTAAGCCACCCCATGTGTAAGTGTAATACTTTTTTTTTTTTTCTTGTACATTATTTTTTTTTTCGCGCACTTTTAAACGGCATGGGCAAACAAAGACAAAAGAAGAAGACACCCAAGCGACGTACGAATCCCATTCAACGAAGACTTGAACAAGGTGTAAAAGAAGGTGCTAGTAACTTGCCTCCACCCACTACTGAACAAGTGACACCTGTTGTCCAAAGAGTAACGCACAATAAAACAGTTTTGAACCCCCTCAAACAATGACAATTATGCATTCTTACACGCTTAAAAAAAAAAAAAAAAAAAATAATAATATAGCTTTCTTCGGAAAACCCAACCGAAAGAGCTTGGTCAGCGGCTTGTATTTCCACCTTGATTTTATCAAACGCTTCTACCCGAAAACTATTGCTGTCTAAAGGTGTGGTACCCATTCTAATTCAACGTCTGAGTGATCCACAACAAGAAGTTCGTGATGAATCGTTGGGTGCCTTACGGTAAGTTCTTCTCCCCCTTCTGAGACCCATTTTCTAATATGTATGAGGATAGAAATATTGCGTCAGTGGATCATAGTGTTGCCAAAGAATATTTCACCAGAAACATTATGGAACCTTTATCCACCCTCCTTCCTCAGGTAAAAAAAAAAAAAAAGAATTGTTTCTTGCATAATACAGTAAAAAAAAAAAAAAGGGCTGAAATGGGATTTATTCCGTAGATTACACAAACAATCGATGCTGTGATAAAGGGAACACCCGCTCAAGATGAAGCAGATGCAGATAGACGGAAGTCAATTTGGGATGTGACTGAAAACTTTATTTACATCATTTGGTGTATTTGGTAAGTTCTCTATTGTGTATCAAATGATCTTTCTGCAATCTCTAATTTTAAAATCATGTTAGTGAAGCGTCTGATAAATACATCAAGGCTATTAATAGAATGAATATCATTACATTCTTGACATCATTTTTGTTATCAGGTGATCAATGCCCTTCGAGAGTGGTCGTAGCAGCAGGTAAGTTGATTGGGGTTTATCTCATGAGTGAGGCTGACTAACTGTTTCTATCAGGACAATGCTTAAACACGCTGACGGATGACAACAAGGATCTGCTTATTGAATTTCAGAACAATCCTCAATACGTGGAATCCTTATTAAATATAATCAAGCATCCTAATGGAAATACCATGGTCCAAGTCTTATCATGCGGTATTATTTTTTTTTTTTTTTTTTTTTGCTTATCAAAGATACCAGATAGAGAAAAAAAAAAAGGGACGCTAATCATATCTTTAATTTTAGCTATTTTAATCAATGTGCGTCAAGTAGTACGACTGACAACATCCTGGGATGAAGATGTAGATGTAGTGAATGAACTGAATAAATTACTGGTACCTGTACTTATCAAGGCACTGGATTATGATATCCAATCTGCGGCTGTGAATACGGTGTCTGCCGTTCAAAGTGGGGTAAAAAAAAAAAAAAATTCCCAATCTTTTAGGACAGTTTGTTTACAGATAAACTAAACCATTTCCCATTCTTCCATTTTTTATGTTTTAAAATAGAAAATCACACCTCATGAGGAATCGGGAGAAATTACCCCAAAACCTAAACAACCCTTAACAAATGAAGAGGTAATTTAAAAAATGGGCAAAGCGGCGGGAACATACAGGACCCAGCAGTAATCTCAAATCTTTTATCCAGATTTACGTTCAGGGTGTGCAAGATAGTCTATCGATCACTCAATTGGCCCTGGAGTTATTAGCTGACATTTGTGTTCATGATGACGATTCAGAAGGTACCTCTTCTCCCACCCCCCCTTTTTTTTTGATGCTTCGTATGTTAAACATTTAGATTATAGAGGATGGATTTCAGGAAATGGATGAAGCCATGGCAGATGAGAACGAAGAAGAGGAAGAAATAAAGGAGGAAGAGGAGGAGGAAGAAGAAGCGGAGGAAGAGTTAATCTGGGGTAAAACATCATCAGCTGTAGACGAGGCCCTGATTCAATCGAACCCTGTTCTTCATGCTTACATACACCAAATATTCCCACAGTTGATCCGTCTTTCTACGGCAACTCCGATTTCTTACCATCAAATGAACCTTTCTCCGCTTGTCACACAGGGCCTTGTGACAACGCATCAACGTGCTTTGGAGTGTCTCAATAATTTCCTCTTGACCATGAACGACTTGCCAAAGAAATACTGGTTTAAACAGTACAGATCCGATGCCGTTCAGTTATGGCGTTGGTTATTTGATATGGCCAATCAGGTTGCAAGTAGTCAACCAGAAGAATGGGCTAGAGATTGTATTTTGGAAATTGTCATTAGTTGTATTTGGGCACTTGGACGTGGACTTGGACAGGATATAGTAAGAAGTGAATCGGAGTTGTATTAGATAATAACCCTAATCTATCTTTTTTTTATTTTTTTTACTAGCCGCTTCATGAGACGGATGTGGGAGCATTATGTGGGACCTATGAGATGATTCCATTGGAATCAATGCGAGTAAAAATAGTCGGCTGTTTGGGTCCAATTGCAATGCGCTCAGGAGATGTTCAGACAAACAAAGTAAGTGGTAGCACAAACAGAGATGTGTAAAATTAATTTTAGTAACTCTTTTTCTCATTAGACAATCGGTATCTTTATTATGAATTTGTTAAATGACAAGACAACCAAACCAGCTGTTGTAGTTGAAGCACTTGACTTGTTATTTGATGTTTACAGTGATGCCCAATTTGATTATGATTTACAAGTATTTGTCGAAGGCGCCTTTTTAAATAATTTGAAACAGATACTCCCATCCATTCGTTCCATGGTATGTTCTCTTCTTACCCCACCTTTTTTTTTTTTTTTTTTTTAACTTTTTTTCTCTCTCAGGTAAAATCCATTGATCGTAGAAAGAATTTTGACCTCAGAATGAGAGGTGATGAAGCACTAGACAATTTAAACGCTTTTATTAAATATAAAAAAACCGAGAGAAAATAATCTTTTTTTTTTTTGTCTAAACCAATCAATGTCGTTCCATGGGATAACAAAAAAAAAAAAAAAAAGAGTGAAATGATAAAAAATATATGCTTTATTATATCATGTAAAATTAAAAAAAAAAAAAAAAAAGAAGGGTTTTAGCAAACAGGGTGCAGTTTTTCAGGGTTGTTCATCATAACGTAATCTGTATATATTTTTATCTTTTTTTTTTTCTCTTGACAAATATTTGCGTGGGAATTCCTTAATTGAAACCTTACAAATAGTCCTTTGGAGTCACACAGAAATAAAGGACCCTTTTTTGTAAATGATTATCAAGTCCGATTTCTTATAAGAAAGGGAAGCGGGATTCTCCCTTTCTTTTTTTATATATTTTTCTTTTTTATCTTTTTTTTTTTTTTATAAAACACAATATTAACTTTATGGGATTCAAATTACCCTTTCGCTATAATGATCCAAACTTTCAAGTTTTCTTGGTCGGATTTATCTGTTTCTGCTGTCCCGGTATGTTCAATGCCTTGAACGGTATGGGTGGTGCAGGTCAGTCTGATCCCAAAACTACCAATGATGCAAACACTGCCTTAGCAGTTACCTTTACTGTTTGTTCCTTAATTGGTGCCCCTGTGTAAGAAACACAACCAAATGATGAAAAAAAAGTTATAAAATTATTAACTTTTTTTTTATAGTTTCAATATCTTTGGTCATCGTATTCTTGTTCCTGCTGCACTTGCCTATCTTCTCTATGTGGGTTCTTACCTTACAACAAACGCTGCATTCACAATTGCTACTGGTGCCATTCTTGGTATCGGTGCCGGTTTCTTATGGACAGCTCAAGCCGGTATCATGATGTCTTATCCTGACGAAAAAGATAAGGGTAAAGCCTTTTCGATCTTTTGGATGGTTTTTAATTTAGGCGCCACTGTTGGTGCTGCCATTCCATTGGGTAACAACTTTACCAACGATGATGGTGCAAACACTGTCAAGATTGGCACTTACATTGGTTTCATGTGTATCATGGGTTTTGGTGCCTTCCTCTCTTTAGCTCTCTTACCCGCACACAAAGTCATTCGCTCCAATGGTTCTCCTGTATCCCTTCATAAATTCTCCAACTGGAAACGAGAGGCTGCCGAAATCTTCAAGTTATTTCTGGACTGGAAAATGATTTGTTTAATCCCTCTGTTTGCTGGTTCAAACTGGTTTTACACCTATCAATTTCAAGTTTATAACGGTGGTGGCTATTTCACGCTTCGTGCTCGTTCTTTAAATAATTTATTGTACTGGCTTTTCCAAATTATTGGCGCTGGTGTCTTTGGTTGGTTGCTCGATTGGGCTAAACTCGGAAATCGTAAAACGCGTGCTATTCTCGCCAATACCTTTATTTTAGCTGTCTTGTGTGCTTCTTGGATTGGTTGTATCTTTGTCCAAAGAAACTTTACCTACGATAGTGTCAAGGTCAAGGGTTATGTCCAAGAAGATATCTATTCTCCCAATTATGCTGGTTATGTCATCCTCTACGCTGTCTTTGGTTTCGTTGATGCTATCTATCAAGGCTTTATTTACTGGTTGCTTGGTACAATGACAAATGACACCGAACGTGCTTCCAGATACGGTGGATTCTATAAGACCATCCAAAATGCCTTTGCAGCTGTTTCATCTCAAGTGGATGCAGTGCATACACCTTTTATGACACAAGTTTATATTAACTTTGCATTGGAAGGTGTGGGACTTCTCTTGACCTATATTGTTTGTTTCAAGGTGACAGATGTCACGGTGGAACAGGTGGATAACTTGATTGATGGTCATACTCCCGAAGTCATGGTCGGTGGTCAAATCGAAACCATTGAAGATGGTGGAAGTATGGAAAAGAACAATTATACTATTTCTCATTCCTCTTAAAAATCATACCTCTCTCTCTTTTTTTTCTCTCTCTCTCTTTTGTAATATAATATAATAAATAATTTTTATTCCCCCCCCCCCTTTTTTTTTTCATCCCCAAAATCTATTTTTACCCTTTTTTTTTTTTTTTTGTCGGGCGTGTCACAAACGAGCTTTAAAATATAATGCACGGGAAACTAGACCCTAATTTTTTTCTTTGGTAAGCAATTCATAATAATTATATATAAAAGTGTCATTTCTCTTTGTAGCACTGATATGTCAAAATATAGGTGACCAATATCAAATAATTTTGTGTCCACGAAACACCAAAAAAAATAAAAAAACTATATCTTTATACGTTACACCATTATATTGCATTCCCAGTAAAAATATTAATAATGAGAGTTGTAGCTAAATTTGATCACCCACCCCCAATTGTGATACCTCCGAAGAGATCGGAGAGAAAATAAATAGGTGCTCTCATGGCTAAAAATATCGCCCTGCTATTCCCTTATAATTTTTTTTTTTTTTTTTTGGGCAAAAGGATAAGTTTCTCATTGGTATCCCTTAGACCAGTGATGTTCCTCTTTCATTGGCGTTATAATATACGTGAGCATGTCTGTTTGTGAATCTAGAGTTTTCTAATCTTTGAATTATCTTGACAGGGTCTGTGGTAATACTAATTCGATCATAAGTTCTAAATATTATTATTTGGTCCCCCCCCCCCTTATGATTGGAAGCTCGTATTTTAATGGTTAAATTTAGTATTTTTAAAAAAATATCAAACTAAAATTAGGTTCATTGTCTATCATAAAAGCTCAACATTTGACATCATTTACTCTTCAAGAGGAAGATAGATAAATTTATTAGTCAATAAGTTCCCTGGAGGAGGTGTTGCAAAAATCTTTTTTTTTTTCATTAGTGTATTGCTTACCCACATCTTCTTAAAGTTTATCCATGTTATTAAAGGATAACTCACTTCCTCCGAGTCGTTGTCTGGCAGTAACTCTACCCTTATTCAAATTGCCCATCTTCCACTTATTAACCGCATTAGACTTTATTCTTCATTCTGAAGGGGGTTTTTAACATTCGTGCTCGGTAGTTTTTCCACACTTTGTAACATTCATTCTTGGAAATTCTTGTGCTCAACAAAAACGATCTTTCCTGTTGTGCGCGTCTTGTGATTCTTAGCAAAAAAAAAAAAAAAAAAAAATTGGTTTTTGGTGGAATGCTCTTACTGTACTGATAGATACTCCTTCTTTTGGTATTTCTTCAACATTGAAAGCTTGTTTGCTATTTTCATCAGATTTTATCTAGTTTACCATCGTCACACATAAGACTATTTGTTCGTTGATCGCCTCTTGTAAGTGCATTTTTTGCAAAATCCTTTCTTGTAGACACCACTGTGGATTTCCTCAATCATTACTTGATTCAGCTTATTGGGTATTAAAAAATCGCATGTTGTAATCTTCAGCAGTTTCATTTATTCTTTTTTTTTTTTTCATCGGTGTAGCGCGAATCGTTTTTGTTGGATCCGGGGACTTATATCTTTTTTTCCATATTCTCTGACCAACGTATTTCTAATTTTGATTCCATCGTACCCTCTATTTCTTGCTTGCCCTCGCATGATTCATAATGTAGTTTTTCCCTTTTTTTTTTTTCGTAGGTTCCTGACAAACAATCCTGGTATTCTTTCAACATATCCTTCAATATTCTTCACCACTCTTCTCTTAGTGCTTATGAACATGAAGTTTCCACCGAGATAAAAAAATGTATACCTGTAGGGTACAAAAGCATGGGCATCAAGACGAAGGTTCTTGGCAGTCCTTCATCATTAATTCAAGCGTGCTTGTTCACATGCGATGCTTTCGTTGTTCATTCTTTAACACTTCTTCATCACCAATGCTTGGCTTTGACAAGTTGGATCGCGTTCAAATTTATTATGACAGGAATCTTTTTCTGATTTCATTGCTCCCTTTCATTGTAGGTTTTGATTCGTTCATTCGTACACTATTTTCACACCAGTTTTATCCGTCTAAGTCTTTATAGTTGCTGTTCAAATCCATATTGACAGTCTTGTCAAGTAGGGTGGAATCCTGAAGATTGTTTAAGTAGAGTCTCAAAAAGGAAGCGAAAAAAATGGTGCATAACGAAAAAGATTTTATTTGGGCCTATTATAATATCGAGTGATTCTGGACCAATAAGTTGTATTGGTGCCAAAGTTTATAATTGTCTGTTTATTTATTTAAGACCGATAATAAGATCTTGTCTCAGCTGCAAATCATTACTGATACCCCTTCTGATCTTGATTACCTGGAGCCAATGTCTACACCAACGTCCCTTTTTTTTGAGTGGAATCTAAAAAAAAAAAAAAAGTCCCATTTTATGTTCTATAGTGATTGCAGTTAGAACAAGGCAGAGATTCTAGAATTCACATCCAATTAACAAGATAAACTTTGCCCATTATATAATAATCATAAGATTTGTAAACAAAAAAATAAGATTCATAATCGTAGCAGGGCATGGCGGATGCACCTTAGTTTTTTTCTTTTGGCTCGCTGTTTTTTTCTTTTATCATTTTTACTCCATTTCTGAAAACCCTATTTACAACACGTTCCACTAATTGATACATGCTATTATTCTAAGGACCGAGTTCCGGATTGTTTGTATATATTAGGGGAGGGATATTTGCAGATGTTGAGTAAACAAAATAAAATCTGACGTAAGCTCTTGTTTATCAGTTTACGAATAAAACCCGTTCACACACACTTTTTTTCCCTTCTTCCCTTTTTATAAATATATATATATATTCATCACATGTATCTTTTTGGAATATGTGAAAAGGTTAGTTAATAACAACTTTTTTTTTAAAAAGAAACGCTAACATCATACGTCTTTTTTTTCAAAGTATACCTTCGGTATGACCTTCGCTTCGCTTCGGTAAATTTTTTTGGCCTTCACTCATGGTATGGTATCGCTGCGCTTTTTTTGCAATAAAATAATTAATATTTAAAAAAAAAATAATAATAATAATTAGGCAATGGACCCAACGATCCATTGATATTTTGGGTAAAACTGCCTTGTTCTTTACAAAACAAAAGGGGGGGCTGTTCTTCTGGCAAGTATTTAATATCCAGCTCTCGTTGGAAGTGGTACCTTGGTGGACGGTTTCGATGGGTCGTAAAACAACAGCCACAGGGGGCGAGCTAACTTTGGGTCACCACAAGAAGCCAGAATTTTTAATAGGGGGAGGCGGGAGGACGGATTATTCCCTCCCTCCTCCCAACATAACGATCCCATAGTATTGCGCATTCTGATTCTTGCCCATCTTGCTGGGAGTATAGCCCTAATTCAAATTGGTTGAAAGACCATATAAGGTCGCACTTAACACCACAAGAAACATCGCTCGAAATATCGATCAAGGTTAAGAAAGACACATACAACTTTCGTGACGCGACGTCATCTCTGAAGGATAGCAAGAGACCTAAGATTACAAAAGAAAACGTCCGAGCTTTGGCCCCTGTCACTACGATAGTTAAGCCATGGAACTCGGATTTACCACCAAATCTTAAAATCCTCGCAAGTCAGCAAATTCTTGATCAAGCAAACCAGGTCTCATTACAGCAGTACCCAATAGCGCACAGCTTTTTAAAACAGGGCCCTAGGTGTCGAACTATCGGATTTACCGCTTCATCTTTGGAAGTTCACACCACCTACCGATACTGAAAGTCATGATAGAACAATGGTCAAGATAGTTCAGTTCTTGTTGACAGATTTTTGTAGCAAATATTACAGAAATCCCGCCTATCAACCAAGGACAGAACGTACATTTTGGATAGATCGCGTTGTCCCTATTTTTCAGATTTTCGGTAATCATAGTCAGCTTCTAGGATTTCAATGGTGTGTAGTCTCGACCGATGAGCACATGGAGTTCATAATGGACCCGGGATACCTGGATGCGTAACTGCGGGAGTCAAGAATAAAGATGGATTAGATTATGATCTGGATTCCCAAAGTCGTCTTATCATGGAAGGCTCAAGCAAAATCGTGTCCGAGGGAGATATCGAGGTAGGGCCCCGATCTTTCTTCTTACAAGACTTTATCTTGCCAGTGTTAAAAAAAAAAAAAAAAAGGCAAGATTTATAGCGCAAACACGCGGTGGTAATTCTCGGAGGTGGTGATTCTTGGTGGGGAATTAATGCTCGGAGGTGCTGACGGCTCGATTCTTATAGCATCGGGTCTTATACGCAAAAGGAAGTACGGTCGTCAACGATTCCGGTTAATTTCAACAATCGATCATTATGGATACATATATTCGAGCTGATTGCATACTTGCATAAGTCACTCCTTGCGCAAGAAAGCTTGTTTGAGACGATCATGAAAGAAGACGCTGGGTTGATTCCAGTTGAAGATGCTGATCGTGGTTTAAATGTTCTATCAGTGAAATAAATAATACTTTGTTTTTAAATTTCATAAAATAAAATAATCCTAAAAACTTCTACTTTGGTTCTTTATTGACTTTTTATCTCATTTTAATTGATCTACCCCAAAAGATGTCTTTTTCTTTACTACACAATAATAATAAAAAAAAAAGACTTCACGCCATAATGATCTAGATAGATGTTTCTGTTTTATGTAATGAGGCTGAAACATACGACTAATTAATCAAATAATAACAAATAAAATACAAATCATTCTGACATAAGCCAAGCTCGTCTTGTTTATCAGTCCCACGAATAAAAACCCGTTCACACACTTTCTCCCCTTCTTTCCTCTCTCTCTCTTTTTTTTTTTAAAAAAAGCAATAGATATTGTGAAAAGGTTAGTTAATAACGATATTTCTTCTTCTTCAAGAACGCAAAAATAACACCTCTTTTCTTTTTAAAAAAAACAGGTATTTTCCAATATCTGCTTTGACTAGGTCTTCACTAAATAGGGGTGAAGACCTGTGATTTTCTGACCTTAAATCTTTAGGTCAGAAAGTCGCGTCGTCGTCGTTGGGGGACTTGCTAAAGTTGTTTTCTTATTTCTGTTAACGGATTTCTGTAGCATTTTGATACAGAAATCCGATCTACCAGTTCAAGGACAGAAAGGACTTTCTGGATAGATCTAGTAGTCCTGATCTTCCAGATCTTTGGTGACCACAGCCAGTTGCTTGGGTTCCAATGGTGCGAAGTATCGACCGACGAGCATATGGAGTTTATAATGGACCCTGATACCTGGATGCGCACTGCGGGAATAAAGTACCATGATGGGCTAGGTTACGATCAGGAGTCCCAAAGTCGCCTGATTATGGAAGGCTCCAGCAAAAGTATCACAAGGGAAGACATAGAAGCATACCCAGGAAGACACAATCAAAAATCTCCATTTTTCAATTGAGATTCTTAATTCGTTCATCCGAAGAAATTCAATGGCCTCCTATACAAGCCTTTGTTCTGTTGTGGTATTTTCAATCCAACAATGTGTCTGTAGGACAATTACACTTACCGAAACCAAGCTGGATTCTTATAACATTGGGTCATATACGCAAAAGGAAAGTACTGGCGTCAACAATTCCGCAGTCAGTTTCAATAATCGATCATTATGGATACATATTTTCGAGCTGATTGCATACTTGCAAAAGTCACTCCTTGAGCAAACAAAGTTTGTTTGGAGACGATGATGAAGGAAAAAGCTCACTGGCGGGGTGCGCTTTTACATTTGTTCTGCAAAATGGGATTCATATCAGATTAGACATTTTTTGCTAGACTTTGAATAAATATGTTTTTAAAAATAAAAGTCTGCTATTATAAACATTTGTTTATGTTCTTTTGGCCTTTTTGTATTATTATTTTGAATTGATGGACCTCTCAGAGATGCCTTTTCTTTAATTACCTAAAGACTTTTACACCATCATAATTAATATCGTCAGTTCCCTTATTGGTCAATTAAAATTAAATGTCGTAATTTCAACACCAGTTGAGTCCCCCCCAAACGTCTTTCAAGGTTACACACTGTGAGAGTCCCAAAGTTAGATTGGTGGACAGATGAGCAAACACATATTTTTGATAATATTTAAAAAATCCAGTATAGTTTAGTCTTATAAAAGTCGATGAAGAACCATACACAGAGTGGTAAGGAAGAATTGAAGTGGAGGATCGTACGAGTTGAAGGGATGAGCAAAGCTTGAATAAGCGTGACGGTGTTTCTGACAAATGCTCATGTCATGGCCCTGATAAAAAATGAGGCGTTCCCCAAAGATGAAAAGGGGTTCATGCAAGTTTTGTAAAAGAAAAAAAAAAAAAAACTTTCTTCTTCATCTTTTAGATACATATCATGTCTGCACCCGCCAAAGTTTACGTGGTTATTTACACGGTCTATCATCATGTCCATAAGTTGGCTGTGGAGGTCCAAAAGGGTTTAGAATCCACCGGTGTTCAAACAAAGATGTTTCAAGGTAAAAAAATAAAAAAAATCATGAATATTACGCGTTAATTTTTTTCTTAATTAATTAAAATTTCATTATGCTTAGTGCAAGAAACTTTGCCTGAAAGTGTATTAAAGAATATTCATGCTCCTCCCAAGCCCGATTTACCCATTATTCGCCCTGAACAATTAAATGATGCAGACGGTATTTTATTTGGCTTCCCCACAAGGTAAAGATAATGAGAGAGAGAGAATACCACTTGATTGTTAATTTTAATTTATTCATGAAAACCAAATTTAGATTTGGTTCGATGCCTAGTCAAGTGAAAGGGTAAGGGTGAATAGAATGGGAAAAAAAAAAAAGTGTAAAAGGGGGAGCTAATAAAACATGTGTTATTGATAGGTTATTGGATGGCACCGGTGCTGCATTTGCTAAGGGTACATTACACGGTAAATTTGCTGGTACATTTTTCAGTACGGGGTCTCAACATGGTGGACAAGAGACAACTGCGTTGACTACCATTCCATTTTTTACACATCAAGGTATGACTTACGTGCCACTGGGTTTCCCACCTCAACTGAACGACAACACTGAGATTGTGGGTGGTTCAGCTTATGGAGCTGGTACGATTGCTGGAGGCGATGGATCCAGGTCACCTACTATCAAGGAATTACAGGTTGCTCATATCCAGGGACAACAATTTGGTAATCTAATTCGAGCTTATGTTCGAGGTAAAAATGCCTTTGCTGCAGAAGAGTCCTCAAAATAATAATAATAATAATAAAAAAAAAAAATGTTTATTTTTTTTTCGAATTAAACAGTGAGAGATTTACTCAGTTCTTGAATTACTTTATCCCAATTGTGAGAGTTGGAGATATCATCAAAGAGACTGGATTTATTTTCAGTGACAAAAGTAACGAGTTCGGAACTTTTTGTTTCAGCACTTTTATAACAGTGTCAGATTTTTTTTTTTTCCTTATTAAGAGTGTACTTACTTGGAAATATGTTCAGATGTGGCGAGTAATATATGATGTAATCGAATGATGAGTTCAGGAATATAAATTTGTCGAACGTCAGATGATACTACATGAATTCATTTTTCAGCAATTTTCCTTATGTCTAACTCCCTCCACCTTTAGTTTACCTCCTTTTAACCAATTACTTTCCAAGATATCTAAAATGGAGTCTTCCAATTTTAATGTCTGTCTTTCCAACTCATCTCGCCATGCATAAATATCTTGAAGATCCTTGAGAGAACCTCTATGAAGAAAAATAAGAAGATAAGCCATCCCAATCCCACCACCAAATAAACTAATAGAGATACTTACGAATCTTTGGGCCGTGAGGAGAGTAATGTTTCCCATGAGGGATACTCTAAAAAGACATTCACGACTTTTTGGTTTAAATGAAACGTACATACCGCTTCATCCTTCCAACACAACACTAATTTTTCATACAGGTACGAAGGAATCGTTTCAAACACTTTTTCCGCAAGCTGTATTTGACGTTGTGACAGAAAATAATTGACCAGCTCATTGGCGGATTTTATCGCTTCCGGAATAAGTTCATCATCCACTAATAACCAATCGAGGGCACGAAAGAACATGTCATATCGAGTATCGGTGATGGGTCTCATGTTAAATGTGGTGCTACCCGGGATCTTTTGCGCTACCGCCTTTTCATACAGATTGTTGTTGGTACGGATTAAAATCATTGGCATATCGAGGCCTACTTCTTTTCCAAGCTGACAAAGCACTCTGCATTCTTCCCTATCTCCATCAAATTCTGTCTTGATATGATTAGCACATGACACCCTCAATAATAAGAAAAGTGTGTGTTGTGTGTGTAAGTGTGTGTGTGTGTTTACCTTGGAGGAAATTGGAATAGACGAGTATTTGATCATGTAAAGATAATCTGGCTGCATAAGAAGCAATCACGATTGGACGAAATGTGTGTGGTTGAGCATTCAGTTGAACATAGGCAGCCACAAGAGCGGTTGAATAGGGATCTTCTTTCCAACCGAAATATTTTCTTCCAAACAAGATCCAAGTGGATACAAATCTCAGGGTATTTTCACGACAGAAATCATTCACACACAGATCTGCGGTATGTGTGTTTTTGATCAGACCATCATAGAGAGTGCGAATCATGTGTGTGACAGTGCCATTCAGCATAGACGATTGAATACGGTGAAATAAGATGCGAGGGTCACCCTTTTCCAAGATCTCGTCCTTTTCTAATGCGATGCGGATCCTCTCATCTGTTATTTCCACTGTCTTTCCATCCATTGTATCTTCTACAAGTCCATTCATGCATATCCAAATCACATCCTCAAAGGTCTTTCCCACTAGTTCACATTGTTCCTTTATATTGCCACATAGTGTATAATACAATGCCTGTCCATATTTGCCTAACCCCTCATGTTTCGCCATGTGTGTTACACAATCCCTCCAAGCAGATCTTTCCTTTGTATCGACAGATGTTGTAGTATCATCATCTAAACAGTACACCACGGTCAAAAAAAAAAAATCCCCCTCTTTTTATATATATACATATATATTGGGACCTTCCCCCCGCCCTCCCCGCTCTTACCTAGTGCAATGCGATTATAGTGAATATATTCGTTAAACACATAATCCAACGTCTTTTGACCATCTACAGCGGGTGTCAAATCGCCATGTCGTAGTTGCTTAAATCGTGCCTGATATAATTGTTCCAACGCATCATCCACATGCCTTCTTTTGGCAGGTCTTTCGTCGTCCTGTCTTAGCATGCGATTCTTTCGAACAATCACGTTTAATTCTTCTTCGATTTCCTGTTCAATGATTTCCAGCTCCATTATTTTTTCGGCCAAGACGTGATCGATGGGGATTTTAGAAACCCATTGTCGAATAGACTATAGAACATGTGTGAGCTTTGATGATGTACACGGGGGGGGGAGGGGGGGTAGCTTACGGCATAACGATGAACGATCGACTTGTTTTTCGTACTGCACACATTTTAAAAAAAAAGTTAGATGACGAACGTTAAAAAAAAAAGACTCGCTTTCCATTGGTACCTTGCCAAGACAGCTAACAGCTCCCAGGTATGATTTTCGCAGGACAGGAATGGGTCACTATTTTTTTTTTTTTAATAAGTATACGTCCAAGACAAAAAAACTATGGCCATGCTGTCTTATTATTTTTTTACCCATTTTGAGATAAGGATTCATATTCTTTAGCAATTTGTAGAGCTGTACTATCCGAGCCAGACTTTAATATCTGTGCAAACTGGTCAAATATATCAGCCATTGATTTTAAGGTGATCAAAAAAGGTGAAGGATAAAAAAAAAAGAGTGACGACTTCCCTGTGTGAGCAACCCCCGCTTGTATTAAATACATTTTTTTTTTTTTGATTTCTTTTTATTTTTATTTTTTTGTCACAGTAATTGTTACAATGTTTAATCAAAAACCAGCCTTCAAGTTTGTCATCAAATCTAAACTTGAAGTACCTAATACGGTATCTGATAAAAAGGAAACCTCAGTGACAACTGTACCTAACCCAGATGACCGTAAACGTAAACGTACCGAGGGCTCTGCTCCCATAGCCACTAAAAAAGTAAAGCCCATCCTGTAAGAAAAAAAAAAAGAAAGGAATGCAAGACTAAAAAAAAAGGGCTCTCTCTTTTTTCTAGATTCATAGCCAATTATTAAAATGGAACAAAAAAAAGGAAGAATTGAAACAACAAGATTTAACAGAAGCCGAAAAGCAAGATGCTAAGAATGATTTCGCCGATATAGATGCTTTGACTTGTTTGTTATGTCAACGCAAATTCAAGTCCAAGGCGGATTTAACCAGACATTTGGACCTATCCGACCTGCACAAAGTAAAAATTAAAAAAAAAAAAAAAAAGCTATCTCTCATTAGTTCTCGTAGAATAACTTAAAGGTGCCCTCTATGGTGAGTAAGGCCCTGTTGAAACTCAACTTCAAGTCAGAAGTCAAGGAAGAACAAGAGGTAGAATATCGTAACCGTGCAGCAGAGAGAAAGACAAGCTTATGGACAACCGGATAAACCCGTCTTATCACCTCCCGCTTCACCACCAAGACAACCTTCACGTGAACTGTAAAACAAAAAAAAAAAAATTGTTCTTACCCCCCCTTTTCCCATTTTTTTTTTTTTTTTTTATATATTGTATTCACCAAAAAAAAAATAACCTTTTTTTTTTTTTTTGATTGCTAAACTTTTTTCTAGTGCTGCACTTCCAAAGGCATCGATGTATACACCTATTGGCGATGACAACAAGGGAGCTCGTATGCTGGCTCAGATGGGTTGGAAAAAAGGTGAAGGTTTAGGTAAAGATGGTACAGGTATTCTGGATCCCGTCAAAGCAGAATCTTATGGTCAAAATGCTGGTATTGGTTCTACACCCAAGAGAGATGCTGGTGATGGAAACTATAGAACAAGAACTGTAAATGTAGTAAGTCTTCCCACCCTTTTTTTTATTATTATTATTATTGTTGTATTTGGCATCTTTTGTTTCTATTATTATTTTTTTTGGTATATATACATGTAAAGAAAGGGATCCATTCTAATACAGATACAGGCACGTCAGAGGTACCTTGGCGATCGAAAATAAATCATTCAAAAAATCTACAATAAAAAAATAAAAAAATGAAGACTTTTTTTTTTTTTTAATATATATCCCTTTTTTCAACCTGATTCACTACCAAAAGGCCAATGATTTGACTGATAAAACATGATGATCTTATTACCATTCTCCTTTCTATTTAATGAATACCGCACATAAACAAAAAAAAAGGGGGGGGGGGAGGTCTTTTAGTCTTTGACAGCAATAGTTCGTTTTACGCACTCTCTCTCTCTCTCTCTCGCTCTGTGTATGCGTGTTTTAATTAAAAAAAAAAAAGAAGGGGGTTATCTATTTCCATACATCACCACTTAAAAGATCATCATCGTTGTCTGTATAGGACGAATGATTCGTATGGGAAAATTGGTCTGGCCATTGCCATTGAGGGGCGTCTTCTTCAGAAGGAGAGGCCGCGATGTGTTGAGGAGTGGTGGATGCATTAGAATAGGATATAGGGGGAGGAGCTGACTCTCGTACGGTTTGTGGAGCTTGTGGGGCTTGTGGGTATCGGGGTTTAGGAGTTGAATGAACAACAGGCTGTTTAGAAGGAGTTGAAAAAGAAGGCTGGACCATCTTTTTAGACGATGATGAGGAAGGATGATGTACAGTAGGAGTACTAGCACTGCTACTAGGATGCCTGTGTATATTGGATAAAGTAGGCTTTCTGACAGGTGTCGGAAGCGTCTTTCTAGACACCTCTTCATCATCATCAGACATATCATCTACTACCACATAATTGTCTTTTCCTTGCTTGATAATGACATCAATGCAACCTTCTCTTGTTCCCAATAAACTTTCTTCATCTCCATTCACCACCGCCTTGTTCATCTTTCGATCATCGTATCGACTCGTTTGACTGATTCCGCCATATCTCTGCAATCTGCGTTCCTGACGGGCCTGCCGCCAAAGAGGTACACGAAAATCAATGACGGGATAATTGTAATCCCCAAATACCATCTTTCGACTGGCAGCAAACAAAATTTCCATCTCGTCATGGGGGTCAGGGTCCTCAAACTCTAACGGCTCTGAATCCATCTCTGCCATGCTCTCTTCATTCATGCCTCGACTCGAGTTGAGGAACCGTGAGGTCGGTGCGGGTTCCAACCAATGTTTTTTCGTGGTCATATTAGAATAACGCAAGCCTGCCATGATACGCGATGTACGACTACTGCCCATATGCGGTACTCCCTCTGAAGGTTCAAATGCTCGATAATTGAACCCTGATCCATTCAATGTATCCAGTGTGTCCATCACTACATCTTTCAGTCCAAATGAATCTCGAATCGCTCGTCGTACCGGCATACGTGCAGAATGCACATTTTGGTCGAAATAATCCTCATATGAAAACGAGAATCTTTTTATATATATATATTAGTTCTATGTACGGAGGGGTTGGAGTATGAAATACACTTACGAGTGAGCAATAGCAAAAGGCACCATTTCAATACACACAAGGAAATCTTGAATAGCGACTGAGATATGTTCCGCTACAAGACAAAAAAAAAAAAAAAAAAATGGTGAGTTTCAACTGGAAATGATACTCGGTTGTCTACTTACAATCTGGAATCACACCCGCAAAAACTAACAAGGCAACTACCACACTCTGCCAAAAGGAAAAGAAAATGATGGCCTTGACACATAGAAATTTAGGCAAAGGTCTAAACAGAAAAAAAAGGAGAGAGGGTTCAAAAAAAAAAAAAAAAAGTCGTTCAGAAACGCCAAGATAATATGCCAATAAATAAATAACGCTTACCTAAAGGCAGTTAGATCTTTTTTGGTTGCATAAAAAAAGACCATTAAACACCATAAACTCAAACAGACGCTGAGATTGTAAAAGAAAGTCAAGTAGAAATACGAGCTTGAGGCAGAAAAGTCACCCTCGTGGTATTTCCCCGTGGCTTTCAGGATCATGGTCAGGATGGCCAAGACGGGCTTGACATAGACAAACTGTAGGATACCTCGCTTCACAAACAAAAAAGTATAGGGATCCCCTACAAAGATCTCGCTCGAATAAATGGTACCAGGAAAGAAATTTTCTGTCGGTGGCCTCGAATGGAGCATGATGATTAATGCTCGTTCTCCACCCAACTTGTTTAGCAAAAGGTTGAAAAACGCATAGATCACAAATGCTTCATAAATATCTCGAAATGTATCCACATAGAAAGCTACGTTTAATGAAACAAGTGATATATACGTACTGATACCATAAATAGGCACCCTTTTTTAAAGAAGTTAATATCTCTCTCTTTTTTTGCTTTTCTATTTCACTCACATCCACAAGATACGAATCACCTGTCTTTGTTGATTCTACATACACACACGCACACACAAAAAGTTTTAGTACTCGAAACCAATACACACAGTCTCTTTTTCTTAAGAAATAAAACTCACAGGCTTTCGGTAGTTCTTCCAGTGCAGCCACACAGAGAATAACGATATACAACTTCCAACCACAGTACATAATAAAGCAAGTTGTATTAAAATGGGTTGAAATTCGGAACCTGCACCTCCATCACCATAATTATCCATTATCTCAAAATTGCCAAGAGATTTAATCAAGAAAAAAATATATATATATAAAAAAAAAAGGGTTGTATTTTTTTTTATTCCAAAGCGACGTCAACACTTACAGCGGTATGACGACAGTTTTTTTTTCTTTTTTTTTTTCTTTTTTTTTTTTTTTTTTTGTGTGTTGTGTGTGCAAGAGACAATTACATTCGGTTCTTCTGTCAATTGGCTAGTCGGACTTTATTGATGACTAAACAAAAAAGAGAGCATTATGATTCTTTAACCCAGAGTTGTTATCTTGTTAAAGGCTCGGGCATCAACCCCCCAAAAATAAATAAAGGGAGAGATAGATTCATCACCTGGCCTTTTTTTTTAAGCGCATAAAAAAAAAAAAAAAAATGAAAACTATCCAAACCGCTTTTTATAAAATGGCGCGTTTTTTCGTTCTATCTGTACAGCGGTACATATTGAAATCAGTTATTGTCCCCATTGGCTTTATTCTCTGTCTTCTATCACATTTCAACTAATAGTAGACACTATATTCAAAACACTTTCTTCGTACTTTGATCATATTTGTTCATGCCTCTCTCCTCTGCGATGTGTGTGACCTTTAATAACTTTATATCTTTTTTATTTTTTTCAAACAAAAAAAGCATACTGAAAAGTTATTAGAGACTAAAACTAGATATTTTTTTTTTTTTTATTAAATGGAAAAGGGGGATCCTTTTTATTAGGAAAGGATGCGGGAAGACTCTATGAGAGCGTGGTCAATTCCATGTTTTATGTTGGGTTGCTATTAAAATGTCAAAGTTAAATTATATAGGCTGGATAGATAGTGTGAATAGATCACATTTACGTAAAATCAATGGGAATAATGACTTGAAAATCATTGATTGACAGTGAGCGGTCAAAGGGTTGCTTGCAATTCCTGGTGGTGCCGCTAATAACATCATTGAAAACCTCCTCAGTCATACCTGCCACGCGTGTTTGACTTTAATCGATCAATATCATTTAACAATTGACAATGAGTTTTATACAAATGATGGGTTGATAAAAGGTCTTCACAAGTCGAAACCTATGGTCGGAGTTGTGTAGCATCTCTTGGGCATACTGATGTTGCAAATTTCCAGCATTACGTACAATCCAGAATCAAGCAAAATATATAAAATACACTGTAACTATTAACCCTACAAAGCAAGTTTAGTTAAAAGGTCCATCAAGTTTTTTTTTTTTAGCAGCAACCTACCCTCAACAGCGTGAATTCCCAATGACCCCTTCGTATAAGTTGTTGTCGATGGATAGCTTGGAAAATCGGCCAATTCTGATCAAGTCTAGAAGAGTGATATATTATATATAAATATATATCATCCTTTACATCGTCCTCCTTTACTTCACCCACGCTTACTGGGCCATTCCACATAACGTTATTGAGAATCCTGCCTACGAAATCAGGCCTTTGGATTGAATTGGTCATTTGTATGCCAGACCTGTAAATAACATACACTGATTCCTTGAACCACCTTTTTTTTTTCAAAAAAAAAAAAAAAAAATGTTAGATTCGTCAAGAAGAAATGGCTATTACTTTAAAAGTATGGCTCCAAGTTAATTTGGTATCCAGACTCACACAGCGCTAGGTATAGATTACTTTGCGTCAAAGAAACATTATATTGAATAGGTCTTTTGCTAGGAAAATAAATATCTTTGTTCAGATTATAACTCAAGTCTCGTAGAATCTAAATTAATCAAATTAGGAAAACAGATCTACTGTCCACGGGCTTTTATGTCGAGGTAAAAAAAAAAAAATTAAACATGCATGTTATGGATATGCCATCTCTTTACACATATCGAATGTAGAAACATCAAAGAATTACAATTGTCACCTGAAGTCATTTATAAGCATATTCAAGTTAAAGTAAGTACATAGTGTTTGATAAAAACGATTATATCTTGCTGACCTTGGTTTCTTTTGTAAATAATACAAACAGTTCAATGTATCGTCAACTCTGCAGCCCTCCGGAAGTGTGGCTTTCCTATAAGCTGTTTGAGGCAAATTTCACTGACTTTTGAAGTAGTTGACTTTTTGTTTTGTTCTGTTTTTTTCCAATGGTCTACTCTTTATGTAAGAAGAATGATTAACGAAGAGTTTCAGGAATAATATTAGAATCGTCGATAGTTGGCATCTTCCATAGAAACATACGTTCATTGACCGTTTTTATTATAAACATTGTTTTGTCAAATAAAAGAAAGAGTTCTTCAACTCGTAAGGCTACAATTGAAAATTATAAAGAAAAAAGAGGTATCACAATTATATTCCTGTAACAGCGAAAACTTTATTTTTCTGATTGGACGACATTTTGTAACTTTTTTCTTTTTTTTTTAAAAAAAAATTACTTTCTTTCTTCCATTTTATTATACCCTAATTAAAAAAAAAAGAAAGGCAAAATATGGCTACCAAGAATTCAAAGCTGGAAAGGCACCTCATGGAGACCATGTTTGAACAGTCCTTATTTTCTGACCTATCACTGGTATTCTTACACCCTTCATTTCCTTTTTCCATGCGATACAATGTACATAAATCCATCATGAGTCAGTCCCCCTTTTTATTGAAATTACTCGAAAACATGACGTCCATTCCTTCTACACCACACCTTACAAAAACCGACGAAAGCAGCACGGGTATCACCAGTTTGACCATCGATCTTTCCAAAGCCTTGACCCATTGTGGTTTTATCCTAGCCCCCTTTCAACACATTGTTCGTCGTAAATGGCAAAAGGTCTCCAATGCACCACCACAGACACAACCGAACCACAGTAACCCTCTCCTATCCTCGCATATCCGTTTTGTGCTTCAATGGATGTACTGTTCGAACAAACCAGAATTCGTGAAATCCATGGCAGACGCCGATACATTGCGTATTTTATCAGTGGCAGTACTGCTGGATATCCATGATCTCACACAAGCTTGCGTTCATCGCTACACCAAACATCAGCTTTCCTTGCACAGCATCATGCGTGACTTGGAAACCATCTGTCAGTTACCACGCGGTCACCCTGCCTATCTCCAATTACGCGACGCGGCACTCCTTTTATTACTTCGTTACGGACCCGAACACGCTATGCGTCTTGCCATGCTTCCTGTGGATTACATGGCGGACGTTCTTGCTGCTGATCCGCTCTTTGTGTCCTGTGAATTTGAACGTTACTGTCTTTTGAAAGCCGTGTTGATGGCCTTTATGAAATCTGTTGGAAAAATTACCTGGACTGCCAAGGGTCCTTTGGACCAAGATGCTAAACGACTTTCTGGGTTTGTACGACCCATCGGTCACCGACCTGACCTTTCTGCTACCACTGTACGCTCTCGTAAACGAAAACGTATTCCATCACAAGAGTTTGGTCAACCTGAATTAACGACACGTCTATTGCATCGTCTCAGTTTTACGGCGTTGGTACCCTTTGAGAAACTGGTTGCGGATGCTTCTTCGGGTGGTGTCATTGATAAAGCCACGGTGCTCTCGTACCTCCTTCGCACCACGGTGAACTATAGTAACATGACGTTTGATCAACTATCCCATGTACGTCAAGACGGTATTGTGGACGAAGGGATTGTGTTTCGTGCTTTATGGCAACGTGAAGCCCTTGAGCGCGTCCTGTTTCCGTTGACCTACCATCACCAGACGCAAGAACACGAAGAACGTCAGGACCGTACACCTACACCCATCGATGTACAACATGATCAGGATCGGATTGCTGCACTTGACGAATACTTTGATGTGGAGGATTCTGACGCACAGGAAAACCGAAGACGATTACTTTTAGGTGTACCGCGTTTCCGTTTTCGAGCCTCGGTGTTTGTGTCACCTCCCTCAGTGGAAAATGGCTGGACCGCTGAAGAAATGGGTACGACGACGACGACTGAATTAAGTGCGGTGTTTGATGATGGAGAAAGTGATGGTTCGTTATGGTCTGCTGCTGAACATGTAGCTGAATTAGGTGTAGCGAATAAGGCGTCATCCGGAAGACGATCCAGTCATACGACTGTGACCACTACGAAACCATACACATTGTATCAAAAGACGTTTTATTCAAATCCAGAAACTATCCTTGGGATATCCTATCGTCTTCAAATCGAAGCCCAAGTCATGCCACGCCATCGTTTTATGATCCAGGATGAACCACAGGATGAGGAGGAAGGGGAAGGGGATGAATTGTATGTAGATAATGACGCGGATGAAAATATCATGGTATGTCGATTCGAATTACAACGTGATAGACGACAAATTTCAGTCCCTGTGCATCCAATTAAAAAGGAAGGAGCCAAGAAACCTACCGATGACCCAACAATCACGATGGAGGATACACAGACGGTAGATCAAAGCGAAGGTATTCGGGAAAAGACCAAGATTCATTATTGGATTCATTGTCTTAATCGACACGAGGGTATCCTGGAAAGCGATCGTATTGACCCTGAAGATCGTGTTTTGGTGGCTGTGACGGAGCAACGTGAGCGAGAGAATGGAAGTCCTGGTGAAATGGAACCAGGTTATGTTGGCCAGGTATTGGTGGAAGCTGATCTTTCCAAGGGTGTGACTGTAGATGCTACTGTTGCACTTGAGATATTTGGTTTTCAAAAGGTTTAAATCACTCCGATTTATAGTTCCCCCCCCCACATACACACGTACACACAATAATATAAAATGCAATAATAATAAACCCTCCCCCCCCCCAATTTTGGTGTTTGCCTTTGCGGAGATCCCCCACATTGAGTTCTTTCACCCAATAAGGTTTAGTCCCCCCCCTTTTTTTTTTATAACACTCCGTCGATCCCTTTTTAGTTCTTTTTCTTTTTTCTCTCTCTTTTGAAACTAAAATAATAATAATAATGCCTCTGGAAGAACCTCAAAAGATTAAAAGTTTACTTGTAGGGGGTACAAGTATTGCTTGTTTATTGACACTGTATATTCTATCCAACCCTTCTTCATCGCAACCCAACGTCCATGTATCTCCTCAGAATAACAGTAATCTTTGTACTTCAGACGCTTTTAATAGTGGTCAATGGGTTCATCAAAGTATTGGCCTTGAATCCCATTCGATTGATGGTCTAAGTGCATTTGCAGGCTATCATTGTAATTGGGACTTTGCTCATCGATGTTACATGCGATCCGATCATGCTGAAGAATTCAATCGTAGTAAAGCCATGTAAAAAAAAGTTTTTATTATTATTTTGGGTTCAAACCAAAAAAAAAGTTGAAACTCACGCTTTTCTGTTTTTTAAAGGCTAGATTATTCATGGCAACCCGATAGTTGTACAGTCCTTCCGTTTGACGCCCGACAATTTTCCAAGCACCTATCTGAGAACCCACTTTTACTGGTAGGGGACTCGATTACACAATTGATGTTTGAAAGTCTGTGGTGTCTTACGGGACAAGACATGACATCACAGAACAAGGACACGCATTTATCGGGTGGTGATAGTGAGATGTGGGCTGGACAATTGGTTCATCGTGAACGTGAAAACCAGGACGATGCTGTATCCATTGCTTATATTCGATCGGATTATCTGGTGAAATTAGACGATTTTAGTCTTATCAAACCCAATGAAGGACAAGGGTATCAAATTGGTGTGGGTAATAACTTTCCTTGGGTGCATGTCTTGCCTCGTTTCAAATACATTATGATCAACACTGTAAGTTTATTCATTGCTTTTTTTTTTTTTTTTTTTTTTTTTTTTTTTGCATAATCTCTAATATACATAGCAGGGCCCTCATTGGCATCCCGATTTGAAATGGGGACCGGAAAAGAGTCGTCAGGAATTATTGAGCGCTTTTGAAAAGGCCATGACAGGGGCTTTCGAGTATCTCAAAAAACATGTACGTCAGGATCAACGTGTTTGGGTGCGATCCACGCCTTATGGTCATGCCAAATGTTCTCAATATACAGCTCCCAGTAACCCACCCGTAGCACCTACAGGTCAGCCTGGAGAGTACGAATGGGATATGCTAGAAAAGTTTGACTTTTACTGGAAGGTAAAAAGAAAAAGAAAAGAGAGAAATCTTATTATAATATATATATATATATTTAAACTCTTCTTCTTTTACTTAGGACTTGATTGAAAAGGAAAAGGATCCTCGATTCATGTTTTATAACGTATCTTTATCCAACCTACGTGGTGATGCACATTCACGACCGGACTCTGATTGTCTTCATACGTGTCTTCCTGGACCTGTGGATGATTGGAATAAATTCCTTTATCATGAAATGATCAAAAGTGTAGAATTTAAGCAATAAATTATATATTTTTTTATTATTATTATTATTATTTTTTTTTTTTTAAAAGGGCGGTGCAAAAATCACAGGGAAATCCGCATGCAAAGTACCATTATTCGGTGCTGCATCCATATTAAGCAACTCTGTCAATAAATTATACACTTCAATATTGAAAAATGGACCCAAAATGGATCCGGGTTTATAGACGCGATCGATTTTAGGTCCACGGGCCATAAAGATGGCTCGCATATCATCTTCCAAGTTATCGTAACCATGGTTTCCTCCCAAACGAAATCCACCCTGTTGTGCCTCCACCTGTGCATGCGTTACAAATGAATAGCCAATCTCTGGTATGGCCACAATGGGTGTAATTCGTGTTGAATTGCGATAGTGAAATCGGTCGGGTACATCCTCTCGTAAATATACCTTGAAATGGGGTTCCTCTTCGGTGACGGTGTAATTTTGTAAAGCACGATAGATCTTGCTCACGGTGTCGACTGGTGCTTTGGCATTGGGCCGCAAATCCAGTAAAGGAAGTGCTTCACGGTCTCCCACATGAGCTAATAATTCCGGTGAGAGAATATCGTCGTAGTAGATTAATTTGCTGTCTCGCGTCTCTGTCATGCCATGATCACTCACGATCACCGTATGGACATGTCCCTCTAGGTTTCTCCTTTCTAATTCTTTTAAAAAGAAACCAATCGCTTCATCTCCCTCTGAAATATATTTGTTCAACTAATCGTTTTATGGTTAATAAAATGAGTTATTTTTTTTTTTTCATTTTCTAATTCCTTCTCTCTCGCTCTCTTTTTTTTTTTTTTTTTTTTTTTTTTTTTTTTTTACCTTGGGACTGTTGGGACCAAATTTATGCCCTTCTTGATCAATCTGTGGACAATAAATGGTAATCATACGTGGTCGTTGATCATAAGGTAAATCCAACCAGTGAAGGGTCCTTTCCATTTTTTCATGTGTGGTCATGGATCCATTGTATTTGACTACCATATCCGGTGGATTATAATTTGTCTCTGATCCTGGCCACATGATGGAAGCCGTAATTTGTCGATGCATCCTTGAGGTAGCCCAAATCTAATCTTGTCATGTTTTAGTTCTCGTCTAAAAAACCATTTTAGGGGGAGGGGGGGAGCACTTTACCGGCTCGCCTTTCCACCATCGAGGATCAGCAGTGGAAGTAGCATTGGCATGACTAAAGACAGCATCTAATTGTGGGTCGTAAAAAAGGTTGGCGACAATACCATGGGCTTCAGGATACAGACCTGTTACTAAGGTCCAATGATTTGGAAATGTGCTAGGCTACCGGGGACTTTTTTTAATCTCGAAAAAAAAAAAAAAAAAAAAAAAAGAGTGGAGATTGAAACTTACAGGAAAGGCAGGATTCATGTATTTAGCACTGATACCACTCTCAGCTACATACAAAAAAAAAGGGGGGGGGGGTGTTAGTTGGGTAGGTGCCATGACACGAAAGAAGAAAGAAGAAAAAAAAAGGTTGTTTTTGTTTTATAAATACCAAATTGTTTAAGATGAGGTGTAAGACCTCTGTTTAGATAATCAGGACGAAATCCATCAAAGGAGATCAAGACGACAGTGGAAGCGAAATAATCCGAGCCATTGTAATACAACTTTTCCGCTCCTCGTTCAGTATGGTTAGGGTCGTGTGCGAATTTTGCCATGGCCAGTCTGAATATAATGAACAATAGGCCAATGGCAAATCCAATACATGCATAACGTAGTGTTGGATTATCCTACTTTTTCTGATTAGCAACTGTTTAGGTTCTAGAGGAAGAAGAAGAAGAAATTTTTTTTTTTTTTTTTTTACTTTCTCATAGTCATGTATACCATCGACGGTGTCTTCATCGACAATAATGGCCCATGCCTCATCTTCTTCTGTCTCTTCTTCATCATCATCATTGTCAGAATCGGATCCGTCTTCCTTGTTTAATAGATTGGCTTCTTCCTCTGGACCATCGTATATGCTACTTGGTTGATCCGTTGACCGAGAAGCAGTCGAATGCGACCGTGTCATTTCATACACTTCATCTGCCATCGTGTTTAAACAATTTTATATAAAAAAAAAAAGAGAGAGAGAGAGAGAGAGAGAAAATAAACAACAAACTGGATATTATTATTATTTTTATATATATTTATGTACACCTCTTGCCGCCGCCTCCCTATATTTTTTATTCCAGAAATAGCTAAAAAATACAAGAAAAACCACTTTATGATTACTCCTTAAAAAAAAAAAACCTTATAAGCCCATCTTAGAAAAGTGTTACACTACCTCTTCCCCCCGCGCCAATGTTTCTAAATTTTTTTTTTTTATTATTATTATTATTAAATGAGGAGATCGTCCTTATCATGCTCAATAAAGAACTCTGTGGTGACGCTGGGTACACCATCCTGCATCACGACCAAAAAGGCCTGACCGGGAGGAAAGAGGTTGGCATGAGGAGGACTATGGATACGTACTGATTGAAAGTCCTCACTCACCTCATGGTTCAAGTAGACGTAACGCTGTGACATATGCATTGAATGTGTACTGAACCCAGGTCGCATCATGGCCACCTCTACTTTACCCACTTTACCTTCCAAATGCAAAAGAATCTGAAAGGTCTCGTTGTAACCCACAATACGCGGTACATGAGATATCTTGGGTCGTGCGCCTTTTTGAAAGAGATAAGGTGGTGAGAAATACTCCACACGAAATTCAGTAGGATACTTTGCATGAATATCGGGAGGGTCCACACTATTGGATCCGGCAATCCAGATACGTCCATCGGGTAAAGTAAGCGCCACCGAATGATACATGCGTGCAATATCCGTGGTAGCTAACCCTTGTTGCCATCGACTCCCTTTAGGTTTCTCTGGGTGATAAATCAATGGATCGAAAGTAGGATCGTGGTTGGCATCCTTGTATCCGGCATACCCACGTTGACAGCCGTTTACCCAAACAATACTACCATCTGTACCAAACACACCATCGGGCATCACGCGTTTATGCACAAATGTATCCATCTCCCACTGTGGGTTCTTGTCACCCAAATTGATTTTACCACACGTATCATCAGCAGCCGATGTTGCAGCAGGACTAGCAGACCCACCACAAATTAAAATCTCTACATTGTAATCGTTTTCCGGTCGTAACGGTAACATGACTGCGCCACCTGTCAATGGGTAGGAACGAGGCACACCAGGCATAGGAGGTAACTCACGTACCACTTTATGTTCCTTGTAGTCGTAAATGATGGATTTTTTTGATGCAAAGATAAACAAATGTCCATCGGGCAAGAGAAAGACAAAAGGGTAGAGATTATAGGGTAATGTATGTAACAATAAATCCAGTTCGATGGGTTCATCTGTTCTCGGTGGCCAAAATTCATAGGATGGTGTGTTCTTGATGACGGTGTTATATTTGGTGCCTGCGTTAGAACCTCCAATGATGATTAAATCGCCATCGGGTAGTTGTTCAACGGTGGGGTACCAACGGTTACTGTACATTTTACCTGTAGGGAATTCCTGCCAAAGACAATTGTCATCGGAACAAGTGGGAGGGAAATGTCGAATGGATTGATGACCTCGACCTGCTTTCCATGCACCTCGACTCTCTGCGCCACCTGTGCTAATAAAGGTACCGTTTCCTAAGAAACCACCTGCCGAACAAAAGGTGTTGGTCTCTAGTAGGAGTGTGCGATAGGTATTTGTTTCTATATCATACAAGGTGGAATACGCACTGATTCCCGAATCTAATTTGGCTTCATTTTCTTCCGCTATTTTTTTTTTTTAAAAAGCACACACATTTTAAGTTAAGGCTACTTTCGAAAAAAAAAAAATGAATGTTTTTTACCTTTATCGATAATTAAAATACTCTTCTCGCTGTCAATGAAAAAAAAAAAAATAGGATGAGTTCAAGGTCCGTTTATGACAAAAAAAAAAGAGAGAGAGAGCTTTACTTTAATAAAACTGCATGCATAGCGGCTACACCAGTGCGGCCTATCTGTTCCATTTTGCCAGACTTTTCATAGGGTGACACTTTTTCTTGATTGAAGAACGGTGATTGACAAGAAACTGTGCTAATGCATAGTGTCACAAGGAATCCCGAGATCTTTGTAATGTACATTCCAAGATGGAAGGGAGAGCAAGGAAAGGGGGGGAAAAAAAAAAAGAGGATAAACGGACAAAGAAAAAAAAAAAAGAAAAAAAAGAAAAATAGAAAAAATATATATATTTTAAAGGTGACTCGTGATTTGTGTTACCATTGAAAAAAGAACGATTTAAACAAACCCAATTTTCCTTTTTTTTTCTCTCTCTCTCTTTCTCTCTCTTTTTTACTTCCTTTCTCCCCCCCTTTTTTTTTTTTAGAAAAAAGAAATGAAGATTGCATTGATTCTATTGTTTTTTGGGACATGTGCGTGTCAATGGAATCAAACAGTGTATGAAGCATTACAAACCTATTCACCTGTAAAAAAAAAAAAAAAAAAAAAAAAACTTCAAAGAAATTTCATGTCCCTTTTTTTTTTTAATCGAAACATTTTTTTTTTCTTGTGTGTGTGCGTGTGTGTGTAAATAGGTGCTGTATTCGCATATAGCAAGTTCAACTGAACTCGTTCAATTATTAGACCAGCGAAATCACAATATTACATTCTTGTTACCCAATGAACAAGCCATGAATACATCGATTGGAAGTGGATTGCTCAACTTTTCCTCACCACAATCCTTCTCACAACTCTCCGTCATGATCTTGAACGGTTCTTTCCCTACCCACTCCTATCTATCATCACATCGTCAATTCTACCCTACCATCAGTAACCATAATATCTCGATTGGTCCTCAGATTGTGAATAATGCGTTTACCAACACCATTGAAATCTACTCTGGCATGTCTAAAGCAATTACTACCGCTACTGAAATCCAATGCTTAAACGGTATTACACATTTAAAAAAAAAAAATTAATTTTTACAGAATTCTAAAAAAAAAAAAAAAAAAAAAAACCTTAATAGGTATAATTCAATATATTGACCATTTTCTGCAACCCGCACAAACACCACTGGACACAATTTCAACGCTGTCCGAAACAGAATATATGGAAGGACTATTAAAATCACTCAATGTATCCGACGTTATTTCAGGTGGAGACAAGACGATTCTGGTACCTGTCAATGAAGCTTGGGAGGCTACCAATGGTTCGACTTTGCCTTATGGTACACTTGTGCATAACCTGAAATACGCGGTGTTGGATGGATTGTACACGAGCGATAAGATCTTGGCGAGTATCAATAGCACCACCCACGAGGCTTCCTTCTCGACGGACTACAAGCAAAAACCTATTGTCTTTCGATTGGAAAAAGGTGAGCTATGGATCAATGCAATGGCACGTTTTGTAAAGACGGATATTTTGACAACCGCTGGTGTCATTCATTTGATCGATACTGTCTTGACAGCAGATACAGTCTCTATAGAAACTGCTGATAATAAGACATTTGTACCTGTCTTGGGCACAGACAATCATTCGTCCCCTGACCGTCGTGGTTCATTGGCTACGCATGTCTTTTCTTTGCATCCATTGTATTTATTTTCCTTGTCACTTTTATTTGTATTTTTATAAACCCTTTTTTCTCTCTCTCTTCTTTTTTTTTATTACTTTTTTTTTTTTGTTTCTTGATACCCCCCCCTTCCTCCTCCTTTACTATAAAAAAACGAGGCAGCTCCCTTTTTATTTTATTTTATCATAAGCCGCGCCCTTTTTTTTTTTTTTTTTTTTTTTTTTTATAAAATGGTGTGACAAAAAAATTAATTTTTTTTTTTTTACAGAATTGGTTGATTTGACACGTGTTGCAGATACACATTTTAATTTCAGAGAGGGGTGTGTGTGTGTGTGTAAAACTCCTCTTTCTAAATGTTCATCAAAAAAAAAAAAAAAGGAAGGGGGAGTATGAATTGAACAAACAGGGTTTTTATTGAAAAGGGGGGGGGGGGAGGAAGGAAAAAAAAGGGAGAGAGAGAGAGAGAATAAAATTTCCCTTTTATGGTCTTGAAGTTTCTGCTTGTGTCAAGATATCACCTGACGCTTTACTTCGTTGTGAAGGAGACCGAGGTAATCGTGACACGACGGATGCTACCACGCCCATAAAACTTTGTGGTCGCCATCGTGTAGCAGGCACATCAACTTGAATGACTTCCTGTCCTTTCTTTTTACGGTTATGCATAAATAAACCTGCTAAACCCAACGCAGCAATACATCCAATCCCTACACCCAAGCCAATGCCCAGTGCCTTATTGTTACTTGTCACAGATGCATCGGTTGCATCCATGACTTCGTCCCAAGGTGTGCCCGTACCTTCGCTCACACCGTTGTCGGTCGGAGAGGCAAAAATCCCCGTCGTCTCGCTTGTCTTTGTACTTGATGTACTACTCGTCAAAGCCTCGGTCGTACTGTTGGGAGCCTCGGTCGCTGTGGTTGTGACCGTGGCTGGATCGGTTGCCGTCTCTGATTCTGTTGTTGCATTTTCGGATGTCTGCGTGGCTATATCCTCCTCCTCCTCCTCCTCCTCTGTTGTTGTTGCTATGGTCGGAGTAGCACTCGTTGCTGTCACTGTTGACGTTGCTGTTGCTGCTGTAGCAGCTGCTGCTGCTGCTTCTAAACGTGATCTGGATTGTGCTCGGGAGTGTGAGACAGATTGTTGTGACCTCCACTTTGAGTGTACCGACTTGGATTTCGAGACGGATTTGGAACGTGCGGACTTGGACTTGGAGACGGATTTGGAGTGCATTGATTTCGATTTCGAGACAGATTTTGAGTGCAGTGAGCTAGACTTGGATTTAGACTTGGACTTGGATTTAGAGAGTGATGAGAGGGATCTAGAAAGTGCCCGTGATTGAGAACGATTGTTTGTGGGTGTATGGAGCGGTGTGGGTATCACCACCGTGGTAGTGCAAGTGGTGGCAAGTGTTGTATTGTATGTAGCAGTGGGTATACTTTGAGTTATATTCCAGCAGTGCGTTCTTGTCATCCGATGATAATGATGATGGTGGTGTGTATTGGTGCAAGAAACATTTGTACACAGTACTAAGAGTGATTTTTTTTTTTTTTGGGGTGTGATTTTGATTTTTTTTAATAAATTAATATTATATTAAAAAAAAAAAAAAAAAAATTGGGAAAATTATAAAGTACTTGTGGCATGATGATCAGAGGCAAGCGAGAGCTTGGCAAACATGGAAACGATGAAAAGAACAAGGAGAGAGTTCATCAAAGCGCATTCAAAAGGAATGTTGGTTGAGCTCAGGGGAAGAAAAAAAATGCGAATTTCTTGTATCTAAAAAAAAAAAAAAAAAAAAGAGAAAAAGAAAGAGAGAAAAACGAATGGAGACCTAATTTTTTTTATTGTGTGCTACATTTATAGGAGGTGCGGGGAGGGTTACCCAACACTTTTTATAAAAAGTGTCCTTTTTTTCCCCTTCTCTCTTTCTTTTTCTTTGGAGGGGAAGAAACAAATTAAATTTTTATATATCAGCAGTAAAAGGGTTGTGTGCGTCTTTTTTTTTTTGTTTTTTATTGAATCTAAACTTTAAGTTAATGGTGATGATCTTCTTCAGAACCAACAAAGTCCATTTCGAAAACGGAACCACATTCGGGACAACGATCGTGTTCATGAGACTTGTCCAAGTTGATCCAAATAACATCGTGAGATTCAACAGGGAAACCTAATTTTTTTTTTTTATATATAAATAAAAAAAATGTCAATCATAGTCGTCTTGCATTAAAAAAAAATCATGCATAATTTTGGGCTAAACAATAAAAAAAAAAAAATATTACCAGTGCAACCAACGAAACGAATGGGATCATGAGATTGAACAACAATGGGGTTCTTGGGTGTACCAATGTGAGTCATGTTCAAGGGTTCCATATCGAAAAGTTCCTTTCCTTGAAGCTTGGAAAGTAATTCTAAACGTTCCAAACCAGTGGCTTGCTCGAGATCAGTAGGGATCTCACCAGCCTTACCACCAGGGCCAAAGTTGCTCTCAGCAGGTTGTCCAACAGCAGCTAAAATACATTTATTAGCGCGCGCCCTTTTTTTTTTTTTTTTTTTTTTAATTAAAATCTCTCCATGAAAAAAAGCTTACAGAAACGAGCACCCAAAACAGAAAAGGGTCTGGCAGTGGTACGGGCAGCAAGAGGAGCAGCCTTAATAGCAGCACGACGAAGAGCAAACATTTTGTTTATATAAGAATGAGAGAGGGGGTTGTTGAAAAAAGAGAGAGAGAAAAAAACAAAAAATTTCTTTTTTTTCCCCCGCACACCCAACAACAACAAAAAAAAATGAACTCACTTTATTCCCTGCCCTGTTCGCTATTTGATGACGTAGATTATCGGAGTTTTTTATTCATTTTTTTTAAAAAAAAAAAAAGACTGTGGGTGACACACAACACAAGCTGCTCCGCCCATCATATGCAGCACGAGATGAAAAAAGATAGCAATGGGTTTATCAGGTCGATGGAAAGCGAGTGGTGTAGAAGGTGGTGGTGGTGTTGTGACATGGCCAGTATGCGTTGTAGGCAATGCGATGATGAATTCTGCTCCCTGAGGCTTGAAAAGAAGCAACGTGATTGGCGCTTTAAATTAAAATCATTTAAATAAACATGTACCAGCACAAAAAAAAAAAAAAACTATTTTACCTATTTGATCTGCGCATAGATACAAGGACATGAGCACGAAAGAAAGAGCCATAGTGTTTTTTTTTATTGTTAATTTTTTTAAAAAAGTATTTGTGTCTGGGTGAATGGAGGTGGGGTAAAAAAAGAGAAAGAAGACATGGTTGATATTTTTTTTGTTGTTGTTGTTAAGTAATTGATAGAGCTCTTTTGTTCACTATAAATGGGTTGAAAAAGGGGGGGGGGGGAGGAAGGGGTTATTAAGATCTGGAATTTAACTTTTCCTCAAGCAATTTAATCTTCTTTTCCAAGGGTTCAGTGGATTCTTGTGTTGTCTTTTGTACTAATTGAGAAATAGCATCAATCATGGCAGGAGAAAGCATGCCTTCAGGTACTTGTTGAGGAACCAAAGTCTTTTGTTGAGCAGCAGCAAAGGGATCTACCAAGAATCGAATAAAGCTTTCATGGTTCCTATTATAAAAAAAAAAAAAAAAAAAGTCAGTCTCTATTTTATATGACAATGAATGGGGAGGGAAAACTCTTACATCAAGACTTGTTCAATCTTGACCATGGCAGCCTCAAGTCGACTAGGGAATAAATCATCCAGGACAGTATCTTTACACTGCAAGATGAAATCCAATAATTTCTGATGTTTAGATTCCACTTCATTCAACATGGCTAGGATCTCTGTATTTGCATTATCGGAAGACATACCCTCAATACGAGCTCGCTTATGACCTACCACCATCTGCTGTTCATCTGTGGTGGCGGCGGCAGCGGCTGTGGATTTGACGGTTACCAACGTCTCCATCATTTTGACATTGTTATGGATCACACTCATCTCACGCTCCATTTCTTCCATACGTTTCACAGCGACCAAGAAATCGAATTTACCGGGTTCAATGGGGGTGATGGGACCTACACGTTGAGTTCGTAAAAGATCGACGGTTTCACGTAACTGCTGTGTGCATTGCTTGACCTCAACCAAATCATGCGAGAGACGACCGACGGATTCCTTGATGGCTTCGAAATTGGGCAAGTTTTGAGGATCGATATCAATTATAGCATTACTATTGTTATTAGCGGCTAACTGAGCACCAGCCTCCTTCATGGCCTGATACTCTGGTAAGCCCTGAATGAGACGTTGCATGTTACCGGGACTGATATTATCACTGATCAACTGTTTGACGGCATTGGTGATAGTACCAGGTATATTACCAACCTTTTCGTTTGTTGCACCGATAGCACGTTCTGTTTCGTGACTAAACTCTCTCAATTGAGCCTGAATCTTTTCATCCAACTTGGCAAAGACCTCTTCCTCTACAGTGGCAGCCACTTTCACCGGATCAAATTGACGACAAAGGAGACCAATCTTTTCGGTGATGGTGGTGAATAAACCAGCACTGTCTGATCGCATCTCTTGTACATTCTCTTGTTGTGTCTTGGTGATATGGGCTTGGAACTCCTCCATATTGTGTTGTAAGGTCTTGCGGTCGGTGATATCCATCTTATTCTCGCGTAATTCCTTTAAGGCAGCTTCTGTACGTAGTGCTGTTGATCGGAACTCTTGATGAAGTGTCTCGCTAAAGGTCTTGAGGGCCGCTGAGCATCGTGCTACAATGTCTTCACCCACAGACATGGTTGCTCCACTGACATCGGTGATGACTCGAATGAAACCTGTAATCACTTTTTGTTCGGCCTCATTGATTCTAACAGTAAAAAAAAGGGGGGTTGGTTGGTTAGATAACCTATTTAAGTTGTAGGCGTGAGAATGGGATTCTCTTTTTTTTTTTTTACTCTTTTCGTTTGTCGGCAATCTTGGCTTGTAAATCTTCAATGGTTTTATCTGCAAAAAAGGTTGATATATTAGACGATGCTTCCCCAAAGATATATTGATTACAGTAAGAGGGGGGGAAAGGGAACTTACTCATTTGTTCCAGATTACCAGGAGAAATGTTATCCCCACTAATCAGTGTTTTACGAATCGATGTAAGTGAATCCAACTTGGATTCCAGTCCACTAATCTCGGTTGCTGCGCGTGAGGCATCGTAAATGGATCTATATTTACGAAAAAGAAAAAAAAAAAAAAGTTCAAACAAGGCATTCCTCTTTTTTTTTTTGAAGGGGTGTGGCATTACGTCAAACACTCATGCAACTGAGCTTCACTGGAATCTGAAGATTTTGTAACTGTTCCTGTACTTTGTTCAGACGCCATGGTGTAATAAAAAAAAAAAAAAGAAAGAAAGAAGAAAAATGTGTCTGACACCAATTTTTTATTTTTTAAAAAAAAAAAAAAAAAAAAAAACGCCCTCCCGCCTTGATGACGAAACCAAAAAAAAATAAAATAAAAATAAAAACTACGTAGACATAACCACCTGAATCCATGGAGATTTACTAGTAATACTCACATCAATGCCAAAGCGATTTTTTTTTTTTAAAAAAAAAAAAAGGTGTGGCTATAAAAGAAAAGTCACAATCCCGGGTTACCTTGTCCCTGTGCAGCTTTTTTTGTTTGACCTCCCCCCCCCCCCCCTTTCTATCTTTTTTTTTTTTCATTTTAAAACATGTCTGCCATTTCACCATCCAAACAAGCAGCAATACAAGCTTACCGTAGCTTACTCAAGACACAAAAGCAAGTGTTTGCTGGTAAGCACATGTTAGATACCTCCCCTCGGGGAACACATAAAATAACAACTTTTTTTTTTTTTTTTTTGATGTGATACAGCTGATGTAGCTGCTGTTGAAGGTATCGAATTTATTGCTTTTGCATACATGTTCTTGATGTATATACATATATATTTAAACTTTTTTTTTTTGTTTGTTTAGCTGCTAGAAGAGAAACGTATGCTAGATTTATGCAATTCCAAAATGAAACGAACCACGATATCCTTGAAGAGGTACACACTATTATTATTTCATAAGCAAGAAAATTGACAGATGTTTTCTTTAATAAAAGAAATTAAAATTGGCTGGACAAGTAGAATCTTTATTGAAAAAGAATGTGATTCAAGGTGTTCCACAGGGCGATAATACATTTAGTATGTGTTTCTCTCTCTCTCTTTTTTTTCCATTCATGCTTACATACTTTTTTTTTTTGTTAGAACTTCGAATCACTAAAGATACTGAATTGAGTGATAATGATACCATCAAGAACACAAAGAACGTGAACCGTAAAAAGAAGCATCAACACAAACATACAGGTGGATGTTGTGGTGGACATCATTAAATCACTTGTGATACAAAAATATCTTTTTTTTCTCTCTCTCTCTCTCTATCTCTCTCTCTTTCTTTTTTTTTTCATTTCTTTTTCTTTTTCTCTCTTTTCACCTCCAACCACCCCCCATGAGTAATAACAATAATAAAAAAGTACCTGAATGGTCTTTACAGTTGACAGAGAAACTGATGTCTCCTAGTATCTCATCCTCTGCCATCATTATGCATCATCCACAGGATAAGCAGTTTGAAAATTACCTCGACCGACAGTTCACCTCAGACGATGCAACTTTACTCAAGAACAGACTTTCCGAAACTCCTTCCAAAAAGCCTTCGGAAGCCACCACCTTGCGAAATTCCTCAGGTACTGCCAAATACCCCACGATCGTTCCAAAAGGAGGAGGAGGAAACCCACAGAACGACGAGGAGGAGGAGGAGGCAAACCCTTGGTGGTTAACCAAGAACGATACGGACGGCTTTTATTCCTTGCCCGGTGTGTTCTTCTTATTGGGTTTCATCTTTCCTCCATTTTGGTGGATCGGTTCACTTTGGCCTCGCCACGTAAGAGAAAAAGGTGGGAAAATGGCAGAACGATGGCAGAAATTAAATCGCATCATGTCTATTGGTTTTAGTTCTATACTTGTGATACTTGTGATTGTTTTTGCTGTTTTATATGCCACTGGTAACATGTAAAAAAAAAGAAAAAAAAAAAGTCTTATACCCTGCATTTTTATTATCAAATAAAATCAAAAAAAAAAAAAAAAATTAAGCTTGTTGTTTACAGATGACATTGTTTACATTACCACCTAAAAAAAAAAAAATGTGAGTAACTGAGTGTAACCTTGAGCGTTAAACGAAAAAACTTACGTCCGTCGGCACGATGTGGTAAATCCATAGCGTACCGCCACTCGCCGTCAACAATGAATTTAAACTCGGTATCTTTGCTGGGATCCATTGGTATAGAGACAACGTGACATTGTGTTTCTTGCACCATATCAACCGGAACTTTTTTAAGGGGGGGAAAAAAAGGTCATGAGTTCTTAAAACTTATCTTAATAATTGTCTGTATAAAACTTACCAGACCAATTATTAAATTCACCTGTGACTTGAACCATTTTACCGCCATGATTCCAACTAATCTAAATTATATAAGAGAGAGTTTTGAATTTAGTTTGCAACCAATTTAAAGAAAAAATTTAGTTTTACTTGGACTGATCGTAAGGTGTTATCAACGGTCATTTCGTCAAAGAATTTTGAAGGTCGCATGATTTGAGAACAGGCTGGTGTAGAATTGTCACTATCGGATGAAGAAGCAATACTGCTGGCTGATAAACTACGTTTCATGCTAATCTCTTGTTCGTATTCATCATCTGATGCCTCTGTTTTTGTATGTTCTGTGAATGCTGCCGGTCCCTCGTCTAACTCTTCTACGGTTTCTACCAAATGTTCAGACTCCTTTAGTTCTCCTGGAGTCAATGCGTCTTGTTCCTCCTCGTCTTCTTTGTCGAATGCATCTTCTTCTTCTTCTTCTTCTTCTGTCAATACAAGTGGACTTGCGGTAGAAATGCTTCTTGTCTTTGCTCGAAAAGACCGTGAAGTGTGCCGAACAACACCAAAGACGGCTAGGAGAGTGACCCAGGAAGATAATGGTTCTTTATCCTCCTCTTCATCTTCTTCGGATGTGTTGCAAGATCGATGGACGATATCGTAGCTACAATCATCTTCATCGCTACTGTTCTTTATGCTGGAAGGGCTAGAAGGGGACAACGGAAGTGCAAGCCAATCACGCATCGTGAACCGTAATATCTGTAAAAAGAAGAAACGAAATGAAAATGAAAGAAAAGAAGAAGTTGCTGAGATCATAACTTTTTATTTTTTTTTTTATTAGGCAAAAATCAGCTAATTTTTTTTTTTTTTTTGGGAGGGGTAATAAAGATAACGAAAAATACTTAAAAAAGGACTTTTTTTTTGAAACTTATTTGTGGTCTCTTTTTATAATAAAAAAAAAAAGTTGCCTCCTCTTTCATATAAACTGTTTCATTCTCCAATCATACCTTATTTAAACTTTTTGGTTCTGCTTCCCTTCTATGCAAAACAATGAAAAAAAAAAAAAAAAATTCCCACCTGTGCGTCTGTGTGGGTATGACTTCTTACGACATTTCTGGTTTTAATCTTAGAGAGTCTCACATGTACCTTTATTATACATCTTACAGTTCACAACAAACAAATAAATATTGGTGCAACATTCGTGTATTCTTTCTTTATAGATCACACGCGACGAACATATATTTTTTTTTCCAATACCCGTCTCTTCTGGAACCTAAAGGGTGAATATATTACTCAGTACGCTTCCCATTCAATAGTGAGCTTTTCTGTGCATACAAAACTGAAAAAAAAAAAAAAAAAAAAAAAAAAAATTACTTGAGCTTACTATAAAAGTGCACATCTCACTTTCTCTCCTCTAATCTATCTGTCTTTTTTATCTCTCAACCCTGCTGACCCTCCATCTATCACGGTTGCTTCTGTCACCTGTAAATCTATTCTCCTAACGAGATATATACTCGTAATCGAATATCAATATGCGCGGGCATTTAAAAAAAACGTAGGATGCATTGGTACCACTACAACTACCCACAATCGTTGACTTTTTTTTTTTTTTTTTGGCTGTTGAGTATGACAGAGATAGGCTCTAGATTTACGTACCAGTAAGAAAAAAAAATTATGTGTGACTGGGTGGGTATGGGATGGGGGGTGACAGAAATGTACGTGTTGCCACGCAACGCTTACGAAACACCCCCACACAGACAGACACCTGAAATGAAACATGAATTACCAAATAAAGGCAAAGTCGGAATTCCCATAAAGAGACCCCGCTCCCCCCCCAATGAAGGACATGAATTTATCTCTCTCTCTCTTTTCTTAAATATTTTTACACACGCATATATATAAAAAGGAAATGTTTCGTTTGATATTAAAGCACAATATTCGAGCCATGTCAACACTCTCTTCTGCCAAGCAGGTGAATTCTGCTCAGCTTCAAGCTTGGTTATCACAGGAAAAGAAAAAAGTCATTGCCAACGGCATTACCATTGTAGACGTACGAGAACATGACGAGGTAGAACAACATGGCAAAATTAAAGGTGCTATCAATGTCCCATTTAAGTTGGATACCACCATGTTTTTAGCTGCCTTGTCAGATATTAATAAGCATAGCAAGGTATTATCTCTCTCTCTTTTTCTATATTCTTTTTTTTTTTTTTTTTGTTCTGACAGCTCCTCCCCAATTAGGTGGTCTTTCAATGCATGTCGGGCCGTCGAAGTGACTCAGCGGCGATTTTAGCTTCCAAACATGGGTTTGAAGATACCTATAGTCTGTCAGGCGGTTTAAAAGAATGGGATGGTCCTATTCAACCCTTTATGAATAATCATTCTCCTTGGGTTCATACTCTTTTTGATGCGGACACAGAAACTGCTCAATACGTTGTCACAGATTTGGGTAAATATGTAAAAAAAAAAAAAAAAAAAAAAAAACGTATGACTAATTTATCTCACCTCACTTTTTTTTTTTCACAGCAACCAAGGAAGCTTACATCATTGATCCCGTGTTAAACTATGATCCATTTGCTTCCACTGTACAGCCATTACTGGCAAAACAATTAATGCAACATGTGGAGAAATACGGTTTGAATGTTTCAAAGATTATTGACACTCATGTTCATGCGGTAAATGAATTTCAAACGTCCTCCCCCCCCCCCAAATTATTCTAACCATGTTATTTATTTATTTTTTGAAAAAAAAAAAAAAAAAAAAAAAAAAAAAAAAAAAGGATCATTTGACAGGTGCATTTTACTTGAAATCTCACTTGCCAACCAAGGTAAACATAAAAGATGATATATCTAAAAAGCTCTTATTTAACCTCTTTATTGAACTAGCCCGAATTCTGGATGGGAAAAGACGTAACCCGAGTTCAAGAAGTATTTAGTGAACGTTATAATTTAGACAAGAATGAATTAGAAACGGACGGGTCTCAGTTTGACAAACTTGTGCATGAAGGCATGGAATGGACTTTGGGTAAAGATATTCATTGTAGCGTTTTGGCAACACCTGGTCATACACCTGCTTGTATGTCTTATCGTATTGGTGATGCTGCTTTTGTGGGTGACACCTTGTTTATGGTAAGCTTCCCCCCCCCCTTTTTTTTTACTTTCTTTTTTTGTATATAGGATGCTAAAACACCCTTGTTTCCCTGTGGGAATAGCCCGATATAGGTACTGCACGATGCGATTTCCCAGGTGGAAGTGCGGAAACAATGTATGAGAGCATTCATAAAATGTATAACCACTGGCCTGATGATACAAGAATTTATGTTGGTCACGATTATCCTCCTGCAGATCGTCCGGTAAAAATAAAAATAATACGAAGGAAAAAGTCGGTTTCTAATCTTTTTATTTCGTTAGTATAATGTCATGACATCGTTGGAAAATCATAAATTAACCAACAAGATGATTAATAGTACGGTGACTTTAGAAGAGTATACAAAGATGCGTAAAGAAAGAGATTCTAAATTAAAGGCACCTCGTTATATTCACCCATCGATTCAGGTAATATTAAAAAAAAAAAAAAAAATTATATAGTTTTCCCCCCCACTTATTTGTTTGTTTTACGCTTAGACTAACCTCAGAGGTGGTATTTTACCCACGCCTGAAATTTCGAAACATGAGAAAGATGTGCTCCGTCAGTTCTTTAAGATCCCCGTTAGATTTGTTTCTTCATAATAAATAAAAAGTGATATTCTTTTTCCCTTTCAACCCTTTAAAAAAAAAAAAAACTTTATTTAACCTTTGCAATGCTATGTACCATTTCCTCCTTGGAAATTAAATGACACGTCTTTTCAATCAAATTTAACAAACTATTGATATCACTTGACCAATTATTCAAAATCTCATTGGCATCCTTCTTGGTCTGGAAATTAATGACACCAGCAGAACGATCGATACGAGCATAAATAGTCTTTGAAACCACCAACTTGGAAAGGAAGTCCTCGGCGTCCTTTTCGGTGAGATCCAACAACTGAGTCAATCGTTTGGTGGTCACACGCGTATAATATTTGGCGATCACTCGAATGTTATGTTCAACGACACGGTTATGAAGCTCCTTCAATCTCTTTTGACCTTCCTCCGTAGACTTGTTAAAGGCGTCCGATTGGCTTAATAATTGACCATAGGTTTGCTCGATTTCAGCCCATCGCATCAATTCGCTAGTCACGAAATGCTTGGTGAGTTCACCGTATTGAGGGATCTGTGCCAAGTGGGCATCTTGGTAAAGTCGATGGAGTAAATCTGATTGCTCATTATCGTAAGGTGAAAGAATCACAAACAGAACTGCATTTTGAAGCGCGTCCTTCCATTTCTTTTCGTCTTCCTTGATGGATTCGGAATCATAAATTTGCTTGTAAAACTTGTGCACGTTCAAGTACTGATCCTCGTGTAAAGCATGTTGAATCATCAAGTTGTAGAATCGAAGTTTCAAATCCTAACATTAAAAGGTTGTGTTAAACAGAGCATTTCTTTTTTTTTTTAGGGGAATGGAAAGCCTTACTTCATTCTCCTTGTCTTGGAAGAATTTAATATTGATCTTCTTGGAAATAATTTGAGTACGAATGTAATCTGATTTGGCCAAACAAAGTCTCATTTGCTCCAAAATAAAATCGACCTTTTCACGTTTATCCATTGACCCAAAAGTCTCAACTTGAAGTTCTTGAAGAATATCTGCTGCTTCGGTTACCTTGCTTTCTTCTTCGCGAATCTTTGCCAACATACGGGTGACACGTGCGCGTTCCACTTCAACATAAATCTAAATATGGGCATCGAATTTAGCATACACACACGTCTTCTCTCCCTCCCCCCCCTTTTTTTTTTTTTTTTTGCATAAAACAAAAAAACAAAAAAAAATTCATTTCTTATATACCTTTCCGTCAGTTACGGTACGAAGTGTATCAATCAATTCAAGCTTAGTCTCTAAATCAGGTGTGGAATCAAGATATGTCATAACTTCTTGAATCATCAATGTAGTGGCCTAATACAAAAATTCAGTCAAAAAAGGGTCTTCTTATCACTTGGGGGGCTACTTACAGCCTTGAGTTGACCATGCTTCTTGGATAATAAAACAATTTGCTCATTTAAAAGCTTCCAGTCCTTGACTTCATAACATAACTTGACAATTTGAACAAGAATACGACCTGTTGAAGATTGATCGGCAGCCTAAGTGAAAAACAAGATGAATACTCTTTTTTTTTTTTTTCCTCTTTATTCATTCTTTCTGCATTTACGTTTCTTGCTTGCTTTTCAATAGACATCAACTTTTCCAAAGCTTCTCTAATTTTACCTTGCTACATTTTCAGAAAGAAAAAAAAAAGGGAAAGGGTTTTATTAGTACAATAGGGAAAAAAAAAACGCGCGTCCCCCTTTCATTATCGATTCTTTTTATTTTATGTATATACCTTGGCTAAAGCTTCGGTTTCTGGTAAAAGAACATCCACTTGAGGACTAAAGTCCTTATCCATCTTTTCTAATCTTCCGTCTGACATTGTGTTTTATGTATATATGTTAAATGTTCAAAAAAAGATATTAAAAAAAAAAATCCCAGGACAGTGAAATTTTTATATAAAAGTTAAATCGCTTACGTTGTAAGTGTATACGTCATTGAGTTTTGAATCCCCGTTCAATATGTGTGGTGGTGGTGGGAGGAGTACACATTGAAAGAAGTGTTTCCCGTATTGGGATGGATGTGGCATCTTCTCTCCATTTTACATGGATTACAATGCGAATTATATGTCCTACTTTTATCTGTCATCCTAGATACCCCTCCTGAAAAAAAAAAAAAAAAAAAAAAAAAAAAAAAAAAACTTTGAATAAGAACCTTGGTACAGCAAAAATAATTTTAGTAAACATGTTGCATATCGTTTATAAATGCCACGGACCGAATGTAAATAACCTTGAGGAATCAGTGAATTTTGTATGAAAATACTTGGTAATCAAATCATTGATTGTCATATTATGGGACCCCGCAATGAATATAGCCTAACTTGTAACCATTTATACGTCTACTCATAATTATCAAAAACACCTTTTGATCAAACTCGGCATATGATACAATAGAGGTAGCGACCGATACACATTGTTCATTAATTAAGATGACACAAACAAGACGAAAGGATTATACCGTATCGTTGTGGATTTTGATCACTTCACCTTCACTCCTATGATTTATATATATATATATATATATATATATATTAACTCTCCTCATTGGCATTTATTATAATTAAGATAAAAGTTACATTGAATGATTTTTTTTTATACAATAGAGGAAGAAGGGGTTACGTGCGGTAAATTTTGATCATAAACGTAATTACGGCTAGGAGGAGGTGTAGGAAAGTACTTGTAGTAAGCATTTAATACGGCAAATGTACCAAACAAAATTAAGCCGATCCCCAAAAACCACAGGCCTATAAACCCACCATGGATACTGATGACTTGATTAATAGCATCAGAAAATGCGTCTCTGTCCGACACAATGGCTGGGTATTGTAGTGTTCTAAACATGAAGACGGCTACAAACATGAATACCTAATGATAGTAATAAAAAGGACATCTGTAGGGTAAATAATCTAAATTATCACACATCCCAAAAGCATATAAAAAAGGAAGAAAAAAAAAACTTACACCAGCTCTGGCTAGAAATCCCAAGTGACCTAGGGCATACATCATATACTTTTCAATTTTGGTGGATTCCTCGGTCTTCAAATCAATATGCCATCGGTTGGAAAAACCGTTTTGTGCCTGTGTAATAAAAGCAATGATAAAGGCCACACCGAAAACACCCACGGCCATACGATAGACCCATTGATCAGAACTGGCCCAACAGGACGGAAAACATCCGGTGGATCCTTTGGCGCTCTGTATTCGCTCTTCATGAGATTGTGTCAATAATTTACCAATGTAGACTAAATAAACAATGTACACACAGCCTGATACAATCGGTGATAATCTGGCTCGAAAAAAGTTTCCAAAAGGCGAGCATAGTGCATCATAACCTTGTCCTGAGAAGCCTTCCCAACTGCAGTAAAGAAAAATATATATATATATATTAGAATAAAATATATATACACGCAGATACGCTCACTCACAATCGCCAAAGAGAGTAGAATAATATTCCAATCAACATGATGACAAGAATAGGTGTACCAATTGAAAATAAACCCAAAAAAATAAAGACTCCCTACAAAAAATTTAAAAAAAGTATTACTTTTTTTTAAAAAAAAGTTCTCATGTTTCTTTCTTTTAAAAAAAAAGAATGTGTATTAAATGTGTTGTATGTGTACAAACCATGGGTGATTCTGTACCTGTAATATCACCAGTCAAATGCTGTGCTGTAGCAATACACAGTCCTCCCATGACAGCATATAAAATTCCTTTCGCAATAAAACCGATTCTGCCCAACCATGTCACGATAGTGTAGTGCCGTAAACGTACCCCTTTGGGTGTATAAAATATCTCTTTCCATTGTCGATGAAACCATGTCTGTTCTGTTCTTTGTTTTTCAATGATTGGAATATCGCTATTTCGATGAATGGCACTGTCTTGGTCCATTCTAATGCTTGATACTGATATACTGTTTGTAGTAGTCTGATCCATGATGGTTTTATTTATTTTTTTTAAAAAAAAAAAAAATGAATTAGAAAAAGAAGAGCATCAATAACAATAACAATTGAAAAAAAAAATGTCTTTTTATACATGATAATATGCGCTCTATCATTGTGCATATACATTTACGATGATTTTGTTGTACATGATGATTTTAATCGAACCTATAAAAGCAGTATCACTTGCTTCTTGTCATCATGAAACAATTAAATAAAAAGTCTGACTTACTTCCATTCCAGCGATTTATCTCCATGTATCGATTTGAAAGCAGTTAACAAAACAAAAAAAAATCTGACGTGCAAAAAATAAATTACTCCCTGTGTGTCTCCCCCGCCCCCTGGGATTGAGTTTTAAGCTAATAAATGTATGATAATCATGAAGACCCAATTTTTTGGCAGGTGATCTACACCCCCAAATGTTCGAATTCTCTGGTAATAACAGACTGCATGTCCTTTTATTTTTTTATACTGATTTACACGCTCTACATCGTTTGCAGATGACGATTTGCCTCCTCCAGATCACTTTATCGTGATTTTAATTTTTTGAAATTTCAAAAAAAAAAAAAAAAAAAAAGTACCAAGCTAGATGATGCCTTGCTGTCATCCACAAATGAAAAAAACAGTAATGGTATCACAAGGGTTGATGACAATTTAATAAAAAAAAATTGAAAGCTTTCTTTTATATAAGAAACAAAAAAAGTACTTCTTTGACTTTATCCCAGACACATTGTGGGTATTATATTGTTTTAAAGCCTTAAAAGAACAGGCTTTATTCATTTTGTGTAGTCTGTAATGCATATTAATTTATGAGGATAAAAGAAAAAATGAATACCTGTAGTAGATGAACGGCAGCTGGACAATGAAGCTATGAATTAATTAAAACTTTATAATGATAACTATTATTCCTATCATTTAGAATTTCCTATGAATAAAGCGATTTGCAACCTCCCATTATCATGCAAATAGACTTCTAGCAGTGACGAGTTTTTTTTTCTATGTATTGTGGATGAAGCAAAAACTTTATTCCTTGATTAAAATAAGGTTGTTATGAAAGAACTGCTATTGTTGAGAAAATTGGGATTTTAAAAACCGCTAAATTCAACATTGCTAGCTCAAGAATCATCTCGAAAGAGGTTTGTTAAATATCATGACTTTATGATAGACGTACAAGTCATGGTTCAGTGAATTTAGTACCCTTTTGGTTGGTTTCTCAACAATTTATTAACATTGAACACCATTTTTCTGGTTAGTTACTACAGTAAGTAAGAGCTCAAACTATTCTAAATTGTACTTTTAACCGAACAAAGCTTCTGTAGCTTCAATGTATGAGATAAATGCTAAATATTTTTTAAAAAGACGATAATTTACAGAAAATCGTAAGCTGAGGATAAAAATAAAATGAACTGCGTCGGACATTGTAGTTAGGGTCACACACCAATTTTCATGAAAAGAAAAAAAAAAGGGGAGTATAAAGAAGGGCACTAAATTTTGAGAAGGCACAATAAACAATCATTTCCCAAATCAAATAGGGTGTCTCGAACATGGGAATGCTTAATAAAAAAATAAATAAAAAAAAGCCTCTTTTTTTTTCTCTCTCTTTTGGTTGCGTTGTACACTTTAAACAAGGCTGAGGCACAATGAGCACATATTCTGTAATCATGAAGTAATCGAGGGTGCTACATAACTATTCCGTGTTACTGATCTTCTAATTTTCTATACAACATCCAGGGAAACAATGAGAGATAAATGACCCAAGTAAATAAATGATTCATACAGCAATTATACAATGTTCCAATATAATTCCAAAATCTATATTGTTATTGTAATTCACATCATTAAATAGTAGTACAAACAAGCCATCTCATTAAACTATTTTGAGAGCAGACTTTGATCACAGCAGAACCGGCCCCGTGGAACACAGACTGATCTATCATCAAATAATTGCATGTTTTAATTTATAAAGACGAAAAGTCAATCAAATAAATTAAATCGTTTTGGCCTCTTTTTTTCAAGACTTTGAGGTATACTTGTACGTCGTGAGATTTCATAATCATTACAGCATGGCAGCCATATGACATTGCCATCCAAACTCATATACTCTAATATTCTTTGAGCTAATGGATGAATATTTACCATTTTTTTTTTTTTTTTTTTTTTTTTTTTGGTTTTCAGGTAAGTTGAAGCTGGATCATCCTTTCAGGGGAAAATAAAGGCGTGCCTTATTTTTGTCCATAAAAAAAAAAAAAAAAAAAAAAAAAAAAAGCCGTCTCATTTTAGGTTAAATACAAACGCACGTTTTTTTTTTTTTTTTTTTTTTTTTTTTTTTTTCTTCTTTCTCCTATTGCAAAAAAATCAATAACAATAATACAAAAAAAAAGAGACCTCAATGCAACAAGTGAATGGAGTACCTGTTCTATCTTCAGACCCAGGTTTATTATACTTTGGTTTAGATGAGGAGCCAACCTGGTTTAGTGCACAAGGTGGTGTCTATAAATGTGTTGAACGGACAACAAATAAACAAGTAGCCATTAAGAAGTATTTAGTAGAAGAAGAGAGTCGACATGAAGACATGTTTGTCATGCCAAAAGAACTTGTAGAGAACGAAATTTATTCCATGACAAAATGCGTTCATCCCAATATCCTGAAATTATTAGCTGTTCACTTACATGAGGAATTCGTCTATCTTATCATGCCTCTCTGTACAGGCGGTTCTTTACAACAATACGTATTTGATCATCATCTTACTGTAGGTCAACTTGTTCATATCATTACATCGGTAAGCCTAATAAAAAGCACACGTATTTTTATTTTTTTTATTTTTTTATTTTATTTTTTTTATTATTATTACATATTAATCCTATTTTTAGATTGCTTCAGGTTTAGCCAAGGTGCATAGCCATGGTTATATCCATAGAGATATCAAGTGCGATAATATCTTTTTAGATCAAGAAAATAATAACATTGTTATTGGTATTAATAATATCAAAATGAATATATGGAATAGATTATTCATACTTCCCTTTTATAGGTGACTTTGGCGTGGTTTCTATTTCACCTGCAGCCGATTCAAGCGTAGAAGAAGCTGGGGTTGTCTTGTTTTGGTCACCTGAATTAGTACAGCAAAAAGTTGTTAACCATAAAGTAGATGTCTGGGCCTTAGGTATTGTAATCCTAGAAGTGCTGAATGGTGGTAAAGCACCTTATGAAGATGATAAATTGGATGAAGACGAGGTAATAATTTCATTTGTTCACCATTATTAAATATGGTACACTACACTAACAAAATGTGGATAGATCAAACAAAGAATTCTGGATACAGGAAAACCTGACTACCCACCAAATTTGCCTTCGCGACTTATCGATTTATTGGATCGCTGTCTTGATCCTGATCCTCGTTCAAGATCCTCGGCAAGCACTATCTTGCAGGTAAAAAATAAATAAATACAACAACTTTTTTTTTTTTTTTTTTTGGTATGCAGTAGATTGATTCATCTTTATATATACTAGCACCCATTTTTAAAAGACTATGAACCCGAATTATTATTCCCCGCCACTAGACTCGAAGAGGAAGAGGAAGAGGAAGACGTTTCGTCACAATCTGATTCTGATCAATTGGACAATATTATGCATGATATTATTAAACAGGAGACGCCCAATCACCAACTAGACGATAAACAGTTAAATACAGACGTGCATTATTTCGACGCAGAAACGGCTTCTGTGTTACCGCTCCCACCCGCAACAACACCCACCACAACTGCTAGTTCACAACAACCCGCCAAATGCAGATTGCCTCTTCCCTCCTTCTCTGTTGATAAATCAGTCTCTGCTGCTATACCTGTCAATGAGAAAATAGCAAATGTCATACGCAAACGTCAATCTATGTCAGACTCAAATCGTAGTCAAGGTTGTCGTATTCCCATGCTTTGTATCTTACAACCTGTGATTGAACCCGTGATCGAGCCTGTGATTGAAGCACCCGTCGTGAAGCAACCTCGACTTCGATCTGTCAAGTCTGTCAAATTACCACCCATGCAACAAAGATCATTGTCTGGTTCAAGTGAAAACATGCCAATGGCCCGAAAACCATTAAGTAGATCAAATACTGTACCTACACGTATGGATCAAAACATGAAATCCCCAACACGTCAAATTAAATCACCCGTTGCAAAAATCGAGACTAAGCCTTCTCAAAAGCGGGCTTCACCAAGATCCCCATTAAATGATATCAAGACCAACTTGCGTAAACCTAAAACCACATCACCTCAACCACCACCCACCCAAAAAGCCAAAAAGGAATTACCGCCAAAAAGTTCCATCTATCGTCACAAACGTTTACCTGCAGGTGAAAGTCGTACAACCAGATTAATGATGGGTGTGAGTACAACAGGGCGTCGACAATCATTTAGACAAAGAGACGAGACGACTGAAAAGGAAGTAGCACCCACATTAGGGTTAGGGTCTCGATTAGGAAAGGTCTTTGGCAAAAAAGATCTGGATAGTAAAAAAAGACCCATGTCCTTTGCTGCCTCTTCTTCCTCCATGCTCGTTAGAAACAATACAGAAATACCATCACCCATTAAATCGATACCCCATAAAGATTCTCCCCCAAGATCAAGAAGACAATCCGTACCTCTTCCTCCTACAAAAATGTTGGAAGAAGCCTCCAAAAACAACAAGAAATCAAATAATGCCATCAAAAATAGTATAAAGGCCCTTCGAGTTCATTAAGCCTCTATGTATATGTTCCTTACTCACTTTCTCTCCCTTTTTAGTATAAATAATATCCCCCCTCCCTTTTCCCCTTGTGTTCCCCCTCTCTTACCTTCTTCTTCTTTTCTCTCACCCCTTGAACGTTTTCTTAACTGTAAAACTGTTCTTTTTCTTCTCTTCATTAAAAAAAAAAAGAGGTGAGTTTAAATAATAATAAAAATTAGCATGAGCTGCTCTACTCTCATCCTCAACGTCACCCCTTAGTGTTCAATAACAAATCAATCAAAAACAACCACAACAATAAAAAAAAAAGAAGGATAAATGATTAAAGGGGTTAAAGGAATATATCAATGCGTCTTAACCCAATGATTCTTACTCTTCGGTGACCGTATCACAATGTCATTATGCACATAATCAAGTTTTATATATATTTATACATCTTTTTTTTTTTTTCCTTCCCCGAGCAGTTAAGTGTGATATTGCTCTTGGACAGTAAAATATGCTGTTACTGTTGGGGGCTAATCTTTTTTTCTGACTCACATTGCCTTGACATTGCGTTTAAAATCCCACTTTTCTTTGCATTTTTGTTTATCTTTGCCTACTTTTGGTAGCCAATGTCATAAACATGGGCTTTTTTTTTTTTTTTTTTTCTCCACGGTTGACATTTACATGCTCAATGATTTTTTTTTTTTTTTTTTTTGAGTTTAATTTAACCAAGCATAATACTTACTTTTATTTGATTAACTTTCAGTCATCAAATTGTAGATTTTACTCAAACCAATCGTTCGAAACAGACGTTTAGCACATCGCTTTTCTTAGGGACAGCCAAAAAAGAAAGAAAAAAAAAAATTTGTTTAAAATGCGAGCAAGCTTATCTTGAAAAGTGTTTAAATTAGACTTTTATTATTTAGAGATTCAGAGAGTATTTTTTAATAAGACACCTGCGTATGGTTATCTTTCTGTACATATAATATGAGCAACTTTGCAATTAAAATAACTAAATGATAAAAAAATATCACCAGGAACAAAGTGAATTCAGGTTATTAGAAGCATAGAATTCTAGACCTCAGTATTTTGTTCAACCGTACTTTTTTTTTTATATATATATTACTTACAGTGGATACTGGCACAGACAAGCAGGCCAGTATAATCACATTCATATACAGAGTGACTCCAGCTATTTACAGTCTAACCGTCCAATGAGTTTTAAAACCCAATCTACAAGAAGACCATCCTATAGCCGTAGTACTGCAATAATTGCAATAAAGCTATGTTTTTTTAAAGAAAATAAAAAAATTATGTATATTAAAGGAGAAGAAAAAGTGTGTGAACAAGATTTACTTGTAAGCTGATACACAAAGAGCTTACATCCGAATGATGTTTTAAATCAGCCAAAAATGTTTGGGCTTTTACTTGATAGAGAAACATATGTAAACGTTCAAAGCAAGTCACTACTTGATAGTTGTTCATCAGCAGTAGTAGTATTTATTAATAGTAAAGCGTATTTTATGAAAATTAAAAATCAATCATCCAAAAAAACTCAAGATTTTAACCGATGTCTGTGTAGGCTATTACGTAATTCTAAAAAAATACGGACAGGTGTAGACTCTTGTTTGCTTATATCAACGAAACGCTCTCAGCAAATGTTGTACAACATTAGTAGTCTGCATTAATACTGTCGTGGCTTCGGTCACACAAGTAGTTTAATATTTAAAATAGTGTTCACTAAAATATAATAAATCATCTTTTGATCTCCTAAATAATCTTTGATATATTCGGTCGTTACATAACAATAGTTCCTCGACAATTGGTAGCACCAGTTTATTAAAAAGAATTGTTTTTGTAAAAATAATAGAAGTAGTAACAACAACGATAACAAGAATTTCATGTTGGAACAATCTCAAGAAAATTTAAACAAATTTGAAATTGAGGAAAGAATTGAAGCTGCCTTACCAACTGCATTAAAAGCTGCTTACCATAAATTAAGAATTATAAAAGCAGAAGACATTATCGTACGAATTAAATCAACAGAGAAAAGAGAGGCACATTGGAATTCAATAATCAAACCATTAGTTGGAAAATATATATTGGAATTATCGAAACAACACTTAGAACATAACAACCAAGAATTTTCGAAGCAACACTTAGAACATCACAATCAAGGAGCATCAAATATGGCTGATCAATATACAAACGAATTATCCATAGCAAACACTATTGCACTTGCGGTGAAAGAAGGAATAGCTCAAGCAATTGGGGCAATCAATGCTTCCAATACAAACCAACAACAAAATAACAATATGGAAATAGATCTTATTAACAAACCGATGAAATACAATGGATCTAGGGATCCTTTCGTTATCGATAATTTTATCAAGGGAATAAATGATTACAAAGCATATAAAGAATGGGATGACGAGCAGACGTTTAAGTTTGCTCGTACTTTGATGTGCGACATTGCATCTATATGGCTGCGTAACTTGGAATTAAATGACAATGATGCACCAACTACTTGGACTAGCCTGCGTGCAAAAATTATTTCAGGTTTCAAGCCAACGAATTCAGCTTTAGTGTTTCGAGAACGTTTAGAAGAATTGCGACAAACAACCACCATATCCCAATACATTCAAGACTTTTTGACTCTAAAACTTGGTGTGCCAACAATGACGGACGATGAAGCGGTATCTAAATTTATCAGACATCTGAAAAATAAGGATGCGCGTGTACATATTCGAAATTTGTATAGAGGTGACAAATGTCCTACCATGGATGAAGCAATCCAAGCTGCTTATGTATTTGAATCTGCCCGTAATGAGCATGGAACATATTCATTTTTGCCGAACACCAACTCCATGTCTGTACCTCAACCAATCGATGATCCGATGGATCTCTCCGCACTTCGTGATATGGTCAATTATATCAGTTCCAATAGCCGCGGTATTCAACGTGGTAATTATCGTGGTGGATATAGAGGTAATTTTCGTGGTGATTTTCGGGGTGGCTTTCGTGGTCGTGGATTTTCTCGTGGGGAATCTAGAGGTGGATTTCGAGGGGGTTTGCGTGGGCGTGGTTTCTCTCGGGGACAATTTAGAGGTGGCTATCAAGGACATCAGCAGTATTATGAACAAGAAACTCGGTCATGTTATCAATGCCAGCAAGTTGGACATTTACAGTACAATTGTCCGCAAAACCGCCAAGAAGCTCATTATATGAATGATGGTTTTTATTACAGCGACAATTATGATTACGATAATGAACAACAACATGACTATTATCCGCAATCACATCCCTCTTCCCACCCCAATCCTACCCCTACCCCTCAACCAGTAATGGATAAATCTACCAATAAAGATAAATCTTCTCAACAGTATTCTCAAGAGCCTTTTATTCTTTATGCTGTATTGCCATCATCGGCTTCCTTTGTGCAACCGTTAAAACTAAATAAGGATATGATACAAAAAGATGTTGAATTCATGTTAAATGCAAATTCTACTCCTAACAAATTACCACTATATCGCATACTTATTAACGGTCATCCATGTAGCGTATTAATTGATTCTGGGGCTAGTGCAAATTACATTCATCCTCGACTTATTCCATACGTATCCAAAACAGCACCGACGATACAGGGTCAATCGGTTGAAACGGCGAATGGTCAATTAACAGCAATTTCAAAAATCGCATCGTTTTCAATAGCACTAGGAGATTACACTGATCGAATTGAAGCCTATGTATTTGATACAAAATTCGATGTTATCCTCGGTCGATCTTGGTTATCACAGGTTCAACCTGTTCCTCATTGGCCTACTGGTGAATGGCAAATCCGAATACGCAACAACCCATACCAGATAACAACTATTCGTCCTATGAAAATCCAAGTGCGTCAAGCAATAAATGAATTAAGTATCAAGTTAGCAGATCAACAGGAATCAAAACGGGATAAGCCAAAAATTACTGATATAGCAAATAGTACTAACAACGATCTCGATTTTTTGTTGACGGCTAAACAGCTCGACACATTGCTTAAGAAAAAGAAAGTAGAAGAATGCTTTTGGATCGACATTTCGGCAATCTATAGTCCAGAGGAGCTTCATGTTATGATGGAGACAGAATCAACAAAGACGCTTACGAATGAAGAAGCTGCAACAAAGAACATGAATGAGGCATGGTGTCAAGAATTCGCGGCCGCCTACCCAAAGGTTTTTAAAGGTTGCATTGACAGTTTGCCTCCAATGCGTGAATCAGTTGAGGACATGATTGTATTGGAACCTGGTGCCAAACTAGAATCGCGAGCTCCTTACAAAATGAGTCCTATTGAACTGCGTGAGTTACGACGACAATTAGATTTATTATTAGATCAAGGCTTAATTGAACCAACATCGTCGAAATACGGCAGTCCGGTTTTATTCGTAAAACGTGCGGCGGAAGGGAATCAACCAGCCAAATTACGCATGGTATGTGATTTCAGATCGGTAAACAAGGCAACAATATCTCAACGTATTCCTGTTCCCCGAATCGATGAATGCTTGGAACAGCTTCATGGCGCGCATTTCTTTACCTCGTTGGATTTGCAAAGTGGATTTCACCAGCAACGATTAACAGACGCTGACGCGGAAAAAACCACGATTAATACTCGATATGGGCAATTTCGATGGAAAGTAATTGCTTTTGGACTACGTAACTCGGGTGCTCAATTTATGAAAATGATGACATCTGTTTTAAAAGAATATATTGACAAAATATGTATTGTATACATAGACGATATTCTGATTTTCACCAAAGATAAGGATATTGATGTCCATAAGCAACATGTCCATCTCATTATGAAGAAATTAGACGAAGCTGGATTGATTGTTAATCGTGATAAATGTAAATTTAATCGCAAACAATTGACATTTTTAGGATACGATATCATTGCAAATGTTGGTGTCCTTCCTTCCAAAAAGAAAGTAAGTGCTATTATTTCCTGGCCGATTCCGAAAAATGTTCAAGACGTGCGCAAATTCATTGGCCTATGCCAGTACTATAAGTCATTTTTGCCTTCCTTTGCATCAATCGCGGCTCCTATTACGGATTTGACGAAGGGTGGTGGATTTAAGCGTAGAGAAATTGATTGGTCAACCGAATGTCAAATTGCATTTGATAAAATCAAACAAATGATAACATCGGCCCCAGTATTATTAACGCCTTGTATGACTCGCCCATTCCGCATAGAAACTGATTCTTCCGATTTTGGTTGTGGTGCAGTATTGTTACAGCAGGACCCAGATGATAACAATCAATGGAAGCCGTTAGCATACGAATCGCACAAATTTAGTACTCAAGAACGTGCCTATCCCGCTCAAGAACGAGAATATTTGGGAATACTTCATGCATTAAGAACATGGCGATGTTTTATCGACGGTAATGACTACGAAGTGTATACGGATCATTTACCGCTAAAATATTATCAGGATACCTCAAAAATCGCACCTCGTTTAGTTCGCTGGATGTCCGAATTGAGTATGTTTTCCCCGAAAATCATATACAAACAGGGTGTGGATAATATTGTTCCAGATTTTTTAAGTCGTCGTGATGGATCCAATTGTACTCCGAATGATATATCCTTTGAACCAAGATATTTGTATGATTCACCTGACACTTGCGCTGCAGTGAATTCGCTCAATAATGATCGGTCCGATGATCCTTTGATAACTGACCCTCTCCAAGACTGGCCCCTACATTATTTCAAAAATGAAGATGAATGGCCAGAACATTTCAAAACTCAATTAAAACAACAGCAAGATCGCTTTATGGTGAAGGATAATCATGTGTGGCGTCAATTTGTGGATAAATCAAAAACTACTGCTGATATGCCGGTCAAGGAAACATGGGTAAAATTTATTCCTTTTAAACGACGAGCAGACCTTGTTGAAGATTTTCATCGTGGATTTGGACATCAAGGAAAAATAACAATAAATCAACTCATGAAAACACGGTTCTGGTGGCCTAAAATGTTAAATGATATCACAAACTGGCTGTCTCAATGCCCAGAATGTCAATTACATTCACGCAAAGAAAAGAATGTTCATCATGCGCCAATGAAACCTTTGGAAATCCCTCCTCCTTTTTCTCGCTGGCATCTGGATTTTATCGGTGAGCTACCTTTAACCAAGAACGGAAATAAGTGGATAATTATGGCAGTGGATTACAACACGAATTGGCCAATAGCTAAAGCCCTTCCCGTTGCTAGTGCGTCGGCTATTGTCAAATTTATTTATGAGGAAATAGTGATGCGTTTTTCTTGCCCTGTTGAAATTGTGACAGACCGTGGAGCCAATTTTATGTCGAAGATATTGAAGCAGTACATGGCCAAAATCAAATCACATCATATTTTTACCAGTGCCTTCCACCCCCGTACCAACTCGAAATGCGAAAGATTAAACCAAACATTTAAACATATGCTTACCAAATATGTTAAAGGAGAGGTACACAGCTGGGACGAATATGTGGAATCTGCATTGTTTTCTTGTCGCATTCGCAAGCATGCAACCACAGGTCTGAGCCCCTTCTTCATGACGTATGGTGTCAATCCTGTACTACCAGGCGATTTATTACGACCTTTCATGGATCCGTTAACCGAAGAAGATCCTGAATTAATAGCGGAAGATGCATTAACCCACCTACGCTATTTACGTGAACAACGTTTTCAAGCCGAAGACCGTCTTAAAGTTCAAGCTGAAAAGGATAAGGAAAAATGGGATGCACTCATTAAAGGACAAGAAACTCAAACTTTCAAAATTGATGACTATGTGATGCTTCGACACGAAAGTAAAAAGGGTCTGGAATTCAATTGGATGGGTCCGTATCAGGTTCTCAAGCACAACCTAGACTTTAACACGTACCAGATTAAAGAAGTAGATGGAAAGGTTTATTCGTCCTGGGTACACACTGACAGACTCCATCCTGTAAAATATGACGGCTCCCCAATCGACAAGGCATGGTATATTCCGCGTATAGCAAGAGCAAAAGAAAAATAATAATTTTTTTTCTCCTACCTTGAGCTCTTTTTGGAAAGGGGGTATTGTCGTGGCTTCGGTCACACAAGTAGTTTAATATTTAAAATAGTGTTCACTAAAATATAATAAAATCATCTTTTGATCTCCTAAATAATCTTTGATATATTCGGTCGTTACATAACAATAGTTCCTCGACAATACTTATATCTACACACACCACAACCCCCAAGAAATTAAAAAATAAATATATGAGGCTACCAGGGGTCGAACCTGGAATCTCCTGATTCGTAGTCAGACGCCTTATCCATTGGGCCATAGCCCCTCATATGATTAATTGAATTACAAGTTAAAATATAACTTTAAACATGTAAAATTTTAAAATCACGTGATACGCACGTGGAATGATTTCTATTGGATAGTTGTTTAGCTGCAGAAAAAAAGATATTCTACCAGAGACTATATAACAGGCACTTGGTTTAAACCGTAGGTTCGTACCAAGATGCTTCATTAAAATAACCTGTCGGCTAATTTTTTTTTTTACGAAAGAAGTATAAAGAAGACGTCTCTAAATGTAATTCTTCATAAATTCTGTGTCCCTTCCTTAAAATAGAAACATCACTGCAAATAGCTCTGTGGGGGCACGTATGCAGGTAATTCTAGATTCGAGAATGGTATATCAGTATTTCAGTGGTAGCATTAATAGCGAAGGATATTTTATGCAAAAAAATAAAAAATAAATCAATCATCCTGTGGACGAGACGCTGCCCTGATAATTAAGTGCTGCATTTTGCGAATAAAAAATAAAATTGATACATGTATATAAGGGCCCGCTCACGCTTTCATGGTATGATACGGTCAAGCCAGGTGACACCTTGTGCTAGCTCAAATGATGCCTTTATCAGGAAATCACGCATGTGATTTTAAATTACATAACTTTTTTTTTTTTTTTTTTTTTTTTTTTTTTTTTTTTTGCTTCTCAACCTTGATCTCTCTCTCTCTTTTATTTCTTCTTTTTTTTTTTTTTTTTCTGTTTATAAATTTATGGGAGCGCAACAATCTTTTATAACCAGTACGAGTTCGACAGAAACAGCCAACGATTTATGGAGAAAAGAGAGTACGAAGAAGGGGTTTCAAGCGGTAGGGGCACTGGGAGCGTCGATCGTCTTTGCACCGGCGGTTATTCTTGCGCTTCCGTTTGTGGGGGCGTATGAATTTAGCACGGCTCTCGAAAGTGAATTAATGACAGGTTATCCCATCATGGATGGAGTTCTGGGAGGTCTCTTTGGGGTGATTGTGAGTCCTTTAGCCCCCTTTTATTGTTTCCTCGTTACCATCCAAGACATCTTTGACATGAAGTATACCCCAAAGGCATTCGACGAACAGTATTTAAAAAAAGCAGAGGATATGTTGAGATTGGATTCGAGTTATTATAACGTGGCTGTCACTGGGTGTCCTGGAACCGGAAAGGTATGTGTTTGTCATGACTTTTTTTTGCGCATGATTCATGGAATTCCCCTAACGAGCTAAAGGATAAAAAAAAAAGTCTAGTTTATTAAACGGGTTGCTTGGATACAGAGCCCATCATACAAAAGCAGCACCAGTAGGAGAAATTGAAACGACGATTGAACCAAAAGGATACCGACATCCGGTATTAAACAAATTATGTTTATGGGATATGCCTGGTATTGGTACGCCACGACATCCATCGAAACCATTTTTTGAGAATTACTGTCTTGGAGCATTTGATGCGATTCTGATTGTATTTGACGAACGCTTGATGGCTACGGATATTGAAATTGCACGACGAGCCAGAAAATACAGCGTGCCTGTGTTTTTTGTAAAGAATAAATCGGATCTGTCGCTAGAAAGAAAGATGGAACGTATGGAGGAAGGGAAGGTGAAAGATAAATGGGCATTAGCGGTATCGCAATTGACGATGGATATCAAGGATACGGTTTATAAGAATATGCGACAATTTGGGTTGGATACGAATCAGTTATACATGGTATCTTCCCATGTGATGACGGAATTTGTGATTCTTTTACGAGATCGAAAATCGACAGGACAAATGAAGCTAATACATGAAAAAGTGCTGATTACCAACTTATTAGATACACTTGCAGATAGAAAGAGATGCAATTCCATGAAATAGATTTTTTGTAAATAAATTAAAACTTTTTTTTTTATTGTCTAGAGTTTGGCGGTGATTTTCTTCTTGTTTTTAATGTCATTTATTTCTTGTGTACTCATGATTGTATGTTCAGACATTTCCATCCCCATAATTTTTTGAGTCATTCTTAAAGTCATTCCCCATAGATACACGACATCTTTGGATGGAAATTGAATGGGTACACCTGCTACGCGGGTTGATCCTGGAAGCGGAAGTTTGGTGACAGCTTCAGCATGCTCCATAGGATTATACACAACAATGGGATCACTTAGCAAATACTTAATTGGTGTCCCTGGATACCCATCAAATGTATTTTAAAATCTATTCTTTTTTTTTTTTTTGGATCAAAATCAAATTAGTCTTACATGTAATTTCGGATACTTCAGAGGGCCGAATTGTAATCTGAGGTGTGACAGGTGTCACTTGAAGGAAGACTATACAAAAAAAAAAAAGTTAAGGCATATGGGGAGTAACAAACAAAAAAAGAGAAAAAATTACTGTGGGGGATCAAACGCATGGTAGGATTACGAGTTTTTAAGGAAGTCAGGACGATTGGATCCAATGTACCGAGTAGGATAAATGCGGGACTTGCGAGGTCTAATCCCGTTTCTTCTTTGCATTCACGCACCACGGTGTCAAAGGGAGTTTTATCTATGGCTTCATTTTTCCCACCTGGAAAAGCAATGTGACCAGACCAACTTTATAAATAGAAACCTTTTAGTCATCTTTTTTTATGTCAGTCAGGTCGTATAGTGATTTTACGGGTCTTTGGGATTTAATGCACGTCGCATATATAAAATATCAGCTTCACCATGACAGTCATTAAACCAAGGCTGAGATAAGAAATCTTGGATGGAAGAAGGGATAGAAGTAGTAGGATGAATGTGATCGGTGGTATAAGGTCTCCAACGAAGAATAGCCGCCACACAAGCTGTTCTTACATCATCCTCTATTTTCCACTCTGGCTGTTGATAATTTGTAAAATGATCAATAACGAACTTTAAATCTAACATGTCAATCAATAATTTAATTTCAATCAGCATTGTCCCCAACAATAGAAAAATGTACCTTGTTTAGACATTTTATAACAATGAAAAAAAAAAAGGAAAAAGGAAAAGAAAGAGTCTAATAATTGTGTCCCGACGCTCACACACTTTGTACTTGCAAGAGACTGTTTTTTTTTTTTAATTACAAGTTGTTATTAATTTTTAGTGTATATATGAATATTATTATTGTCTGTGGGGAGATTAGACTCTTCTTCTGTTGCTATAACTCTTCTTGCCTAAATCAAAGGGAATATATCTATACTTGATCATATGGCTGATTTGTCTACGCATGGTCAAACCAAACAAGATGATGAAATACACCAACAAAATGGGCCAATAAACAGGAATATCAAACACACGGAACATGGTACAAAAGATGGAAATCACCGTTGCTCTAGTCACAGCATACCTTTTTTTTTTTGACACTTTGTTTTTAACTTACATGCTCACAATATTACACACATACACACACACTTACCAAAACTTGAATTCGGGAAGACGACGGATAAAGGGCTTAAATTCCTCATCGTTCTTCATGGGAAGAGCAGGTCCTTCTTCCATTTCGTTGGCTTGAGTGTCCAAGTCAACAGAGGGATCAAACTTTGGTGTTAAAAACGCCAAGAACAAGTTCAAAATATAAATGCCTACATGACCCCGTTTCTCATTTAATAAAACAGGTCTACCATTGTTAATGTTTGCATCATCTTACCTAAAGCATATCTATAATAATAAAAAAAAATGCCATTTAGTCAATTGATCCCCTTCAACCTTTCATCGTGATGAAACCAGCCAGCCCAAAAAAAAAAAAAAAAAAAGGGGGGGGGGGAGGGGGACTTACGTTATAATGTACCATCCTTCAGCATAGACAACACGTAATAAAAACAAGATTAAAAGAACAACGGTTGCTACCCAACGATAAGGAGCAAATGGTGTCACTTGATCTAAAACTTGTTGAAAACGCTAATAAAAAGAGGTTAATGACAAGAAACATCCAGAGGAGGGGGGAGGGGGTTTATCATTTACTCTTTCCAATTGTGACTTGTGAGCCAACAAACTGGAAGCAGCTCCTTCACTTGGTTCAGAAGAAAAATCGTTCATTTTTTATATTAGGGAAGAAAGAGAAAGAAAAAAAGAAAAAGGAAAATAAAAATATTAAATAAAATGGGCCATTCAAACGGTCAAAGGAAATTTAGTGTTACGCGAGACCCAGTCAGCTAGCCAGCCAACCAGTATAAAAAAAAAACGCTTGTTCAAATAGCATTGGGCTGATATTTATTGTTATTTTTTTTTTACATGGCATATTTGCGACAAATAAGCGCAACTAATAAGGACACTAGTCCTCCAATGAGTGCATCCAACCACATGGGTGATCTCTCCGTAGTAACATTTTCTACCGTTTGCTGTTGTACCACCCCATTTTCTGGCTGAACAGATTCTCCTTCTTGCTGAACCAATTCTCCTTGTTGCCGAGGAGTGTTAGCCTGGAAAGTCCCCTCTTGTACCATTTCTGTCTCAGCAGACTCACATTCCTCAGCAGACTCAATGACCTTGCGAATCGCAGTCTTATCTTTTGTAGTCTTATCAACCTCCGTCTCATCTGTTTCGACGTGCTCATTTATCTCTTGTGGGGGAGCCTGTTTTTCTATGGTTGATGCAGTATCTACACTTCTTTCTGTTGTATCACTGCTCTTTTGAGATGTATCGTTGCTACCTTCTACTGTATCACTGCTCTTTTGTGATTTAACGCTGCTACCTTCTGCTGTATCACGAATACTGTCGGCTTCCTTGTAAGACATCATGAAATCCGGCAACACTTCTTTTTCAGCAGCAGGTGTATCTGGAGGGATATCACTCAAAGCGTCTTTTGTATCGACTTGACATGTGGGACATACCCAACCTACAGATCTTAACTTACTTCGATTTTAGTATATATGTTCTTATTAAAGTTTTTATTTTTGTATACTTTTTTGCCAAGCGTTGACGTTCTTCTTTGGAATAATCCAGTCCGCCAATAGCTCCTCTAGCTTCTGTAGGAAAGAAACCAATCACCGCCAGTAAGACCGTACGAACTAAAAGGGAAATAAATTGGGTGAGTTAGTGGTTAGAAGGACGCTAAAAGGGGATGGTGTGTTAGGGGTCTACTTTACTTCCCCAAGCTGGTTGCCAAAACTCTGGATGAAATCCTGTGATGCTGAGACATATCTTTGTGTTTAACTCGAAACGTCCATTGGGCTAACATTTATAAAAAATTAGATACATGTACAGTATAAATACAGAGAGGGATTGTTTACGGTTAAAAAGATGATCTCGGGTGGTTTAAATGGATATTCGCTGGGTAGTATGATACGACCATGATATCTAATAAATGGGGTATTGGATATACATATATTTTTTTTTTCGGTTATGCTTTTACCTTCCTTCTTCAAAGTCCGTATCTTTGGGTCCTCGAACAGTAAAGTGCCATTCGAATATATTGTCCTATGATAACCGTTGAGCATGATCTCTTACACCATCCCAATTGTAAACCTTTTACCTCTAATGGATGAGCATCATATTCGAATGTACTTTCTTTGGCAAGCTCTCTTGCTTCCTGCATAATTCTTTTCACACCTTCATTCATCAAAACTCAGTTTTTAGCACACATATACACTGAGAGGTTAAAAGGAGTGTCTCTCTCTTTTTTTTTACCTGGATTCTTCAAATTGTATTTCGTTGTACTCATGCTGATGAATGGTTGGATTAAAAAGTGGGGGATTGTTTTAAAATTAAATTTTCCACACACACACACACATGCTGTACATGCGCACGAATTACTGTGTGACTACGATATATACATTTGTGATATGGTACTGGATTTTCAACCTTTTATCAAAAAAAAAAAAAAACCGCGATACATCTAGGGAAAAAGCTTTATCCAACCACGACAATCTTTAAGAGTAAAGTGGGTTATTCCATCCATTATACGAGGAGTCAAACGATTAGTTGTATCCATTGGATTTCTTTTGTTTCCAGATTTAACCTTTGATCAAAACTCTTCGATTGGATTGAGGAAGGGACAGTATGGTGGCAAAAATTAAACACATTTATATCCACCAATCTTTAATGAGTTTTTAAATGGGTTGCAGGTTTGTAAATGAGTGCCTTATCCATTATAATATAGTAGCCATGAAGACCGTTACGGTCCAAACAATCCATCATGGAATTCCAGTAACTCAAAAAGTGCTCAGAACGTGTACCTACCCTTTCCATTTATTTGGACTGTTTTTACCATCTATTTTTCTTATTTATGAAGTAGGTTTTCTCAACGAAATATCAGCGGAAAATAGCTCCCAGTATGGTCTTAGATATACCACGAGCCGACGGAACAACTTCGTCTTAGCCGGCTTTCAACCATCCTCTGTTACAAGTGATATTAAGAATGTAACCTGCTTTATCAAGAAAGACGCAATTCTTTTTTTTAAAAAAATCCATTTATCAGAGTTAGCAATTCACTGTTAGTTTTTTTCTATTCTCTTTGCCTCTCATACTTTTAAACTCACTCGTACTTTTTTTTTTATATATTATTTATTTTTGTAAAAAGATGAGTATTCTTTCACCTTAATTTACTATTAATATTCGCGCTTGTTTTTAATATATTGCAAGATATTAAATATGGTGAGTGCAAGTAAACCGTACTTCGATTGGACGTGCCGTGTTGTTACAATAGATCTTATTTGAGGACGTCCATTTTTTTTTTTTTTTTTTTTTTTTTTTTTTTTTTTTTTTTTTTTTTCGCATACGTCGGACCACAGTTTTATTATATCTTATAGCACCAATCTATTGCAAACTGAGTGCTCTTTGAGGGTTCCAAGTTAGAAACAAGGAGACTCGATAAGCTTGTCTTTATTTCATTGTAAATTACATTAAGTACTATGATTTTAGTGAATATGGAGAAAAAAGTGGATGCTATGGAATGGTTTTGCAGCCCTTTTCAGGTGTGGATAGTGAAGAAACTTTTTTTTTTTTTACTGTTTTCTCAGACAGCGTTGATATGACAAGTTATATTATAATAAAGGTGGTAGAGAAATAATATAAGCCTTCAGGTAATTAAATAATCTCTATTTACAACACATTTAAGTGATGGCAACGAGGGGTACGAACATTTTACGCAGTCTGCCAAGAAAAAAAAAAAGATTGGACAATGAAAGGAATGAGTGGGATAGGTTACAACAGTATGGCTTGCCCCCTGTCCCTGTTTAACTCCGTGTAAATTCAATGCTTACACACAACAATAAGAGTATGATAGGGAAACGCAACTGAATAGATTGAATATAAAAGTCCTTTATTTTTTTGTGGAGTGACACTGAAAAAAAAAAAAAAAATGATGGCGATACAAAAGAACTTTTTTTCTGATTGGATAGGTATTAGATTCATAAGGATGATTTTTTTTTTAAAAAAAATAGTAGAAAATGTCAAGGGGCAGGCAGCTGTATACAAGTATGTTTGCATCCCTGACTTTGAATGATGGGATCGAGCGCTTTTTACAAATTTTAAGTTGCATTTGAATTCAACAAGTATAAAAGAATTCCATCCCCTCTCTCGCATTTTTCTCTCCCCCCTTGTTTCTTTTTTATTAAAAAAAAAAGATGGTTTCGTTGCACTCGTTAATCACAACCAGTGTGGGATTATTAGCGGCCATTTGTAAATCGGAAGCCTCACCCGTAGAGAATCGAGAGGGTACAGCATACAATTATTGGAGTCACAAGGCATGGGGAGTGAATCTTGGTAACTGGTTAGTACTTGAACGATGGATGGATGCTTCAATTTTTGAGAAACATGCACCCAAGGCACAAGACGAATGGAACTTTTGTAAGGATGCCAGTAACCCTACACAAGCGTTAAAGGAGCATTGGAACAGCTGGGTAACAGAGGAAGATTTCAAACAATTGGCTGCGATCAAGGCTAATCATGTGCGTATCCCTGTGGGGTATTGGGCTTTTATTCAGACAGATGCGGGGGAACCGTATGTGACGACAGGACAAAAGGCACAAATTGAACGTATCCTCGGTTACTGTCACAAGTACGGTATGTATGCGGTGATTGATTTACATGGATTACCGGGCAGTCAAAACGGAGAAGCGCATTCGGGACATATCACCAAGATTGGGTTTTATTCAAGTCATAATATTAAGCGGTCGTTGAAGACGGTACAGGCGGTGGTGGATTGGATGAATGATTTAAAGCCTGAATTAAAGCATCGGATTGCATCGATTCAGTCGGCTAATGAGCCTAGAGCCAATGGTAGTGAGCTCAAGGTATTAAAGGATTATTATCTCAAGGCGTACAAGATTATTGCCAGCTCAAAATACAAGGTACCAATGATGTTTCATGATGGTTTCCAAGGACTGGATGCGTGGAAAGGGTTTTTACCAGCACCTGCCAATGCGGTGATCGATCTCCATCCTTACTATGCTTTCCCACCGGAAAAGGATCAGAATGCAATCATTCGAGGCATTAATAATACAAGAGCAGCGGCAGCGTCTTTTCATTTACCCGTGTTCTTTGGGGAGTGGTCGCTTGCGTCAGGAGTGAATAGTACGGAGCCGTGGTTAAAGACAATGATGGATACGCAGGTGGCTGTCTATAAAGAAAGTGGAGCGGGTGGTACATTTTGGTCGCTCAAGAACAAGATTAATTCTAATGTATGGTCTTTACAGCAATTACAAAAGGAAGGCATTGTGAATAATGTTACATTTTCTTCTCATTCCCATGCCAAACGTTTATAAAATTACTTCTAAAATAAAAATAAAAGGCTGGTCCTTTTATTTTTTATTTATTTATATATAATTTTGGGTCGTGCCCCCCCCCCCCCTTGGTTGGCAATGCCTCTGTGCAACCATGCTTTTTTTCATGCGCAGGCCAAAAAAAAAAGTGCACGGTTCCTTTTTTTTTTTTTTAATTATTGTTGAGAAACCGCTGGGAGCTAATTTTTTTTTTTTTTTTTTTTTTTGGTTGTGATCTTTGGTTAAGCTTCATTGGAGGAAAAGTGAAATAATATCTCCATGGTGAGAGGAAATACTATGAGATGGAGCATTGAAGAGTGAGTCATTTCTGCTTGGGGTGAGCATGGATGGCATAGTTAGATTGAAAGGACGTTTTTATTTTAAAAAAGCGAGAATTCTGGAAATAGTATGAAATTCTACTAATCATGTTTGCCCAATGATAGAAAAAAAAAAGTTTTTTTATTTTTTATTTATGACTGATCTGAAACGGGGTGCTGGGTTAAAGCGTAGATGAAACAGAAACTCAGAAGTTTTTTTTTTTTATTCGAAAACAAAAAGAAAAAACGGAAAATTAACGTCCTCTCCATCCATTCTTTTTAATGAACAATCGAGATAAAACTTCCCGAGCTTCGGTTTAAAGTAAAATATAGGGAAATCATAGGTGGAAGAGAGAGAGAGAGAGAGGGAAAATGAGAAATTATTATTAACTGTTAAATATGGTTTAAATATGCAAAAAAAAAAAAAAAAGATATATAGATGGGTGTAGAGGGGGGAGGGGGGTTTTAACGGCATAATTGGTCATATGGAATACGAGTTCCCATCATGAACTCGATATCCATTTCAGCTCGAGGTAAATTATTCCAGAGCATGATTTGTTTATTTTTATCGTGTCGTTCGGCTGGTTGACATGCACTGGAATGGAACATCCAGAAATGGCCATTGTTACATGCGTCCAAACATTGAGAACAAGGTGACACCACATGATATCCAATGACATTACCACTATATTTTTGACGTCAATATCACAAAACCCCTTTCTATTATCCTTGGTTTTACTTACCATTCTAAACATGCCACGTCTCGGATTCTACAATGACATGAGCGTGTTAAATAGTCCTTTTCTAATACATGTATGCTTTTTATTTATTATTAGTTTCAATAGATGCTGGCTTATGTATATGCTATAGTACCTTTGAGAGGGTGTATCAGTGCTGTAGAGTTCAATGGTGGTATCTGCCAGTAATATGGCCTTCATACCACGAGCACAAACGGTGGTAGAGCAATGTCTGCAATTAAGTTTATAGACAGGCTTGACGGGGGTGACAAGACCGGGATGATCATTGAGGTATTGTCGTTGTTGTTGATTTTGCTGAGAGGATCTTCTTTGGGACTGAACAACGGAAGGAGGTGTGATGTTTGGAAAAGTATATCTCTGGAACGACGACGATCTCTCATTGGCAGGAGGAGGAGGAGGAGCAACAGACGATCTTCGACTATCATCGGTTTGTCTAGCACGAGGAAGTCTGACTCGAGCGGGTTCCATGAATGAGAGAAAGAGAGAGAGAGAGAAAAGAGAGAGAGAGAGAAAGAGAGAGAAAAGGAAAAAAAGAAAAAAGAAAAATAAAAGCAAAAAAAAAGGGTCCTTTATTATTTTCCTTTCTATTGTTTGTACTCTTTAATGGAATAAGGAAAAATAATAACGATGAACGATGGGATACGAGAAGCTTAATGATATTATTAGTTCCGAGTGTTAGGATTTTTTTTTTAACGCGAAAAGAAAATGTCCCGGTGGGGGAGAACATTCATGCAGCGTTTTGTTTTTTATATATTAAAAAGTACAGGGCAAAAAAAAAAAAAAAAAAAAAAAAAAAAAAAGAGAGAGAAAGAGCGAGAATTAATAGGTAAGTAGAGATATATAGTAGGAAGCAAAAAAAGAAGAAAGTAAAAAAGGTGCGTGTGTGTGTGTGTGTGTGTGCGGGGAGAGAAAGAAAATTTCCCTTTGAGGTATGAGTTATGTCGGGATAATATGAGTACAGTTGAATGAAGGTGGTGTGTGTGGGGGGGTATATTTCTACCGAAAAGTCATTGAATAATCAGAATCCGAATAACTATTGGGTAACTTTGCGGGTAATTTATGTGAATTGTGATGAAAATCTACTAGTGTAGTTGCAGTGGAGGCAAATGTCAAGATGGAGCCTGGTGTAGCAGGTGCCGATCGTCTACTATTAATCGTGTTATTACTCGGTTTTGTTTTGAGTGGTTGTAATGGGGTAATATCTACAGTCAGTCCATAACGACTATCCATGGTATGACTACGAGCTAATTCAGTGGTACAGGATGTCCAATGAGATTCCAGTGATCCACTTCGGTTGAGTGAGGTGGTGGATGAAAATTGCTGTGATTTCTCTAATGAGGACCCTTCCTTCTCCTCGTCATCCAGTCCGTCACTCATGTATTTCGTACTGATCGGGAAATCGAGTCCGGTGCCAGACATTGGGCCTGGTAGAAACCAAAATATGGGCCATTGACCTAACACGGATTGAAGATTTTTGTAGATCCCTTGATCATAGGGGCATTTGACCTACATTTTTTTTTATATATATATATGTTAATGTTGAAAATCTATAAATAATAGCTCACTTTGTTATTTTTTTTTTTTTACATTTTGAATCTTTCCCATGCCTTTGATCGTCAGCGATCGACCTTTTTCCCAGCCTTCAATGGTGGTTGTATTGGTAGTGATACAGTAGACATGATAGGATGTCAGTATACCGACGGCTACCATGATGACAGAGGAAGAGATGAGGTTGATGGAAAGAAAGCAGGCTTCCAATGTGGATGGTCTGATATTATGCTAAAATAAGAAAAGGTGAGGAAAATGAATAAAAAGGAAAAAAAGAATCAGTGTTTGGACTTACATGGCGCATATCCCCTACAAGTTGAGCCAACCTGCAGCAAAGGAGGACAAATAGATAGATGGTACACAAATCAACATAGACCAAGAATCGAAAGAAATGACAATAATTTGCAAATCCCACACAATTATTGACCCACGGACAATGATGATCCATTTTTAATATACATTGATTACAGCTGGAGCAATGGTGGGTTCTGGGTGGTTTGTAATTATTGCAGGTTTTACAAAATCGAGGTGTATGTGTTGATTTCTTTACTTCGATATAGGCTTGTTGCCTTGGCATCTATTATATCATTTAAAATTAAAAAAAAAAATTGCGTGTGAGAACAGACAAAATTAAAAAAAAAAATTACCCATCGAGTAGGGACGGAGCCTGGACCTGTTTTACAAGTAAGAAAATAGTTTATTAAGATCATAACTACAAAAAAGTTCAACGGGACGAGAATAAATAGAGTTTTTAGGTTGATTGAACCAAGATAAGGCCAAATAACAAATACTTGGGATGTGTAAGCAAAAAAGAGGATGGCTATTGTGACTGACGTTACTGTCAACGGTCCTTTTATGCTTTGCCAACCAATGCTCATGTTGCAATGAAATTAATAAAACTGTATAAAAGAGAGAGAGAGAAGAAATGGTCGAAATGAAGAGAGAGAGAGAGAGAGAGAGAGAAAAGAATAAAAAAAAAGGGGGGGACAGTCAAAAGAGAGAGAAAATGTCTTGTTGCCTCCAAGTGCCCTCTTATTTTAAAAAAAAAAATTATCTTTATATTTTGTATCACTTTGGGGGGGTACCACGAGGAAAGATTCTATAAATTTTTTTTTTTTTTTAGGAGATTCGGGATAAACCCATTTATACTAGTTAAATCCCTTTTTTTACTTTTAAAGCCCTTTGTTCAATGACAAGATAAAAAAAAAAAAATGCGAACAGAAAGAGTGAAAAAAAAAAGTGCATGGTTACGATTGGTTTTTTAATAACAGTCGTACAACTATTTTTATTGACGCATGATCTATTATATTTGACCCCTAATATAAATACGTGTTTGTTACACACACACTTCTTACTCCGCACTTTTTAATTTTTTTGGCTCTCCTCCCGCGCCTTTCCCCCCCCCTCCCCTTGACGTCTCCTATAATTTATCTTTATTCCTCTGAGGCAATTTGCAGGATTAATTTATATTCAGGAATTTCCTCAAGTTGAAATTGGGTTAATTTACTTCCTTTTGTAATGGCGTCCAATGCTAATTGGACAGATTCATGTTGGTTACGGATAGAATCCATCCATTTCATGTATTCCTCTCTGGATAGGTCATATACGGTATTTGGCAACTGTAAAGATTTGCCTTGTTGTTGTTGAGAGCGAACAATGAGATGATGAACGAGAATTAGATTGGATATACCAGACGTATGATGAGCTGCGGTTAATTGTGCAGAATCCAGAAATAGTAACGGTCTAAAGGCTCTTAAAGCTCTGTATTCATCTCCTACTTCTTCAATGCGAGCCCCGTATTCGCTCATAAATTGACTGATTGTAAATTCGAGTTCGGCCATATCACCTGCCAATTTTAATTTGCCTGCTTCACTCAAGGGACGTACCAAACTTGCTTGAAATATAAAGACGTGTAATATATGTTTACTAATTTGTTTAGCCCTTTTTTATAAGTGTTAGTTTAAAATGAGAAATGATGGTGGGAAGAAATAGAGCCCTTACCAACTTTTAGGTTCAGCGCCACAGGAAAGATTCTGAAGGATGGTTGTATGATAATAACGTACATGTTTAGCCAATTCTTTCATGTAACTGCTAGAATCGTCTTCAGGGTCGAAATTACGTCTGATTTTACCCGAAAAGTCTTCCGAGTGAATTTTGAGGAGGACAGAGGTGACGTCCTTTTCGATGGACTCTACCAGGTGTTGACCAATGCGCATCATGAGAGCATGACAGTCCTACAAAACAGGAATTCAAAAAGTTTAGTATACAGAGATAAAAAAAAAAGGATTGATATTTACATCCACGCCTTTTTTGACAATGTCGACGGTTTTTTCAGGATATTCTTCCAAGATTTTCCAAATGGATTGATGCATATAATACAAGATATTGGCAATTTCGATATTCATATTAAGATAATTGACAGTACTTGATGTATTCGAGTACACGGGCTGTTCATTTGTAGGAAGCTATAATTTTATATATTAATTTTTTTTTGGGCATTGTTGTAAATTTAACTTTTTTAAAAAAATAGAATTACCAAATTTTCACACTTGACACAAAACATGCTTAATGTTTTCACCGTGTTCTTTGCGACGGCCAGAGATAAATTGGGTTCAAAGGAGGCTGTTTCCAATTCACTATGATGGGGAGGGATGAGTCTATCAAGGACTAACTTGAAAAAAAAAAGGGGGGGGGGGAAGGTGATTATACTTTACTGGCCAATGATACGTGTGATATTGGAAACATTGTTTCTACCGGGTGGTGTTCTTGCAAGACCACCATAAGTTGGAAAAGTGGAATTGACAGCGTCGTACATACGTTGTAAAGATTTAGAAAGAAAGCTGGATTGAAAGGTTTGAAAGCTTCGAAGCATAATGACGTATTCGGGAGTTTGAGAATAGTCGGACAATGAGGTACCATTATGCATAGCGACACGAGCAAAGAAATCATGCAAAAGTTTAAGTAATTTAGGGTAATCTCCTACCAATGTGGATTGAAGAAAAGTCGAGATTTTAGTCGCGTCCTTTAGCTCCTTTTCAAAGTTGGCTGAAAGGACTCTCCAGAAATAACTTACAAGACTCGTCGCATCCAATGACTACAAATACACAGTTTTTTTTTGTTAAGGATGAAAGAAAAGCCATTTTCTTTTTTTTCTTACCTTGGCTACTTCTTCAAGAAAGGATACATGGGTCAAGGGATCTTTTTTGAGCTCGAGTACTTTTTCTAGACTATAGACCTTGATACAGTGATCACTCATGTTCTTCATTAAGGATTCCATACGGGTCCAAATAGCAGCAGCCCATTGTTTTTGGTTGTTTCCGATGGGAGGCTCATTCAGTCTTCGAACATTGGACGAGGCCGTGTTGGCTAGTTCCTTTTGGAGTGACTGCATATCCACGACGCGTTTGATTTCATCGATCAAGTTGTTTAAGCGTTGTTGGGTGATCTCTGCCACGCGACTGCCCATTTGTTTGAGATTGTAAAAAACTTGTAAACCAGCGGCCATCTTGGCCTGGTTCTGAGACTCGATTCCTTCAAGCAAAAGGACGAGGGCTTCTTCCTGTACATGATCCCTTGAGCGTTGTATAAAGGTTAATTCGCAAGTGACGATATCGATGCCTTCAAAATCTGATTCGGATAGGATGGATTCGAGTTCGTAAAGGGTGAGTGCAGCGGTGGATATATCGCGATCATGACTTTGGGATAATTGAATTTCGAGACGACGTTTAAGAAGGATAAATCGATGGAGTTTGCGTAATAATTCACAAGTGATTTGCATATTTTCTAATTGAGTGGCGTACATGACGAGTTGGTTGTATGGATCTCGAATTTTGTGTGCCAGACTTTTTCATGGAAAATGAGGAGTTTTTTAGATGGTATATAGATAGATATAGATATATATATAAAAGGGATGGGGGAGGTTTCTTACGCTTGTAAGGATTGGTTTAATCCATGAATGTTTAACTGTACAGTGTTTAATACAGTCTCTAATTCCTTGATACCTGTCACTTGGCTTAATAATGCTTCATAGTTGGCAACCACCTACATAAAAAAAAAAGATGTGAGTATTTATGATACTCTGTCAACGTTTTTCTTTTCTCTCGTCTTTTTTTTTTTACCTGCTCTTGAATTTGTTTGTTGACAATATCAATGCTAAAAGCCAGTTTGGATAACTCGGTATGAACATCGATAGCATCACTTGAAATTTCTGCTTCGGTGATGATGGAAGTGGTATATTTATTCGGGTCAAAGTCTTCAGCTAGAAAAGTGTCGTAATCTAGAGACTTGTTTTAGCTTCATAAACCTTAAAAAGTGTCAGTTTTTTTTTTAACCTATATATTTGTCTGTGTCTTGTATGGTTGACATTAGAAAGATACAAAAAAAAAGGGGGGAGGGCAAAAGATTGGCTTTAGCAAAAAGAGAGAGAGTGTGTGTAGAGGGTTAAACACACTACATTATTCTAAAATAGCGGGGGAAAAAAACAAATTTTTTTTTTTTCTTCACTTTTTTCACTTTTTTTTTTCATTCCGTCACAGAAACAAAACATGGATCGTAAACGTGTTAATGGACCCGAAGCAAGTGTTGCACCTATTTATAAAAATGCTGATAAAGAAACAGTAGCTCTCTTGAATAGTGAGAATAAGAGACTTGATGATCGTGGTGTTGAAGATGTCAGACCTATTTGTAAGTGGAGATCTCTCTTGAGATAACAAAAGCTCATTGACACATGCCTTTATTTTAAATTATATCTAGTTTTAAAGACAGGACTTGTCACACAGGCAAGTGGATCAGCATATATCGAGGTTGGAAATACCAAGGTGACATGTGCAGTGTAAGATTTTTTTTTTTTTTTTTTTTTTGTAAAGTATGAATATCACAATAGCTGTGTGTTGATTTTGAAATTTTTCTTTTTTGTAGATATGGACCAAGACAATTAAAGAAGGCAGCTTTTTCACGTAACGGCACATTGAATTGCGACTTTAAATTCTCTACATTTTCCTGCAGCAAGAGAAGAAATCACATGAGGGTAAGGCGTTCGTTGATATGGAGGGGTTCTCTTTGTTGTTGATATTAACACCTATAAAAAAAGGATGCAGAGGAAAAGGAATTTTCGCAAGTGTTAATTCAAGCACTTTCACCTGCTGTGCGATTAGAGCTATTACCCAAGAGTGCTGTGGATATTTATGTAAATGTGCTTGAGAATGATGGCACGAGTGGATGTCTTGCAGCAGCTATTATTGCATCCAGTGTGGCTTTAGCGGATGCAGGTATTGAGATGCTGGACCAGGTGACTGCGTGTTCAACGGTGTTTACCGAAGATGGACGTATTTTGATGGACGGTACCGAGAAGGAGGAGAAGGGTAAGGAAGGTTCGTTGGTGTTATCGTATATGCCTTCTTTAAACGAGGTGACTCATATCTTGCAAGCGGGTCAGTCAGATACGGCTGTGACATCAAAAGCCATTGAACAGTGTGTCGATGGCTGCTCTAAAATTTATAGTGTCATGTCCAATTCTTTGTTGGAATCTTTGGGATAAACAAAAAAAAAAATCCTGTTTTAATAAATAATTGGTAGAGAATATATATTGGGTGTACAGCGGCTCCACCCCCAAAGTTCGTTTTCCAATTTCATAAATTCGCTTTTGTCGCAGCCCAAAGTTCGCTTCTTGATTGGTCAAAGTTCGTTTTTTGTAAATCACCCAAATTCGCTTTGGTGGCACCCAAAGTTCGTTTTCACGTCAGAAGAGTTCGCTTTTAAAAATTACAGGATTATGAGATAATGTTATGAGAGATAATGTTATGAGAGATAATGTTATGAGAAAAAAAAAATGTTATAAGAAAAAAAAAATGTTATGAGGAAAAAAAAATGTTATGAGAAAAAAAAATGTTATGAGAAAATGTTATGAGAAAATGTTATGAGAAAAAAAAATGTTATGAAAAAAAAAGTCACAACATATTATCTCATAACATTATCTCATAACATTTTTTTTTTCTCATAACATTTTTTCTCTATGAATTTAGATGTTAATGCTTTGCGTTGCAAAGATTGCAATGTTGACTTTAAGACTCATTCAGAGTTAAACAATCATAATTACCGCACTCATGTGGATAAAACAAAAGTCTTTATTGGTAATGGTAAGAACTGGACATTTAAATAAAACATGACATTTTTTTTTAAAGAACAAATAGACACCATTATGGAAGTTAGCAAGGTTGATGGCAAATTTAATTGTCCTGAATGCTCAAGCAAGCTCAGTACTCCTACCACATTTAGCGCCCATCTTAAAAAAAGCATAACGGCCACTGCAAAGCCATTTCAAACAAAACAAAGCGACGAAGCCTCGAAGATAATAACAACGATAATTCTACAACCATATCATTGAAACATCGAAAGTTACAAAGCCTGAATCTAAATTTAGATGAAATTGATTCATCTCGATCTCCAAAAGCTCTTGATAAAAACACTGCTATATTGTTGGCATCTGGTACATCTTTAGGGTCAACTCGTGAAAAAGAGAATTCTATAATGTTGGCAAGAATTGGAAATTTGGAACCAATATCCATAGTGGGTGGAAGTGGTAAAACTTATCATTTTCTAAAATCGTCAGACAGCATAAGTGATGTGCTAACCGATCAACCTTCTGGTTCTTGGACCCTTCCAGCAGCCGATACAACAGTCATACAAAACTCTTCATCCTCAAGCGTTGACAGCCTTCTGGATCATATTATAAATACAAGTCCACTCTATAACCACTTATTTGATCAAAAATACGTGGAGCTTACAATGGAAGTTACAGAGTTAATAAACCAGGATTGGACTTTCTTTCCTCAGCTTAGGTATGTCACCTCGCAAATTTTTGCTGGGGCAATCCTAGTGAATAAGACATCAGCATTACTCTTGAATTGCATAGAATCATATGGAAGATCGAAGACCGTTGATGCACACCATGAGCGCAGAATTGGAACTGCAATGAATACATCCTCTTTTCCCAAAAAACAACCAAATTACGGATGGATTAATATTATTACCACTCACGAAGACGGAGCAACCAAACTAAAAATTGGCACAACGGTCAGTAATCTGTTGGTGACCTCAAGTATACGCATAGACAAAAACTCAATAACAAAGAATATTGTGGAACTAGGACCAACCACCAGTAATTTCACTGCAACACACGATACAAAAATTTATCTCAATATGGAATCATTAAGATTAGGAAAAGTGTTAGCGAAGGATGACTCAACAACCAGTATTGATGTAGGAAATTACTTCTATCAACTTAGACAACTCAGATCAAAATTTCATTGTTTATCCACATATACTTTATGTCGTTCATCCAGTACATTTGCATATGATATTTCCTACAGACCTTACACGATTTGGACCCTATGCGACTATGATTCTTCCCAACAAACAGACTCACAATCTCAATTGCTATCTCAACTGTTTCAAACAATCGCCACTTCAGTTATCAACAATGGCATATTGGCCCAAATCAAACTAGATGTTCTAAATGATCTATGTAGCAAATTGAAAAATGGAGCAATAAAATATACCATCCGTGAATTTATTGATCAACAAGAGAAATCATTTGCAGTCATCAACAATATGAAACTGAACCAATTACTCACAATTTTAGCTGATTCGATGACTACATCTATTAAAAATGCCAACGCAGTGGTGAACAGTAATTTTACAACACTTCTGCGTAAATAATACCCTATATAAGAAATCATCACTACGGTATACCGCTATTATTTTATTGGGTTGTTTCTTTAATGTATTTCATCTTATATCTTTGATTTGCATTGATACGAACAAAAATTGAATTGTAAAAACAAGTTGTAAATATTATATTATCAGTTCAAGGAAATAAAAACCCTGTTAATGAATACTAAATATACTTCACCAAATGTGGTAGCTTCATGACCTTAATAAACTATTCTTGAAATGCATTTGTTGTCCAGTGAATAATGGAATGAAGCTTGAGCTTGATTAAGCCAAATCTGATGGCTTTGTGGTATTTTGACCTGGTAATGTCCACACACCAGTTGGTTGTTCTGCAAGTATATCTTCAATGAGGTCTGGAGAGGCGAGCATGTAATACTTTTTCCCATTTTCTAACGATACTGCTATTGATTTCCAATTTCCAATCTTGCTTAACATTATTATTTTTTCTTGATCAGTTTGTGGAAGATCTAAGGCATTTGACGCAAGTAATACTCCCATGTCATTATCACATCGAGCTGATGTTGAAAATAAAGGACCAGATGAACCAGAATTTGAATCAATTTCATCTAAATTTAGATTCAGGCTTCGTAACTTTCGATGTTTCAATGATATGGTTGTAGAATTATCGTTGTTATTATCTTCGAGGCTTCGTCGCTTTGTTTTGTTTGAAATGGCTTCGCAGTGGCCGTTATGCTTTTTTTTAAGATGGGCGCTAAATGTGGTAGGAGTACTGAGCTTGCTTGAGCATTCAGGACAATTAAATTTGCCATCAACCTTGCTAACTTCCATAATGGTGTCTATTTGTTCTTTAAAAAAAAATGTCATGTTTTATTTAAATGTCCAGTTCTTACCATTACCAATAAAGACTTTTGTTTTATCCACATGAGTGCGGTAATTATGATTGTTTAACTCTGAATGAGTCTTAAAGTCAACATTGCAATCTTTGCAACGCAAAGCATTAACATCTAAATTCATAGAGAAAAAATGTTATGAGAAAATGTTATGAGAAAATGTTATGAGATAATGTTATGAGATAATATGTTGTGACTTTTTTTTTCATAACATTTTTTTTTTCTCATAACATTTTCTCATAACATTTTCTCATAACATTTTCTCATAACATTTTTTTTTCTCATAACATTTTCTCATAACATTTTCTCATAACATTTTTTTTTCCTCATAACATTTTTTTTTCTCATAACATTTTTTTTTCTCATAACATTTTCTCATAACATTTTTTTTTCCTCATAACATTTTTTTTTTCTCATAACATTTTCTCATAACATTTTTTTTTCTCATAACATTTTCTCATAACATTTTCTCATAACATTTTTTTTTCCTCATAACATTTTTTTTTCCTCATAACAGTTTTTTTTTCTCATAACATTTTTTCATAACATTTTTTTTTCTCATAACATTTTTTCATAACATTTTTTTTTCTCATAACATTTTCTCATAACATTTTTTTTTCTCATAACATTTTCTCATTACATTTTCTCATAACATTTTTTTTTCCTCATAACATTTTTTTTTTCTCATAACATTATCTCTCATAACATTATCTCTCATAACATTATCTCTCATAACATTATCTCATAATCCTGTAATTTTTAAAAGCGAACTCTTCTGACGTGAAAACGAACTTTGGGTGCCACCAAAGCGAATTTGGGTGATTTACAAAAAACGAACTTTGACCAATCAAGAAGCGAACTTTGGGCTGCGACAAAAGCGAATTTATGAAATTGGAAAACGAACTTTGGGGGTGGAGCCGCTGTATGTGTGTGTAATTTTACGGTGTTTGGAAATTGTTTTTAAAGCAGCAACAGCACCAAAAAAAAAAACCTTTTTCTTTTTTCTAGGACATTGATTTTATCTTTTAATGGCGATACCATTGCTTCCGAATATACTCGAGTCGTATGTACCAACGACACCGGTATCTCGTATTCATCAACAGCATGATATCGATGAATTTATAAAGACAGCAGCATTTGATCGCATCATGACGTTTGTCATGTTGATTAATCAAAGTGTCATGAAGAAAAAGATATCCGATCCCTGTCATATATCACCCGTAAGTTTGAGTGCATAAAACGCCCTTTATTGTTATTTATAAAAAAAAAACTAACAGGTGCTTATTGAAAAAAAAGTTGACACAAGGTATTTTGGATATGCTCGATACGTTGGATGGGTGGTTAGAAGAGTTTCCTCCTTTAGAGAATGCCCAAAGATTTGGTAACAAGGCGTTTCGGTCTTGGGTGGACAAGTTAAGCGAGGTAAAGAAAGAAAAGAAAAAAAAAGTGTGTGTGTATTAGGAGAGCCCCAAGCTGAACATGGTTGAAAAAAGTGTAGTGTTCAAACGAGTTGATGACGCGTGTTTTACCCAACGCACTTCATGTGGCAATTCCTGAGCTGACAGAGTATTTGAATAAAGGATTTGGCAACGAGACAAGAATTGATTATGGATCTGGACACGAGTTAAGCTTTGCAGCATGGTTAGGGGGGATTGCTCTATTGGGTGGATTTGAAGTATGTGATTATCAGGCGATTGGATTAAGGATCTTTGTAAAATATCTGGAACTGGTGCGCAAGATTCAGAAAAAGTATTCGTTGGAACCAGCCGGAAGTCATGGTGTGTGGGGATTAGACGATCACCAGTTTTTACCGTATGTTTGGGGTAGCGCTCAATTGATTGGTAAAGCACAAAATTTTAAGGATTTCTATGGTACTAGGGAATTAAAAAAAGAAAGTACATTGTATAAATAGATCATCCCAGAATTACACCCAAATCCGTGTTAAATAAGGAGATGGTGGAAGCATATGCCAGTGAGAACATGTATTTCAGGTGTATTCAATATATTCTAGAGGTAAAGAAAAGGGAGGAAAACGGGGTTTGAATTATTCTTCTTTTTGGACTGAACAATAGAAAACTAGGTCAAGCGCGGACCATTCTTTGAGCATTCGCCCATGTTAAATGATATTGCATCCGTGTTGACGTGGAGTAAAGTGAATTCAGGAATGACGAAAATGTATGTTGCTGAAGTACTGAAAAAGGTGCCTGTGATTCAACACTTTAAATTTGGCGGGTTATTCCCGTTTGAAACAGTTGTGACTCCCCATTAAATTTAATATAATCTGCCCATAAAAATTTCTCTTTTTTTCTTTTCTTTTTCCTTTTTCTTTTTTAAAAAATATTCAATTTTATTACATAAAAAGAGAAAAGATGAGGTTTCTTCATGATGGCCATTCAAAATTACCATCCGTGATATTAGAAGTTGACCCTAAGCCGGTGTTTTACATTGGACCGGCCACTCGAGAAAATCCATTATCGCAGATCCGCACCAAATTATTGGGCAATGTGTATTTTAATGACCCTAAAATTAAGTGGAAACGTATCACACTTCATTTTACAGGCACATCCGGATTAAATATCGATGCGCCCTCTTCCTCTCTTCCACGCGATGTGGTGAGTGCGGTGTCCGACTTGCAAGAGGCCATCAGTGCCACCACACATTTAGAGACCAACGTCAGTTTATGTGATGTTGAAAAGGAATTGATTTTCACTCATGACAAGGTCATTGACTTTGGGCTTCATTTACCTCCGTTTTTACCACCCAGTATACGAACAAAGCATTCATTTGTAGAGTATAAATTATCCGTGATCTGTACACCCAGTGGACCCTTTGCGAAAAAGTTGCGAGTCGAACAGCCTGTGACGGTCTGCAGACATTATTTACCAAGTCCAAGTTCATTGATCCCCAGTGTTGAATACAATGGTGTACGCGAGTGGTTTGAATGGTCGGCTGATGTACCCAAGGCAACGGCCATTGAAGCAGGTGAGGTGGTCATTGCCTTACGTTGGAGTGTTGAAAAGGAATTTGTACAAGTCGACAGAATCGAACTTTGTTTAGAAGAATTAGAAACCTACCGGTAACTATGAATTTTTTGACAGATTAGAGGAAACACAGGGACACTGAAACACATTTTTTTTTTAAGATTCAGCACGAAACATGGTGTGCACAGTCTCCCATCGGTGGTGACACAATTTCCTAGTACGGCATACCATCCACCTTCTTTTACGACCAGTGCAGAGACACATTTCCTTCGTACGCCAATCCCACTGGTACCTTCAGTGGAGGTACGGGAGACAATACGAACCCATCACTTTGACCCTTTTTTAGAGATTTCACATCGTGTTAAAGTTGTCTTTCATTTCAATCAGTCCACCGAGTCTTTAGCAGTTGAATTTCCCATCATTATGACGGATTTTCCCAGTGATACAAAAGCCGATTATTTTGTCGACCCATTACTTTCGCCTATGCCATCATCCGTTTCAACACTTTCATCAGCCAATAGTAGTTTTGTGACTCTGTCGCCTGCACCCATGATTATTCAACCTGGTGGTGATGAAGTGCCGTGTATTGATTTAGATTTACCCGAGTACACACCTCCCTATGTGAAAGAACTTATTCCTGACAGCATCTAATCTTCACATTTGCTACACACTTGCTACATATTCCCTAAAAGAAAAGAAAAAAAAAAGTATAATGGTTTTTTTTTTTTCTTTTTCACTCATGCATTACCCATAATATATTTAGTCGCCAGTTTTTTTCTAATTGAATTTCATCCCCCTCTCCCTTCCCTTATTGTACATAATAAAAAAAAAAAAAAAAAAGGACATTTTATTTCGTATTTGATTAGTTAATAATAGGTGTAATTGTGTCTGGGTGTGTTGGTCTATATCTATTCGTCGGTAGTGGTGTCGAGAGAAGGCTTTCTACCATGAACCGAGTACCAAAGGATATGACCCTTATTTTGTTTCGATTCTTCTGCAGAGTCACGCAACAACTTGGCATAGACTTCAGGATCCTCCCATTCGGGGTTATTAAACACCAGAGCAGGACGAGCGTTTGTGTAAACATGGAAGTAATCTTCCCAAAGAAGTTTACCAACTTTACCACCATGGTTCAAAGGGATCTTGGAGAGCTTGACTTGAACATCTACAAAGCCTGCTTTCTTCAGTCTCTCTTCTAATTCACTAGCGACCAAAAAAGGGATTCCACGAGCCACCATCATTCCCATAACTAAAAAATTTTAAACAGGGAAAAAAATTAAAAAAAAAATTGCAAACATTTTTGTGTGTGTGTGTGAGCTTTACATGCGTTTTGTAAGGCCTTCATGTTGGGTCCTACAGTTAATAATTCTTGGATACATGCCTAAACAGATAGAAATCAATGAAATGGCTCGTGAAAGGTTAAAAGAAAAAAAAAATTGAATTAGTGAAAGGGGGTGTGTTACCTCATTACACTCGATGTAACCACCTGGCTTCAATACACGAAATAATTGTGCAAGTGTCTGGATACAAAAAAAGAGAGAGAAAGGATTAATTAAAAAAGAAGATAAAAAGATTGTTTCCACCGTGTCGGGATAAACTTTACGTTGGTCCAGTCAGTATCTGTTAAACCCAAGACAAGAAGTCTTTGATGAACAAAATCAAAAAAGTTGTCTTCATAAGGAATTTCTTTAGCGATATTGCCAATGACGAATTCGACGTTGGGAGGCATGATATTTTCGGGAAAGACACAAGAAGCATCGATACCGTAAATTTTCGAACGAGGATAGGTCTCGCCCATTTCAAAGGTCCAGGTGGCAGGACCGCAACCTGAATCGAGGACATTGATACCTTCCTCCAATTGCTTCTTGACGGGAGAAGAAAAGTTGCTAATAAATAAATAAAAAAAAAAGAGAGTATCCTAATTTAGTTTTTCATGTATCCTATTATCCATGTAAGAGTTATAGTACCCTTGAAGAGCGTAACGAAGAAGCCAATGTTGTTGATGTACACGGTCAGCCTCTATAAAATGATGGAAAATCTATTTAGAGAGAGAGAAAGACAATAGAAATAATAGTGTATGTACCATCATCATCGTTGGGAAGGATGTAGGCTACTTCAGAGTCACCATGGTATCTTCTACCATCTCTAAAGATATGATTTGTTCCATTACTGGAGCTTTGGTTTCTAGATGAGCCTTCTGTTGAGACACCTGTAGGATCGATTGTTTCTGGAGTAGGAGTGGACATGGATGTATTTCTTTTAAGTGATCTCTTTTCGTATTTATATCTTCCTTCTCTATGGAATAATTTTCTCAAGGTAGAAATTATGCCCATTTTTTATAGAGAGATTGGAAAGAAAATGTGCTTTTAAGATAAAAAAAAAGGGGTGGGGGAGAAGGGGGATTGAATTCATGAAACCTTCTTTTTTTTTAATGGATGGTACAGGTGTCGTACCAAAAGGACTGATTAAATATCTGATATTCTTTGGGTGAGAAAAAGAGGCGGGACCTTTTTTTTTTATATCATTATCATTATTCATTGGTGTTCATAATAGAAATAAAAAAAATGTCAAAAAGCAGCAGACAAAAATAAATGCCTCTTTTTAAAAAAAAAATAGAGAGAGAGTTTGTGATGGAGGTACCTGAATTTAAAAAAGTCGTGCTACGGGAGCACAAACAACAGTAATTAAATACCTGTGCACAGTTCAAGGAAAGGAGGAGTTTCTTTTACTTTCTTTATAAAACAAAAAAAATAGAAGAAAAGATAGAAAAAAATATATATCGTATGATGTTTTTTATTCTAAAAAAAAAAAAAAAGTTTACTTTTTGAAGAAGTCAAACTCATTTTTTTGACATCCTTTGACAGAATCTTTAAATAAAACTGTCGATAGAATTTTTCCTTTATTTGATGTGTGTCCTAGGAAACTTTAAGGTTTTTTACAGCATATCACATGGCTCCTTTTACGGCTTGATATAAGCGCGGATTCGTCCCCTTCCCCTTCAATGTCAATAGCACGATTTCATCTTTTTTTTTTTTTTTTTGTACTGCAGTATCACAAATTACGTTACTCATTTTAACTCATTTGGAATTCTGAATCATATTCTAAATAGGTGGAACAAAAACCGAATTTTATATTTTTTTATCACCCACTTTTTTTTTTTTTTTCTTGAGGTTTAATTTATCATTGTGTTGGGTTTTTTTGCCAATTATTTTATCATGCATGACAATGCTGTAGAAATTGATTTTAATTCCTTTCATAAGAAAAAAAAAAAAAAGCAGGGTTGCTGTGTCAATATTTTTCTTATGTCTATCGTGCTTCAATCGCTCGTATATACACTGTAACTAGAGTTAGAACGTGTTACATGATTCCAACGAATAAACTTTCTGCTGATGTGTTTTGCAGTGATACTTTATGGAGCAACAACTGAGATAACACAGCTTCTCAAAGAGTTTTTTTCTTCTTTTTTTTTTTTTTTATAAAACTTGTATTTTGTATCATAAACAATGTGATAGTTACGAATAGAATGTATATTGAACAGTGTATGCATCTTTTGACAAATGCCCATTGCTTACACTTTCGCCCTTGAATCTCGTTTGATCTTCATCTTAAGAGAAGACATATTAGGGGTAAAGTACAAACTGGGAACTAAAAGTAAGCAAGACACGCATACAGAATGACCATATAGGTGAATTGTCTGAGATAAATTTGCATCCCAGTTTTAAGACGATAAGGACCTCCACTTGGTGACCCAATCCTGCATGATAACTATGCGCACCAGGCTGTCCCTAAGAAACTCGAATGATGTCTTAGTAAGAAAAAGAAGGGTATTTAGATGATACAGTCGTATGATTTGATAAAACTGTTCTTTTAAGCTATGTTTGAATGCAAAAAAAAAAAAAAAAAAAAAAAAAAGCGCAAAAAGGTATCAGCATTTTATTATCAGCAACTTTTTTTTTAACAAGGTGGATGTGGATTTCTTTTAGCGGACAGGGTGTTCATATTAGTGGCTGCGGTCGAGTCATATAAGATGCCGTTGCAGTATAGTCATCAGTGGTCAAACGAGGAAGAGTCATTGGCTGTAATCGAGGAAGGGATTCAAAAAGCAGCAATTTTTTGCTTACCCATGAGTATCGATCTCAATTTAGAATGTAAATGTATACTGTCATCAAGGTCCTCCTTAAATAATCTCTTGTTTTAATTTTACCTCAATAATCAATAGTGATTAAGTCATCATTGACACATATAGGTGATGACCCCTATAAGCCTATGAAATCTCTGTGGATACACCGTAGTAACGTGCCGTCGTTAAATGTAAAGGTTAAAAGTGATTTTAATAAATACACATATAACTGAATCTGTACCTTCACGGACCTCCTTGAGTCAAATATCAATATATATAAGTGCTTTCGTGGTCTCCTCATTGGTAGTTTATTTTGTGAAAAGAGCTATATTGATGTAGGTCATAATTTGCGCAGTGTTTAGATAAAAAAAGTAAGGGTAAAAAAAAAATGTGGGTGGTTGATTTTTTTAAAATAGAGTGACGAACAATAAGAACTGGTTTATGTTAGGATGACTTCCTTGTTAATGTGATTACTTGAAATAGAACTAGATGCATGAAACTACTGGGTACTTATATGCAGGTATTTATAGACCCGAAAGTTGTAATATATCAGTGATTTAGTGGTAGCATGTACCAATAGCGAAGGATATTTCATGCAAAATAGGAATCAATCATCTCATGAAGTCTAGAACAACAAAGTTGGGTTGCTTCCAATTTACACAATTGATCTTTAAAACTAACTTTAAAAGAATGAAGAAATAAAAGAAAGGAATATCCAAATGATACAGTATGATAGGATTTACATAATTATTTTAATACAAGAAACAGGAAATTCAAACGCTAATCATCATTGTTTGATGTTCATTTTTCAAGCGCTTGTGTCCTCCCCCCCCGCCTTTTTTTTTTCTAGCTCAATGGTCCTGTCCGTGAGGTCATCAAGAGCCTGTTTGACGCTTGTCTTTTAACTACGTGTCTCTGGTTGGGATATTTTACTAACGCTTGACAGTAGCAGAGTGACTTGTCTTTCATTATTGTTCGCGCTGGTCGATTCAACGACTGTTCTTTCATTCAGTTGTGTATGCGGGTGGGGGTTGGGGTAAATGATAAATTTAGGGTTATCGATATTCATGCCTTGATTAACATTAGTATTAATATAAAAAAAAAAGCGAGCCGATATATACAGGTCTGTGTTTTCTGCTGGATTACCTCATGACTGTCAGCTTCCAGTGTAAAGAAGAAGAAGAAGAAAAAATGACTGACTTTATATGAGAGATAATCCAGTGACAAAGAACGTTTGCCCAAGAAAAAAAGAGTTGAGAGAATAACATCCTAATAAGTTTCAAACGCTTGTAAAGAGATGAGTTGAAATGACTACGGCTATAGATAACCATGTGCATTCTACCCATAAGTATTATTATCGAAATACCAGTTTGGTAGTTTTAGAGCAAGTTTTAATGCTAATTCTAATTACGCGGTTGGTGTAAATGGTTTCCTTCTAGTTGGGTTCGCACCAGCTACACAAAGAATGGATGTGAATAGAGCGTGTGAACAGGAATGGAAATACTTTAGTGGGACTTTTTATAAAAAATTCACCTATGAGCTTGCGATACCATTGTGCTGGTAATGCCATACACACAGGTATATAGATAGCTACTGTAACATTATTTTTTCCTGGACTAACTTTGAAAGGGTTTATTAAAATAAGCAGCATGATGGGTGGTGTACACCAAAGACTCCCATATGCCTAAGAAGATTTTATAGCGTTTATAAGATGATATTTTTATTTAATAGAAAGAAACCTGTCTTCACTCAAAAGCAGATCATCTTGTGTCAAGAGGGAATTGTTGTTGATGACTGATAAAAAACTTGAATTACGTCAGGATTGAATAATCAATGAGTGCCCACTCTTTTTTTTTTCGCATAGGAATGGATAGATAAAATGTATGTAACAGGAAAAAGTTCTTAAAAACAAGTATTTCATCTTGATCTAATAATAATAATAAAAATGTTGCTAGTGTGGTGGCGCAACCAGTCAATGTAAAAAAAAAAAATGTGAGTTCATGTAGCGGGGAACTAAAAAAAAACATGACTGTACCAAAGTGTAGGATCGGCCCCTCCCAACCTAAAAAAAAAAACTCGCTTACTTTTCTTGTTCATGCGTTTTTTTTTTTTTTTTTTTTTTTTTTTTTTTTTTTTTTTTTTTTTTTTTTTTAGAAGAAGAATAGTTTATTTTACAAGTAGTACATAAATGACAGTAAAACGTTAATTTATGATTCGAGTTTAATATGCATCTCTTTGCAGAGTGCGTGTGGATGATTGCATTGTGCGACGCTAAGAAAAAAAAAGGGGGGGGGGGCTGGGCGGTCTTTTTTTTTTTTTTTCGATAAATTTATAAACGGAAAATCCTCAGTTTGGGTTAAACCTACTCAACTTTTTTTTTTTTATATTGTATATTTATAATGTATGCAATAAGATTATAAATACGTATTACTTTTTAATGAAAAAAGAAGCCTTGGAAACATGAGTTAAAGAACATTCGATTTTTTAAGTGACACTCTTAATTTCTTGCGGGGGGAGGGGAACGATTATTGGCTCCTAAGCCTTTTTGACATGTGTGTTTCAATGCAGAGAAAAAGGTGCTATGTTAAAAAAGTTTCACACCTTAACTGGGATTACATAAGCGCAATAAAAGATGATCCCTTATTAGACAGGATAGGTGTTTCCCATTGAATAACGATAAAATTAAAAAATGACCGTGCCCCTTTGTTGCATTTACATTATTATTTGTCACCACTAAAAAAAAAAAAAAAAAAAAAAAAAAGTGCTACGCAAGCAAGATACACATGATGCCACACTTGAAAGTTTTAGTTACCTTTTTTAAAAGAAAAAAAGAAAACGGGGGCCTGCTGTGTAAAAATGTTCTTGGGTTATCAGAAAGCACATGCAATTCAATAACAGAGCACTTCTGTAAATAACTGATCGGGTATCCAGAAAAAAAAGTTGTCCGTGTATACGATTAACCCTATCGTTTATGTGTGAACACAATGAATCTGAGAGCTGAAAGGGGGGTTCTTTTTTGTTTGCACCTCGTTGACAGATTTACAAAGAAAATTATGTTTTTTTTATATAATGTGATAATCTAGATCTTTCTTCTTCAAAACATTAAAAAATGGGTTATGTAAGATATCAGGGGAATTCACATGTGATTGTTTTTTTGATTTTCTTCTTCTTCTAATGCTTTTCAGTTGGTAAATGTTTTCTTTTAGGATTGTAGATCAGGCTAAACTTTATTAAAAATGGGTAATCTGTGCTTTTTTTTTTAAAAAACCTTGATTTGCGCGCCATTTATATTTTTTTTTTTTTTTTTTTTTTGGGAACCTTTTTGAAATATAGCTCGGCTAGAAAAAAAAAAAAAAGATTTCCTCCCTCTGATACTTTTATCATTCCCTAACTTTTTTTCTTCTTTTACCCCCGTGACACTTGTCAAAATCCAAAAATAGATGGGGGGGGGGAAGTGGAGTTAATTTTAAAGGGGGGAAAAAAGGAATTCAATTAAAAAGTAAATACTTTTTTTTAACAGTGTTGTGTAATGAATAAGAGAAGGGAGGAAAATTCTTTTGCCATGTTTGCCCAAAAAAAAAAAAAAAAAAAAAAAAAAAACGCCCAAAGGAAGGCGTTCCAGGACCCTTTTTGCGGTTATTCCTTTTTTCTTAATTGTTGTGTGGCAAGTGTAACAAAAAAGAAAAAAGGTTTCAAAAAATAATTACCATTGATTCTTGTTTTAAGTGAGTTTTATAATTGCATACTTTTAGCAAAAGGGTGTAAGAAATGGTTTTTTTTTTTTTTTAATAAGATATATAAAGAAATCATTGTTTTTGTAAAAGTCAATCTGTCACATAAATGGAAATATAAATTCTGTCACGGAGATCACTTTTTTTTTCTTTTTTTCTCCCGTTTATGGACGGAAGGTTTGTTTTTGTGTGCAAGTTGATACGTTCATCAAACAGTAACCAAAACAGGTTTACAATACAGCCCCCACATCACTATATATATATATATATATATATAAAAAGATATATATTTAGATGATCAGTATTTGCGCGCGGGTTTGAAATACAGGTGTGTGGTACAATGTAACAATGAAAGCGGTCCGTAATTATGTTAAGGTTATTTAATCCACGTTCCAATATAAAAATAATGTAAAAGGTGTTACGCTCTATCTAAAAGGTATCTTGTCTACCAAAAATACAATCACCTCCGAAAAGAAAGGACCCTATATATCTAGTATACATGTTTATTTCTTTTTAAGATTGGATACTTTGTATGTGTGTGTGTGTGTGTAGGGGGTAAATAATAAATTGTTTGTTTGGGGGGATACGGTTGGGGGAAAAAGGAAGTGAGAGAGGAACATAGGTTTTTAAAACGAGAGACTTCTATATTATATTTTTTTTTTTTTTTTTTTTTTTTTGGTTTTGGTGAAACGAGAGACCCTTATTCCAAAGGTTTTTGTGCATAACAGACATAATAATTAATACATGTTTCATTGGTTTTAGCTTCCACGCCACAATTATTGACAAACTCTTTGAATATATCTTCATCTTCCCATTCATGATTGACTTTGGCAAGCACCGTACGCATATTGATGGTACCATGATGATAATCATCCCTACAAAAAAAAAAAAAAAAAAAAAATTAAAATTAAACACAGAAAAATAAATATAAATTTGATGTGCATATAGAGGTACATTACCAGAGTAGTTCACCAGCCTTGTTGGTATGGTTTAGTTTTAATGGAATGATCTTCAAGACAATATTGACATAACCCGTCTTTTCCAGAAGGTCAATAAACTGGCTTCCTACCTTGGTAGGCATATCTTTTTCAACGACAATGGAGGATACTTTTTTTTGGATTATTTAGACAAGCAATACGTTAAATTATAGATGTGGTACTTACAAGTATCTTGTAATTTTTTTAAGAGTGGTCCCACGTTGTGCAAATCTAACAAGTCAGGCTGTGTGATGTAGAACGTGCAAAAGGGTAAAATATATGTCAGAAAAAAAAAAAAGAATACATATCGAATGTATAAGAAAAATAAAAAGGGGGATTTTTTTTTTTTTTTTTTTTACCTCTACAAGTTCAATATAGCCTCCAGGTTTTAAGACACGATATATTTCCTTTAGAGCCTAAAAAAAAAAAAAAAGGGTGGAGTTAGTGTCAATATCTTGTCAAACAGTCAGCATGTATTAAAGGTTACACCATCCCAGTCAGATTGACTTAAACCAAGGAAAAGAAGACGTTGATGAACGTAATGGAAATTTTCATCAGGGTAAGGGATGTTTTTAGCAACGTTTCCAATGACAAGTTCAACGTTGGCTGGTTTGATATCTTCAGGAAAGACACAAGCGGCATCTACACCGTGGAACGTGGATCGTTGATAGGTTTCACCCATTTCAAACACCCAGGTTGCAGGTCCACAACCTGAATCGAGGACATTGATACCTTCTTCTAACATTTCTGTAACAGGAGCATGATAGTTGCTATGACATATAGGGTTAAGTCCAAAAAGTATATTTAATGTGTGTCTAAAACCTTGTTTTTTTTTGTGTGTGTGTGCACACAAAAAAAAAAAAAAATTAAATTACCACTGAAGTGCGTATCTCAGAATCCAATGCTGTTGATGTACACGATCGGTCTCTATTTTTTTTTTATATGTAAATAACCATGTTGTTGGGGGAGAGTAGTAAGAAAAAAAGATTATTTTACCATCATCATCGTTAGGTAAGAAATACGAGATCTCATCGTTGGCGTGAAATCTACGTCCGTCTTCGAATTTAAATTGATAGCCATTTCGAGAAGAACCTGAGGAGTCTGTGGCCACTGATCGAATCACCATTTGTGAGTTACTCATCACACTGTCGGCCGTCTTGGCTTTTTTGCAGGAAGGTGTCTTTTTTTTAAAAATCTGTCTAAAGCTTGTAATAAACGTCATTTATTTATATATATATATAACACAACAATAATCAAAAAGGTGAAGAAAAAAAAAAAAAAAAAAAAAAAAAAAAAAAAGAGAGAGAGAGAGAGGAGGGAGTGCAGAAAAAGAAAGAGAGAAAAAAAAAAAAGTTGCAGTTAAAAAAAAGTTTATATTTGGCATTATTGTGTATAGTTTTGTGCACAATTACCGTGATAAATTATTGGTTTTTATGAAACCGATAATTTAAACACGATGGAAGGACAATTACTTTTTTTTTTTTTCGCACACACGATTACCCGACAGGTAGAGGTCTACATGCACCCCATCTCTCTCTCTCTCTCTCTCCTTCTTTGTTGGGGGAGATATACAAACCAAAAGTGGGGGAGAAAAAAAAAAAAAGATTTTATTTGTTTTTTTTTTATTTTTGACAGCCCCTCTTTTTTTTTAAAAGTTGTATTTTGCTCTACTGATACTGATCACGAATTCTTTGGGATCGGTCGTATCATGATAGCCAATGGGACCAAGGTCACAATCTGCACAGGATAAATATTTGGTAGTACCAACTGTTGTCGAGAACCCGACGTTTTCGAAATCCATCATGTTGCTCACATGCCAAAAATGAGTGTCGTTGTCTTTTAACAAGGTGTTTTCAGGTAAACTTGTGATGGGTAAAGCGAGCTAGGTGGGGGGGAAATGAGTTTATACCGGCCTTTTTTTTTATTTCACAATTTATTTTAAAACCTTGGCTCCATCTCTTTCGACTAAAGTAGCGGTATTCTTTCTTAAAATAATACATTGACAATTTACTTTAGGACAAAGAATAGTGGCCACATTCTTTCCTGATTCATTCACAAGAGTTTCTAAGGGTTTATCAATCGATTTAAACAATGTCGACATTTATAAAAAAAAAAAATCAAGATAAAAAAAAAAAAGGTTCGTCCCCCATCTTCTCGCGCTCGAACTCCCCCCCCCCTTTTTTACTGAGTTTAGAACGATTTGACATCATTTTTTTTTTTTAGCTGCAAAAAAGGGTAAGAGTGTGAAAAGTTCTTGCCTCCCCCCCCCCCCCCCTGGTATGGTACGACGTTACAAAAAAGGGAGAGAGAGAGAGAGAGAGAGAAATAACAACAGTCATGATGATGAATGATAATAAAAAGAGCGTTCTTTGAGGGGGGGGGAAGGAATCCTTCCTTTATAATCACATGCATTAAAATATGTTAACTCCGCATCTAAAATCCCTAGCCAAAACCAAAGGGAATGGACACAATAAAAAAAAAATTTTTTTTACTTAGTTATTTGGTCACAGATTTTTTTTTTTTTAAAAGATTGTCGTGATTTTACGTCACTGTCATAAGGTTTAGAAAAATTTTCCCTAAAACTACGTTTTTTTTTTTTTTAAACTTTTTCTTTTTCTCTTTATTCTTTTTTTTTTAAAAAATAAAATCAAATAGAGAATAAAATATGTCACAAAACGCGTTAAATGCAAACATTCAAGCTGCTATCGATTCTGCTATTGGTGCTAGAGCAATCGATGTGTATGCCTACTTTGAGTCTTTAAAGACGGACAAGGCTACTGTCGAACCTATCGTTCCCAAAGAAACCATCGTGAGCGCAAACGAGACCATCACGAACGAACCCGTTGTCAACCAACAAAATGAGGAGGAAATCGAGTCTGTGGAGGAAGCTGTGGAAGAAGTGATCGAAGAGGCTCACGCTGAGCAAGAGGATGTCGCTACCAAGCACGATCTTTTGGAGGAGCTCAAGGAAGAAGTACCCGAGGTACCTCCTACTGCCATCGATGAAGAAAAGGAAGAGGCCATGGAGGCTAAGGAGGATCTTTTAGAAGAACTCAAGAGAGAAGTACCTGAAGTCGCTCCTACTGCTATCGATGAAGAAAAGGAAGAGGCCATAGAGGCCAAGGAGGATCTTTTAGAAGAACTTGTTCAAGAGGTGCCTGAAATTCCTGCTGCTGTCCCTCAAGTCAAGGAGGAGGAAATTGTCCAAGAAAACAAAGAAGAGATCACAGAACCTCTCAAGGTAGATTTGAAGGCAGCTGTGCAACATGCCATTGATTCCGTTGTCGGTGCTCCCGTCGTAGATGTATACGCTTATTTAAACAATGGTAAGGAAGATCTTCTTGAGCAAAAGAGCGAGGTGATTCAAGATATCAACCAACACGTTGAAGAAGTCCCTGCTGTCGCTGTGGATGAAGTCAAGGAAGATGCTATTGAAGCCAAGGAGGAACTTTTGGAAGAATTAGTCGAGACTGTGCCTGAGGTTGCACCGGAAGTTGCACCCGTCGCCGCTACCGCCGCTCCCGTAGTGGATATGGACGAAGCCATTCAACATGCTATTCATTCCGCTGCTGGTTCCATCGATATCTACTCTTCCTATTTGGAGAAATCGGATGAAACCCCTGTCAAGTCTGCCGTGATTGACAACACGACCGCTGCTGCTTCCGCTGTCGCTGCTTCTGCTGCTGCTGGTTTCGCTTATCTTGCCAAGAACGATGAAGAGTCTAGCCCAATCGAGAGCAACACCGATGATGTCACCCCCAAGAGTCGTGAGGCTGAAGTACCTATCATGGTGGAAGAACAAGTTGACAACAAGACTAAAGTCAAGGAAGCCGTAAAGGAAACCTATGAGGAAGCTCAAGTACAAGCACCCGTGATTCAAAAGAATGTGGATGTCAAGGTTGAAGAAGTCTCCGATGCTATGGCTGCCACCATGGAAGAAGCTCAAGTTCAAGCTCCTATCATTCAAAAGGACATCGTGGATAAGGCAACTGTCGTCAAGGATACCGTCGATGCCACTGTAGAAGAAGCTCAGGAGAGAGCCCCCGGTATTCAAAAGAGTATGGTCGATACCGCTGTTGCCGCCAAGGACACGGCTGTGGAAGCCAAGGATGCAGTGGCTGCTACAGTAGAGGAAGCTCAGATTCAAGCTCCTATCATTCAAAAGAGTATGGTCGATACCGCTGTGGGAGCCAAGGATACCGTTGCTGCTACTGTTGAGGAAGCTCAGGTTCAAGCCCCCATTATTCAAAAGGATATTGTTGATACCGCTGCTTCTGCTGTTGAAGGTGCTAAGGATACCGTTGCTGCTACTGTTGAGGAAGCTCAAGTTCAAGCCCCCGTTATTCAAAAGGATATTGTTGATACCGCTGCTGCCACTGTTGAAGGTGCCAAGGACACCGCTGCTGCTACTGTGGAAGAGGCCAAGGTTCAAGCCCCCATTATTCAAAAGGATATTGTTGATACCGCTGCTGCTACTGTTGAGGAAGCTAAGACTCAAGCCCCCATTATTCAAAAGGACATTGTTGATACCGCTGCTGCTACTGTGGAAGAGGCCAAGACTCAAGCCCCCGTTATTCAAAAGAACATGGTTGATACCGCTGCTGCTACTGTGGAAGAGGCCAAGACACAAGCCCCCGTGATTCAAAAGGATATTGTCAACAAGGCTGGCGATGTGAAGGAGACTGTTGCTGCCACTGTGGAGGAATCCAAGACCCAAGCCCCCGTGATTCAAAAGGATATGGCCCAAAAGGCCAGTGATGCGGAGAAGACAGCTGCTGCCACTGTGGAGGAGAGCAAGACACAAGCTCCTGTGATTCAAAAGGAGATGAGCGAACAACAAAGTGTTGCACCTATTACGGAGACGATCAAGACAGCTGTGGTTGATACTGTTGCGATGGCACAAGAAAAGGTAGAGGAAGTGAAGGCTTCCCCTGTTGGACAAAAGGTGATGGGATCTGTTGAAGAGATGCAAGCTAAATTGACACCTGCTGTTCAAAAACCCGAAGCTGTGGTTCCTGTTCCTGTTTCTTCTAGTCAAGTGAACCCTCAAGTGAATGCTGCACCTGCCACTACAAAACCTGCCTCTGAACAAAAGGCTTTACCTGCCAAGCCCGAGGATAAGGGTAGTCGTTGTACTATCATGTAAATTTTACTACTTGAAAAAATATAACACCCCCCAAAAAAAAAAATATAATATAAATATACAGCATGTTTCATACCAACAACTCTCTTGAAAAAAAAAAAAAATTCCAAATAGTATACTTTTTCACTCTTTTCCGTATATAATTAAATAAAAAAAAAAAGTTGAAATTTAAACAAATTTATGCATCTGTCATTTTAATCAAACATCGTCGATCTCTGGATTGTGCATAATACTCAACCTTTTTGTGAAAAAAAAAAAGGATTTCACGGCACAAGTCCCCCCCCCTCCCATATTTTTTTTTTTTTTTTTTTTGTCAATAAGAAGATTTTTGTAACTATCATGCAAAAAAAGTTTTTTTTTTTTTAGATTGCCGTGTTTGTTTTTTTTTTTAATTGTTCATGTGGTTGTTATGTGGTTTGTTAAAGTGTAATGGATTCAACTGGGTACCATAAAGAAAAGTCATGCACCCGATACAACCTAAAACCCCCCAGCTGATGTAAGCACGGATTTCCAAGGGAATCCAATAACATGCAATAGCACTTTTTTTTTTCTTTTGCAGGTAAGTGTGTGTGTGTGTGAACATTTTTTTTTCTACCCTGTTTTTTGTTTACCTTGACCAAATAAAGCCAGCTACAGCAGGACTGAGAGTTCGCATGGCAGCATTACAACCTAAATACAAATAATCAATATTGAGTGGGGGTTCATGTGAATAAAAAAGTGTTTGTTGTTGTTATTTTTTACATTGTGAAAAACCATTGATAAAGCCCAAGGTATTTGATCTTGCCACCGAATTATTCAACAAGATGACAGCGGTTGTGACTGCAATGGTTTGAGATAACGACTTGATTGTCAAGCAACATACGAGACCGAACCAGACCCACATCTTGGTCTCCTCGTGATGGAAATCCGGGATGCGATAAAGAAGCCGGCATAAGCCCTGAGCAAAGAAGACGAGAGCACTTGACACCAACGATAATTGGAATAGATGGAGCAACCCAAATAGAGCAGTGAGCCGGTGAAGGACAAAGACTTGTACGAATAACATGACTGACCCAGCAAAAGATAGAATCGTGCCAATCTCTCCTGATTGAAAGCCAAGACCACCCGCCTCCTTGGGTGTTGCAGACCAAGTAGGTAATAATTCTAAATAAAGAACAAAAAAAAGAAATGGTTATCTTACAATACTCACTCAATCTCTGATATGTATCTTACCGTCAAAGTAGAGCATTTGAAATGCGACAATGGCATAAATAAGACTCATAGCAATGACCTGAGGTGTCAGGATATCTTTTATTCCTGTCGGAGGATCAGGGTTGACAAGTGCTGGTAGCAAGGGTTGCTGTTCAGGATCCATCTTCTTTTTCAGGTAGAGTGTTTCTTTGGAGAGGAAAAAGACGAGGAGCCAACAAACAGAGGATATACAAGTAGCCAAGAAGCAAGGTAAGAAATAAGGATAGTCTATCAAGAAATCTGTGATGTAGCCCAAATGACCAAAGAGGGCAGGATATTTACGCACTGGTTCAGATAGATAGCCTGATTGTATATACAGTGGAAAGGGAAATTTTAAATAAATTGAATATTGATGTAGTATGACGACAAAGTGTACCTCCTAAAGCAGCCCCCACAATACTTCCTAAACCAAAGGTCACTTGTAAGAGAGAAAATGCGCGTGTGCGTTTCTCTGCAGAGTGATTCTGGGTCAATTCAGCAATCATGCTTTTGAGTACACTGATGTTTCCGTTCTAAAAATATAATAGGTGTCATGAAAGGAAAGGATTGGGTATGAGTTTTTTTTTTTTTTTTAAAAGATACTTGCGAATAAACCGGAAAATATCTTGGTGGACAATGCCCAGAGAAATGACTTTGACAGGCCAAATAATAACACGCCTATTGACGTGGAAGCAAGACCGATTAAGATGACTGGTTTCCGACCTATTCGGTCCGAGAGAGATCCCCACGGTATTCCTTTTAAGTATGTGTATGTGTGTCAGAGAGTTAAAATAGATGACATTTGTGTTGTTGGGGAGGGATTACCAGAGATAAATTGAGCCATAGCAAAGGCCGATGTAATTAAGCTTGCATAGTAACCAATATGAAGTTCGTCTGTCATTTTAAAATCTCGAATCATCTTTACAAGTGGACCCGGTTAACCCCCCCTTTCACTATGAGTTACAATCATTTTTTTTTTTGTTGTTGTTGGAAAAACTGTTCACTTACGAAATAAATAAAGGGAGCATGAATACTGAACGATATTGGTTCCTGAATAAATTATTATAAAAATCTGTTCAACAACTCTTTTTTTTTTTTTTTTTTTCTTTTTTTTTTATTGTCGCTTTCTTTCTTTTCTTTTTTTTTTTCCCTTCTTTCTCTTGTATATTTACTGCAAACCGACATGCACAAATTAGAAACAATTGCAGTTTCGGTAACCGTGAATCTTCCGACATTATAACAAAAAAAGATAAAAAAAAAAAAGAGCCTATCTTTTTTTTTTTATTTCGTGATGAGTCAAGTGACTCTGCATACTGAAATCTATTTTTTTTTTAAAGGGAAGCATTATAGTGTAACAGGAAAAATCTAAAAGTGCTTTTTTTTTTTTTTTATATTACCGAACTTTTTTCCTAGGTTGTAAGGATAGAGAGCCTTGATTCAAACACCATCGATAAGAAAGAGATCCAAGAAAGAAAGTAACTAAATCCCATTTTGCCACAGGGTAAGCAGCTTGTCATGCAGCATCGCACTAAACCTAAAAAAGAAAAGCTGGGAAGCTAAAGTTTTGTTATCAGTGAGGAGGGGGATCACACAGATGAGCTTCAAATAAAAAAATAAAAAAAAGGTTGATAGCAATCCATACTCCGTATCTGATTGTTCTTAATGATATTTCTTTTGATAAAAGCAGCTGGGAGACCTCATTACCACAGTAACTATCCATAGTGATAATAATAACGTAGTATAATTTTGAATCCTGCGGAAAAAGAAAAAAGGGCAATTTTTGTTTTTTTTTTTTTGGAAAGCAGTGTATTTCAATACCATGATGCATGCTTCTGTAAGAGCATGGGAGCCAAGACTTAGAATGAAGGTTGTCATTGCCAACTGTTTTTATTTTATTTTATTTTTTTAAAAAAAAAAAGAAGCTGAAACTTGACAGAATAAATATATTTAAAAAGCCATGTCGTAATTTACCTCTATTTTTGACAGAGAGGGAACAAAGGGATGTATCTTATAAATGATAAATTCCTATGCTTGCATTGGCGCGCTTTTTTTTTTTTTCTTTTTCTTTTTTTTTTGCCGTCAATATAATGTATGATGAGACATTCTGTAGATGGACGCAAGGTTGGGTCTGCTGCAAGAATCCTAAATTGCATCAGTAAACAGAAGGAAAATGCAGTATTTATATTTGGTTCATGATAGATCCGAGAAAGAAAAAAAAAAGTCTACATTTATAAAAAAAAAGTAAATAAAGTTATAAAAGTTCAGATAGCTGTTCAAAATTAGACACTCTTGTTTAGGGGAAAAGCCCAATCATGTTTGATTCGGGGGTTGTCCCTCCCCCCCCCCCCAACCATAAAGTGGTACCTCCGAGAATTTGACAAAATAAAAAATAAAAGTGGTATCGGGATATAATAGCATTTATTGGGGGGGGGGGGTGTTTAAGTAGCAGGGTAAAATAAGTTGAGGGAATAAAAGTTTTTTTTTTTTTTTTAATGTACAAAAAAATAGAATGATGCGTTTAGAAAGTGTTTACAAATGAAGTTTGATGGATATTTTAGTTTTTTGACGAATACACCAGTTTAACAGACTTTTCCGATCAAGACTACTTGTGACACTGGCCTGTCTTTGATGCCTTGTTCCGATGTGACCTTGTGTTTTAAGATTGCAATGATCGTGGGTCGAACTGCTTGATATTGTGTCGGATAAGGATTGTCTGCGTACATCCTCAGAATCCGAGAATAACTGTGAGCTTGTATTACTGGAGTTGTCATAAAATATACAATAATCCTGTTCAAAGTGTTCTTGGAATCGTGATGAAGTATTCATTTTTTTAATATATATATATTTGTTTTACAAAGGTAGGTATTTTTATTTTAAAAGAGTAAAGAGAAAAAAAAGTGTCAAGTTAAACTTTTTTTTTTTTCCCTTTTTATAATCAAAACTGTTTACTTTTGCATGTTCGGAATACCCGAAATGACGAGCTATCATTGGTTCAATTTCGACCGACCGAAGCAATGATTTCATGGCAGAATCTAAAAATAACTAGAGTTGATTGGCTGAGGTCATTTTCCTTTTTTTTTTTTTTTTTTTTTTTTTTTTGCTACGGGGGAAACAAACAAAGCAGCACTTTTTGTGATATGACCAACTATTTTTTTTTTATATATATATTTTTTTACCCCTTTTTTTTTTTTCTCTCTCTCTTTTTTTTTTTTTTTTTTTAGTTTTTTATAAATAAAATAAAAAAATGTCCATGAACCGACAAAGACCCCGTACTCGGGTAAATAGCAGAGCCAACACTATACCGTCATTGTCAAATACGACGGTCAATACGGAATCGACGGTAGTTGATTTTTTACCATCGATTGAGGAATCACTGCAAGACTGGCTGAGTAGGAGTATTCCTGATACACCGACCTCTTCTGTGGCCTGGTTACTGGATACCTGTCGATGCTGCCACCGAAATGAATGCGAGAATTTAGAGATACTGTCAAGTGCGATCCGTAAACTAGAGGGGGATTCACGTTTGGCAGCAGAAATTGGACAAAGTCTACTTCACAAACATGAGCAATTTGTATCTGAATCGGATGATATCAAAAATGGGCTTGAGCAAGAGGCAAGTCTTTTCTTTATCCACTCCTTAAAAAAAAAAAAAAAATTAAATAGGCATGACTCGCATGGAAAGTATTTTGTTTACTAAAAAGACCCCCCTCCCCCTTTTTCATAGCTTGAAGAGTTACGTGACAAAGTACGTGAATTGGAACAAAGTTTAACAGATTCGGATAATTCTAAACAAGACTTAGTACAAGAAAAGGATAGATCCATTTGGGAAATGCAAAAGACACAAAAGGTAAAATTACACACACACACACACACACACACACACACACACACATAAAGAAACAAAAGACTCTCTTTTTTTTTCTTTTTTTTTTTTTTATTTTAATCAGTTTTATTTATATATATAAAAAAAAAGTATAATCCTTCTTATATCTTGTGTGTGAAAAATGTAGATTTTGGATGAAACAGCTGTGGACCTGGAGACTTCAAATCATCGGTGTTTACAACTGGGATCCGAACTAAAAAGTAAAATTCAGGAACTTGAAAAATTACGAATATTCAAGTTTATGGCGCGGCAAGCTGATATACGAGAAGACACGTTAAGAGCAAAAGTAAAATAAAACTATTCAAGGAAGTTTTTTTTTTTTTATTTTTTTTTCATTATTATATCATTTCTGTACCAGAAAAGTGTAAATTAATTTTTTTTTATTTTTTTTTTTTTTATTCTAGTTGGAAGATATTAAACAAGAATTGGCGGTTTCGAGAAAAACAGAACTAACGTTAGAATCAAAATATAAAAAGTTAAAAACAAAATATGGCAAGTGTACATGGATTGCGCATAACTGTTGTGTGTGTGTGTGTGTGCGTTATAACCCTTTTATATTTTTATATATATTAACTCTTGTAAACAAAATCCCATAGAATCCATATGCTTTTCCTTTGAAAAAATTAAATTGGATCAACAAGAATTAGGCCCAAGCAAAGATCATCAACTTGACTTGGTTTGGCTAAGAGAATCAAATGAAAAGCTACGCAAGGACGTATTAAAGGTTTGTGATTTAGATGGCGCGGGGGGTCATAGCATCAACAATAACAACAATATAAGCTTACATGGTCTTTTTATTTTTTAAATTAGCTTACATCTGCTTTACTTGTTCCAAATACTGCAGATGATTTGCATATGACCAATCACAACAACACGAGCCATCATCTTATTGAATTGATTAAAGAATTAGCTTCTGCCAATAATAAATTAAAAACCGATTTACTAGACTGTAGTGACTTATTAATGGAGTGTCGAAATGATTTATACAATAAGCTTGATAAACAGCAAGATGAAATAATGCATCATGACGATAATAGTTGTATTATAATTCAACAAGAAAATAACAATCATGCACCAACATCACAAGATGACGATAAAACAAGTTGGTTAAGCACCTCTGCTCCTCAGTCAAATGAAGAATCAATCGTGATCGTACCAAGACTACGAAGAACCGAATCAAAGAGATCAAACAAGATAGACACTACCGTTGCTCCCTCACCGTCATCACCACAGCCAGCCGTCTCTCTCTCCACAGATACCCCAGCGGTCGTTCATCATCACTACCACTATTATATGAAGAATAAGCTGATGGCTGAAAAAGGCAAATTAAGAAAGTCAGCAGAGATAAAGAACGGAGAGGTAAGGTCTTTTCAATAATAATAATAAAAAAAAAAAGGGGGGGAGGGGGGGAGGGAGAAAGGAGTTTTTGAGTGAAGACACTGATATCTAATATAGAAACCACCTGCCACCCTCTCACCTTCCACCTCGTCCAAGTCAGTTAAATTGGACTCTAGTTCACCCTTTCGACAGTTATACCATCAAGTGACAATGGTATTACAACGACTTCAACAGACGGATATCCGAGCCTTAAATAGAAGATTGCGACGTGCATTTGATATATTAGAATTAAGCAGTATGAGCAACTCAATTATAGAGAATATTGTGACGGATGTGGATGGGTTGCGAACACGATTTTTATGGATCGAAGATTGCCACCAATTAGTGAAGCAAGAATCGTGGATTCATGATATTTCCATGCTGGAGTTTTTCCCCATCATCGGACTTGTGCAGGACATGTTAAAGGAGATTGGTCAGCTTAGGACAACAATGAATGATTTACAGGTCGAATATGTGAAAAAAGTCGAGGAAAGCGACACAAGATTAGAGGAAGAAATTCTGAGAAAGCAGCAAGAGAAACAACAAAGAATCGTATTAAACACTTATAAAAAGACCACACTCTCTTCATGGCTATCCAATGTATTTCAACGTAAGCAAGGGGAAGGTCATCAAGTATCATCACCACAGCAACAACAACAACAACAACAGGATACCAATACAAGGTTTATTATCAATAACACCAGCGATATCAGTATTACGACCACCCATCATCCTTCTTCTGTCCATCCTCTATCGACAGTGAATACAGAAAAGTCCAACATGATTGCGATTATACGGCGAAAGAAGAGTGATATTGATAGACATGGACCTCCTTCGAGTTTTCCGACGAGGTCACCTGCAGTTGCCATTGGAAATGAAAAGAATAAACGTAGGTCGACAGCGACGCATATCTCAACGCAGGTGTCTACTTCATCGCCTTCTTCCAACCCTACGCCAGCAGGATCTGTCACACCCAAGCCCTTCCCATTGACCTTGAGAGCCTCACAAAGTGCGGGAACCGTAAGAAGGTCAAAATCCATGCAAGCACCAGCATTAGATTACGTTGTGCGAAGAAAAAGATCCACGTTAGGTCTGAGTTCTTCTTCTTCTACTGATTATGATTTAATGCTTACCCCACAAACCACTTCTCCAGACATGACCGGTACATTTGCTACAAGTTGGTTAGGCAATAAATAATTATAGCGCATTGACCCTTTTTTTTTTTTTTTTTTTTTTTTTTTGCACATATATATATCCCGGAGTTTAAAGAATGGACGTTTTTTTTTTGTTTATTTATTTAGAGCCATTCAAAAAAGGGGGGTGGAGAGAGAGAGAGAGAGAGAGAGAGAGAGAGTGTGTGTGTGTGTGTGCAAGTGCCGACTTGTTTTTCTTTTTTTTTTTTTTTTTTTTCCGTTCAACTAAAATAATAAAATAAAATATAAACCCCCCATGTCTACTGCTATTCCTTCTACGGTGGGTACACCGCAACCTTCAGGTATGTCCATCACGAGTCCAGCACAAGCTTTTGCTCAAGCCCAATTACAACAGCATCATTTGCAAGCACAGATTCAGCAGCAACATTTACAAGCGCAAAATCTATTTAGACAAAAGCAACTCATGGCACAAAAGCAACCATTGTTTCAACAACCCCAACAATTGTTACAGCAACATCAACAGCAACAGTTACTACACCAACAACAGCAGCTGCTACAGCAACAACACCTGATGCAACAAAAGATGGCAGGTAACCGTTTAAATCCATCTCATCCTGTGACACCCATCATTCCACAACAGCAGGCATCTCCAGCACCTTCCAAAGTGCTTGGGACACCTAGGTAAAAATAAATAAAAAAAAAAGGGGGGGGGGGAAGGCATGGATAAAACTAAATAGGTGTCTTTTTTTATAGGAATCAATCAAATGGACAGGCTGTACTTCGTTTACTTCAGTTTGCAGAACAATTAAGTCCAGGACAGGAAAAGGTAAAAAGGCAAAAAAAAAAAAAAGAGATAGAAGGATGCATACTGCATATGTGTGTATATATCGAAATAATAACAATTTTTTTTTTATTAACAAAAATTATGAAGGCTGTTGAACGATTATACTGGGATAATTTTATTCAAGATTTCTTTACGGATCAGAGTACAATGAAAATGGGATTATTTAACATGGAAACCAGCGAACAAAAATCCTATGGTAAAGTCAAAAACCCGAGAAGAGGGAATTAAAAAAAAGGGGGGGAAGGGGCAGGAATGAAAAGGGTGAACATATTTGTTTTGACGATACTTTCATAGAGGTAAATCAGTCATTACAAGCACGATTCTTTCACACCCAGTATTTATGCGGAGTGATCTCAATTCAGATGACATTGGAAAAGACGATGGAGTATATTTTACCAGGCGGTATTATGAATGTGGAGTGTCCTCGAGCCAGCCTCATCAATCGATACGACAATGGATCGATGGTCATATCCACTGGCCATTTATGGGTCCAATTCTCCATGACAATGGAAGGTATTTGGAAAATTGGACATTTGGATTTCACCTTTGGAGGTCATGAAGAGTACATGCGTCGGCCAAAACCCATCACCAAAAAGAAGATACCGCCTACACAACCTATACCAGAATCGCTTGTGAATAAATGGGGTGTTCCTCCTCGCTTATTTCATCTATTACAAATTGCGGATATCGCTCCGCGTATGAGCGAAATCGTCTTTCATTCGCTTGTCTCGGGTGCCACCCCAAGAGAGAGTCTAAACGCCATTGCTCATGATAAACAGCCACCTGTTGCTTCGCCTGTCGTGAAAACACAAACGCATCCACTGCAGCTACAGCAGACATCGGTCACTGCTTCTTCTCCTGCTGCTGCTGCTGCGCTGAGGCAACCCAATGGTTTTCCTCCAATGTCATACCAACAACAAACATACCCTACTAATACAGTCACACGAAAGTGATTTTCTTTCCCCCCCAAAACCCAAACCCAAACCATAAAAACAAAAAAATGTCACTTCTTTTGAATTCAAAATATAACCCTCTTCATTTTTTCAACCCCATAAAATAAATAAATTCGAGGTATCAAACAGATTTTTTGTTGTTGACTGACATCCTAATTTAAGTCTGGAAAGGGGGGGGGGGTTAGCTAATTTTATATGATGCACAAATTTAAAAAAGATGGTATCATGTCAAAATACAAGGATAAAGTAAATCTCTTTCAGGCTTTTATTTTCCTTGAAATAAGTTGTACGAGGAATTTTTAAGGTAAGCGTACAATGAGTGTTGTATCTCCTACCAAAACCTTATTTAAATCGAAAAACACTCCAAAAAAAAAAAAAAAATGGGGATCTACAATTCTGTCGTATAACTTGCATTTCGTCCTTTTTTTTTTATGATCAGTTCTAACATGAGAGGAGAAATTGCTGCGTGTGAACGATAGTGAGTTGATTCGGTTGTGTGCTGATGACGAACGACTTGATGTTTTACAACCCATTGCCCTTTTAAAAATGCTACTCATGAAAAAAAAAAAAACAGGATAGCGTATCATTATGAGTGCTACAGAATCAGTTCTCAAAAATTTTAAATTGTCAACAAGGTAAAAATATTTGTGCATCCGTTTGGAAAATGATTTGATCACATTTATACGCCATAAAACGTATTGGGTCGCTCATAACTATACAAACATTTCCGGCTAAAATATAGTCCATACTTGTCAAGTAAGCGTTACTTATAATTTGTCATTCTTTAGTCAACCATGAGAATGATGCTGTTTCCTTCCTTTTTATTTATTATAAATGTAGTCTTACTAAGCATAAAATTCCGCCGAAAAGTTATCTATCGATGAACGTTCATACAACCACGGACTCAATTTACATGAACCCGTTGAGCTTATAAATTTAATCTATATAGTTTAAAGTATCCTCGGTTTATGAATGTCACCACAGTAAAATGTTCCCTCTAATATCGTCTTTAATATATCATAATGCTTGATAATTATAACGCTACTTTTTTTTTTTTTTTTTTTTTTTTTTTTACTTAGAAAAATCTTGAGTCTTTTAAATACCTTCCCTCCCTTTCACGTGCTGTGGTCTTTTAAAAACCAATATGCATTCGAGAAACTTCAAGGGAATACAGAAGATTTAATAAAGCGTACACGCTTCTATAGCTATCTAAAGTATCTTTTGTATGACTTAAAAAGAGTCTATCAGAGATAATCATGACTATATCGCAATGCTACTTGATGTTGCATCCATCATGGCGAACAATGCAACACGTTTACCCTTTTTTTTTTTGTGGAGGAAAAGCCCACCAAATACAATATTCTGTCAATAATGAGAAAGTATTTATCTTTATTAAATTGATTGCTGATAAACTCTTGTAAACCCCCCCGTATTTTTTTTAGGTGCTCTTTTGGTTTTGAACATTTCGATCGTATCATGTCATTGTCAGGTAGTTTGGACTATTTAATTGATCACACAGACAAGTATTACCTTCTTCAACTCTGTTGTGTATGGTTTGCTTAGAACATTTTTTAATGTTGCAAAAAAATAAATAAAAATATGCCGTGTTACCTCCTTCTTGATTTTGCAGTGAGGCGTCACTTGTTTCCTTAATTGATATCTTACAGAAACATGATGATTGTCACTCACAGGACCAATAAGTATGCAGGGTCAAGTGGAGATGATAAGAACTGGCATCAAGTTGTTGATAATTACAGAGAAAAAAAAAATACACTGAAATTTGCGTAGATACCTTTTCAATTCTGTCAATCGCTAGCAACGAAGAATTACATCAAGATTTATGCCAAGAATCAATGAAAATGTATTCGATAGATTTAGACAAACACACTTTTTTGTTGTTGTAACTTTCCCACGAAAAGGGTATAGATAAAATATAAAAAGTGTTATCTAAATCATGTCATATAAAAATTGGCTTAAAAGTAAAATGAAACCCATTTGATTTTCAAGTTTTTTTTTTTTTTAAGAAAAAAAAAAAAATTAAATTACCATAAAATGAACTTTTTGGACTAGTGTGGCACATGCGAGGCTCGTACAAAAAAAAAAGTTCTTTGTCCGATGGGGGTCACTTCTTGACGTTCTATAATCATTTATTAACAAAATTGGACACTTTGATTTCCCTAAAAGTGAAGAAGTGATTGTTACTTTAAAAGGCATAATATAATATTTATGGAAATTTGTCAATCATGTCACCCGTTTTTGCTTTTTTTGTGTAGAAAAAAAAAAGAAATCACAGAAAAGAAGAGATGAAAATATAGCTTTTTAATGCATTTTTCTTTGTATCACAAAAATTGTGAATTAAGGCAATTTTGTTTTTTGTATCTTACCTGGTAACTTGATATTCGCTTTGTAGTTACACATGTATTTCATGAGAGATTTTTTTATATATCGGCACCTTCAATACAAATGGAAATATGGAATATAAATTCCCAAGAAAGTGCTTATTTTACTTATTCTACTATGGGTATTATAATATAAATACAGTTATTGGGAGATACATCCAAAAAGGTGAAAAAAAAAAGAATTGAAAAAACCCCTATCAATTGGTTATCTAGAATAAGTCTCCATTAAAAGAAGGCTATCTTGTGTATTCTTTTAAAATATTCTCGCCCAGCCAAAGAGAACTTTTATGTTCATTAAAAGAATCTGTTGTAGCACTGTTACATTAAGCCGAGTCTTTGTCATCTGATAGCCTGAGGGAGTATATTTTTTATATATAAGTCAACTTCATTTTTGAATCCTTTTTTTTTTTTTTATCATCCCTTACATAATAATTTTTTTCTTTTTTTTTTCCTATTATTAAACTAATTGGTATTTGACATACTCTTGTAGTTTATATTTTTTAAAAAAATGGAAACAAAAAGCGTAAATTCCTTCCGAAATGAGAAGGAAGAAATTGTAGACGGCTCAAAAAAAGAAGCTCTCTATAATGATAATGAAGCCTATGTCGAAAATAAGCCTGAAATAGATGAGGAAGAAGATTCCCCTATTGAAGAAGTTCGTTCTGTTGTGCCAAAGTAATTTAATAATAACAAAAAAAAAAAAAAAAGAATTTGTTTGTCTAAAGATGCCTCTTCTCCCCCCCCCCTTTTTTTTAGCACCGATGACCCTACCTTGCCAGTATACACCTTCCGTATGTGGTTCCTTGGTATTGTCTTCAGTTGTGCTCTTGCCTTTATCAATCAATTTTTCTGGTACAGACGTAACGCAATGACTTTAACTCCTCTTGTGGTCCAACTTGTTTCATTCCCTATTGGTAAATTCATGGAAAAAGTGATTCCCAAATCCCGTTTTTTCAATCCTGGACCTTTCAATATGAAGGAGCACGTTTTAATTACTGCTATGGCCAATTGTTGTTATTCCACTGCCTACGCTATCGATATTATCACTATTCAAAACTTGTGGTATAACCAAGATATGGGATGGGGTGGCGGTCTCCTCCTTATCTGGACTACTCAATTGATTGGTTTTGGTATGGCTGGTGTTCTCCGTCCTTACCTTGTCTATCCTTCCTCCATGATCTGGCCTACCAACTTGGCCAATATCTCTCTTTTCCGTTCTTTCCATGTACCCGATAGAGATTGGACTGGCATGAGTCGTTACAAATACTTTATGATTTGTTTCGTTGGTATGTTTATCTACTATTGGATTCCCGGTTATTTCTTCCAGATCTTGACCTTCTTCTCTTGGGCCTGTTGGCTTAAGCCTAGTAACCGTATCTTGTCTCAATTGACAAGTGGTTACAACGGTCTTGGTATGTTTGCAGTCACCTTTGATTGGTCTACCATCGTATCTTTCTTGGGTTCTCCTTTTATTGTTCCTGTAAGTAAACTAGTATTGAAATATATGTGGAATAGGATACTAAATTTTTTTTATTTGTCTGTCATTTAGTGGTGGGCTATTGCTAATGTTGCTGTTGGTGTTGGTATTGTTTCTTGGATTATTGTTCCTGGTAAAACTAAAAAAAATAAAAGAAATGAGACTGAATTGACGACTAACACTTGTTATATATTTTAGCACTTTACTATTCTGATACCTGGAAGAGTAAGACTTTCCCTATCGTTACATCTGAACTTTTCACAAAGGACGGTGAAGTTTGGGATAATAGCATTGTTTTAAACGCCGACAACACGTTGAACGAGGAAGCCTATGCTGAATACGGTCCTCTCTATATGACCAGTTTGTTTGCCTTCACATATGGTGTGTTGTTTGCTGGTGTTACTAGTATTATCAGTCATACCTTCTTATTCCATCGTCATGAAATTATGGAACGTTTCAGAACCTCTCGTCATACCAACTACGATATCCATCACAAGTTAATGCGTGCCTATCCTGAAGTTCCTACCTGGTGGTATATTTCCATCTTTGTTGTATCTTTCGGTGCCTCCTTCGGTGTTATTTATGGTTGGGATGAGATTAAGCTCCCTTGGTGGGGTCTTATCTTGGCTATTGTTATTCCTATCCTCTTTGTTTTGCCCGTCGGTATTATCCAAGCCGTAACAAATCAACAACCTGGTTTGAACATTATTACTGAATTGATCATTGGTTATGCTTTACCTGGTCACCCCATTGCCAACGTTACTTTCAAGACCTACGGTTATATCTCGATGGTACAATGTCTTACCTTTGTGAGTGATTTGAAATTGGGTCACTATACCAAAGTCCCACCCAAGGCTATGTTCTGGACCCAAACGGTCGGTACTGTTATTGCCGGTATTATCAATTTGGCCACAGCCAGATGGTTAATGGGATCCATTGAGAACATGTGTACACCCGCTGGTTATCCTTTTACCTGCCCCAGTGCTAACACCTTCTACTCTGCCTCTATTATTTGGGGTACGATTGGACCTGGTAAAATGTTTGGTGGTGTCTCTCCTTATGCTTCCATGAACTGGTTCTTCTTGATTGGTTTTGTTGCACCTATTCCCTTCTATTTGCTCTCAAAGAAGTACCCCAACAGTTTCTGGAAGTACGTACACATGCCTTTGATCTTCAACGCCACGGGTATGATGCCTCCTGCCGTGCCCATGAATTTCTCTGTGTGGTGTGCTGCTGGTTTTGTGTCGATGTACTGGTTACGTAAGTACCGTCATGACTGGTGGGTCAGATACAATTACCTTACATCTGCTGCCTTTGATGCGGGTTGTGCTATTTCTGCCTTGGTCATCTTTGGTGTTGTTCAAGGTAGTGGTTACACTCCTGACTGGTGGGGTAACGGTGGTCAAGGAGAAAATGGAACCTTTGACAGTAAGTTTTTTTTTTTTTTTTTTTTTTTTTTTTTTTTTTTTTTTTTTTTTTTTTTTTAAAAAAAATGTGTTGTTATTTACCATAAACTAATGATTCTTTTTATAGATTGTCCTCTTGCACCAACAAACAGCTCTGGTGTCTGTCTTATTTGTTAAATCAAACACATTATTTTTTTTAAATATTCTTTTTTTTTAATTTATTTATTATTCTTTACTTAATTCATCCCTCCTTCCCCCCCTTTTTTTTACTCGTTCATATTCTTGGCAATGTAAAATAAAATTTACGTACCTTTTATCTGTATGTTATTTCAAACATTTTCTAGACCCCTTTTTTTTTTGGTAGTTTATAAGTGTCTCTTATTTTAAATGTACACAAATGCAAAATTTAACATTTTAGTGTATGAGAGAAATCTTGAAATTCCCATTTATAATTTTTGTATTACATTCCATGTGCTACGACAAAACTGAGAAGTGAGACTGACGACGGAGACCCTGTTTCTACCACCCTCAACTACTTTTATTTTCCATTTTATAGTTGCTGTTTACAATAGCCAGTAAAAAAATCATATTGTATATGAAAGTGTACACATCATTCTTTCAAAAAAATATGTATCCGACAGTCTGATGCGCTTTCTTTTGAACTCACGTGTTCTTTTAAAATTTATTTGACAACGTCTTAAGACATGAAAAGTCTGGATGTTATACAACATCCCTGTAAAGTATTTGAGCTCCAATGTATAAAACTACTACAGACTTTATTTATTAGCTGTGGGGAAGAACTCAAATATTAATGGATGGTTTCAGACTTTTTTTGGGGAAAGGCTATCCCACATCATGAAAACATGTATATACCACTACATTAAAAAAGATGGAAGAAGAAAATGTCGATGAGTAATTTTGCACAGGTAAAATAATGAACGATTCAGATTGTTGTAATATAAATTCACATTTTTAATTTGGATGTGTTCCAATCCTGCGATATTAACCCGGCTTTAGAAATATGACTGTATTCCAAGTTTCAAGCAAATCAACTTACGTCCAAGTAGATTTCAAAGACCTCAAACGGAACCAAAATCATCCATATCGTTAAAATATGTCGATAGTTTGGTAAGTCGATACATTAAATTCAAAACTTTTTTATAATTTAGACAATTTATTCTCTCTCTCCCAGTGTCGAAATTAATGCATAAAATCACGGCCAATGATATCACATGTATTGTTACACAGGCACGAATTCCCATCTATTTCATTATTTTTTTTATTCTGCAAAAGTCAGCCAACCATTGATTTTACAAAGTGTATCCATCTTTTTCATTCATCATTCAATAATAAAATGCAACAATTGATACCAGCAATTGATCGATAAAGTATATTGATAGCTGTTGAAGGAAATTATTTTAACAAATTTTTGATCTATGACTGAGATGTAGCGAGTAAATAGATCTAGTTTTGATCTCAACAAGGGTTATATTTTCCAGCAAGAACGCGTTTTTAGTGTTGACCTACTATAAAAAAGAGTTGTGATGAAGACTTTAAGGGTAAAAAACTAGCACCTATGATGAAATAAGGTACATTAAATAGAGAAAAACAAATTACAACATCTTATCACAGTCATAATGAAAGGAAAGAAGAAGAAAGAAGAGTCTCAAATGGGGGGGGGGGTTTGCCGAATACTTATATGAAGGCTGTTCCTGAATGAGATTTCACATTAACCATAAGGGATCATGGGAAAAACCTGCATTGATGCTGCATGTGAAAATGGGGGGTGGAATCTGGTGAAGATTGGCCCACCCCGGAATAAAAAGTAGATGTCACTCCGCTCACAATTAACTATTTTGTCAGCATATTTGTTTCCCCCCCCTTTTTTTTTCCTCTTTCTGTTTTGGAATAACATTTTATAACTACAATGTCTAATCCTTTGCGTATTTTTGTACCTGTTAAGCGTGTTGTTGATTACGGTAAGTCTTCATGCAAGAACAATAGACTTGAGTTCTTATTCAGGTTGGTGTTGTTTTTTTAGCTGTCAAGGTTCGTGTCAATGCCGCAAAGACCGATGTTGATCGTAATGTAAAGCACAGTATGAACCCTTTTGATGAAATTGCTGTTGAGGAGGCTGTTCGTATTAAGGAAAAGGCACCCAAGACAGAAATTGTTGCTATTTCAGTTGGTACAACCAAGTCTCAAGAGACTTTAAGAACTGCTTTGGCTATGGGTGCTGACCGTGCTGTTTTTGTTGAAGTGAAGGATGATAGCACCCTTCAACCTTTGGCTGTTGCCAAGTTGCTCAAGGCATATGCTGACAAGGAGGCTGATAAGCCTGATCTTTTCATTTTGGGTAAACAAGCTATTGATGATGATGCTAACCAAACTGGACAAATGCTTGCTGGTTTATTAAAGTGGCCTCAAGTAAGCCTTTTATTTTTTTTTTCCCACGGGAGTAAAATATTAACCTTAATTCATCATTAGACCACTTTCGCCTCCAAGGTTGAGATCAATGGTCAAGTACTCAAGGTTATCCGTGAAATTGATGGTGGTCTTGAAACTATTTCTACCAAGTTACCTGCTATTATCACCACTGATTTACGGTAAGATATCTATTTTTAAGCATCATTAAAAAAAGTGAAAGGGATGCTAATTTTTTTTTCGGAAAGTCTTAACGAACCTCGTTATGCTTCTCTTCCCAACATTATGAAGGCCAAGAAGAAGCCTTTGATCAAGTTGACACCTGAGGATCTCGGTGTTGATATTACGCCTCGTATCCAAACATTGAAGGTTGAGGAACCCGCTAAGCGTGTTGGTGGACGTAAGGTTGAGAGTGTTGATGAATTGATTGACAAGTTGCGCAACGAAGCCAAGGTCTTGTAAGAAGTATATATATATAAAAAAAAAGACTACAATAGAGACACCCTTTCCCTCCTGTATTACTATAGTGTTTATCCACTTAATTTTTTTTCTTTTCTTTTTTTGGGGTGCTGATTTAGTGAATAAATGAATTGCCCATTTACGGAAAGTGTAAGGTCGTATTTTACTGTTTATTAGCATCCAATTGGCTCTCACTCAAAAAGTCTGTACATATCACGCTCGATGATTTGGAGATCTTTAATGCGGCTTGCATAAATTTCCATTATACAGTGAGAATCCTATGCAGTGTGAATCCTGGAATAGCTAAACCAAAAGAAAAATTAAGAGCGTGCCTGTTCCTTTGAAAGACCTCGGAAGTGTTGAACTTTGATGGGATAGGGAATATGTACAGCGAGAAAAACAGTTTTTTTTTTCTTTCTCATCAGACGCGCGACAGATAGCGAAACATCATTTTAAAAAATCGCTATTTCGTATTAAATTTGGCCGTATTTTCTTTTTTTACACTCAATCGATTCATGTTGATCCGTTGTGCTATTGCATGAATTAGTTAAATGTGTGCGGAAAAGAGCTTGTTAGGTGTTTAGATTAGTGTAAATCGCTGTGATATCAGAAAAAATAGTACTGGAAAGTAATGGGGTAAAAGAATATCAAGTTTCGTTGCCCTGGATCAACCTGCCTGGAACACTCTTATTGTTCTGTATTAAATACAAAAACCTGGTAAGATAGCGCGTAATGGTAGCTGTCAAAGGATGTGTAATGTTTTTTTTTATGTTTAATTGCCGGTGGTAGAACATACAATTATGTCTGATCGTTTATTCTTCCCTAGGACATGGTTAAATGTATCTTTTCTAGAAAAAGAGATAGATCGTCCATTTGGGGCCGGTCTTACGTAGTAGAAACTGTTAGTTCATCTTATCACCTTTTTTTTCCCTGCAAAGATATATACTTTTGTGTGATACTACTCGTGCTGTTTAATTGAAGTTGAATTTTATATCTGACATCTAAATCCACGACTATGATGACTTCAAAACTTGTCGGCTCTCTCATATGTCAAACTGAGATCAGATTTCATAATCGTTCCTAAATTGGTCGAGTAAATCCAATTCTACCTTTTCCCAGTTTTTCGGGTAAAACATTTCATTCGATCTGCGCAGAAAAAAAAATCTTGAAGTCTTAATTCAAGATAGAACAGACCTCTATTTTTATCATGACACACTCCAACTTACAGTAAAAAATTATAAAGCCTTACTTGTTTACTTTCTTTGTTTTATATTCTAATTTCTTCAATTATCACAGTAAACACCCATCCTTCATAGCACCGTATCTAGTAGTTGAACAATGTTATACAGGGCATATTCGTACTTGCTTGGTAGAAATTCGATGACATAGTTACTAACTAGGAGGAGGTCAACCTTTTGCTTTTCGCTTCAAGATAACTACAATCATCAATGAAATATTCCAAGAAATAAACGGTTAGACTAAAGGTAGAGATCTTTTTATTAGAAGAAAAAGGGGATTCTATTTATAAGGAAGCTTTGAAAAAGATTGTGATCCAGGAAGAGGGAGCGTGGATTAGAAGTAGACATTAATATATTGATCAGTTAATGGCTTATGTTCCAGTGCTGGGTTGCTATAAAATGCCAAATATATTATAGGCCGCATAGATAGTGTGTCTATATCAAGCTCTCACCCGAAGACGGTATTGAGAATGAAGCTTTCATGGTAGCAAATCCCAATTCCCAACAACATTAAAGAGTCCCATCTTCCCGAAAGAATGGAAGTATTCCTTTGCAAACCCAAAGAGGACCAATCAAATGTTTTACACACGAAATTATTGTTGTAATGGCGGTAGTAGTATTTAATTAAAGATGAACAGCCGTCTCGCTAAGCACCAAATTCCGTACACCAAAGCTATAGAGGGGATATTAGTACTTGCATTTGAGAAAATTGATAATTTAATTACCTTTAAAGTGATTCAACACTAACGAGGAGGAGGTCAACATTTCACTTTTTGATTGAAGATAACTGGAATCATCAAACAAAAAGGTCTCACCCGAAGACGGTATTGGGAATTATGAAAATCTGAAGTTTTCATGATAGCAATTCTCAATAGCACTAAAGAGTTCCGTCTTCCCAAAAGAATACAAGTATTCCTTCGCGAACCTAAAGAGGAACAAGCAAGTGGTTTACTCTCTTAATTATTGTTGTAATGGCGGTAGTGGTATTTATTTGAAGATGAACAGCCGTCTCGTGAAGCACCAAATTCAGTGAACCAAAGCTACAGAGGGGATATGAGTACTTGCGTTCAGAGAACATTGGTGATGCAACTACCATTCCATTTATCCATTATTAATTAAAGAAAGCGTAATATTCTTGCTTTAAAAATAATTTTGTTGCAGTTAATTTGTGAGGTATACAAATCACCTTTTTTGCTAGCTGCATTTCTTTTTTCTTTTGGAAGGAGGAACACGTCATTGAAGGCTTCTCTCGTCATCTCTTTCTTAACTCAAGAAAAGGCCTTTTTTTTTGAAATCACATGTAGTGGTAATTGGCGTGTAATTCACTTTGTTTTCTATGGTTACTAATGTTTCTTTAGTAAGCGAAGGTATTCATAAAACCACGCATCAAACTGACTTTATAATTTCGATTTTGTAAGCATAAATTTACAAACTTATATTGCCAAACTAATCCTTCAAGTTTCTATTGTCTATACATCGCTTAATCGATGCATTTTATTATCTAAATTGTCACTAAAATGTCATCACCATCACTAAATTTATCGTTCAATACGAAGAAGTCATCAAATTTAACGTCTCCCGCAAGCTTTTTAAGTAAGTTTGATTTCGAGGAGCTCAGCCTCGTCCATTCCATTTATTATGAATACTCTTTATTTTTCCTCTTCTTAAATCTTCAGTTAACTTTAACATCAATAAAATCTGACAAGAATTCTAATTGATCCTATTGTTTTTTTATATTTTTTTTCTGCAAAACTATCCTACTTTTGCTACATTCAACTTAAATAAACCGTCTATTTTCTTAGTACGATGTCAGTGACAAGACTTACTATAACAACAACGGATCCGCCAATTACGTTGTCACAACACCTCCTGCCACCACTACCACTTCTTCCTCTCCCACCTCCACTGCCACTGAAACATCCCCCACATCCACATCCACCGCTTTTCCCTCGGGTAACTCTACCATCTCCATATGGATTAAAACTCAAGAGAGTATCAGTGGCTCTGCCATGATCCGTAACATCAACCCAGCGGGAGCCGCCAAGGGTTTTATCGCTGCCTCGTTGTTTACTTCGGTCCCAGACTATTATTACTCTTGGACTCGTGATTCGGCTTTGGTCTCCTATGTTATGGCGAATGATTATAATACCACGCTCAAGGAAGACGCTACCACTGTGGGTCTCTTGAAGGATTATGTGATGTACTCTATTAATGCACAATCGACAAGTACTGCTTGTAATTGTTTAGGAAAGCTCAAGTTTAATGCAGATGGATCCAGTTTTACTGGAGCCTGGGGAAGGTAATAACATTTGAATTGAACAACGCATTTAAATTGAACAACGCATTTAAATTGAACAACGTGAAAGAAAATGATTAATGTTGTAAATTTTTGGTTTAAAAAAAAATAGACCTCGAAATGATGGTCCTGCTGAACGTGCTTCGTCGTTTATTTTAATTGCAGATAGTATTCTTAAACAATCCGGTGATGATACCTATGTTACTGGCACACTTAAACCTGGTAAGGGCTGCATCGAAAAAAAAACCCCCACTCATATTAATGTACATATTGACATTTTTTTTTATAGCAATTTTCAAGGATTTGGATTATGTAGTGAGTACTTGGTCCGACGGATGTTTCGATCTCTGGTAATGAACCCAAACAAAACCAACCCTCCCAAAAAAAACCAGAAAAAATCTAACACAACCTGTCTATTATTAAAAAAAAACTAGGGAGGAAGCCAACGGTGTTCACTTTTACACACTCATGGTTATGCGCAAAGGTTTGATCCACGGTGCAAATTTCGCTACACGTAACGTTGACACCACACGTGCCTCCACCTACACTACTACCGCCAACACTCTCAAAACCAAAATCGATACCTTTTGGTCCGGTACCTACATTACCGTCATCCAAAGTCTCACAGGGGGTGTTCAAAAAGCTGGTTACGATGTCTCTACCTTGATTGCTGCTAATTCGGGTTCCCTCGCAGACGGTTTCTATACACCCGGATCCGATAAAATTTTGGCCACCGCTGTCGTTGTTGAAAGCAAGTTTAGTTCTCTCTATGAGATCAATGTCAATACCCCTTCTTATTTGGGTTCAGCCATCGGTCGATACCCCGAGGATACGTACAATGGGAATGGGAATGGGCAAGGTAACCCTTGGTATTTGGCAACCAGTGCCTATGCAGAACTTTATTATCGTGCTATCAAGGAATGGACGCTAGCGGGTCAAGTCAAGGTCTCCTCCATTAGTTTACCCTTCTTTAAGAAATTCGATACGGCTGCTGTGGAAGGGACCGTGTACAGGGTCGGTACAGCTGCTTTTAATGCCATGACACAAAATGTCGTGTTGGGTGCGGATAAGTTGCTTTCTACCGTTAAAAATTATGCATTGACCAATGGGTCGATGTCTGAACAATATGAACGGGGATCTGGAAAGTTCACCGGGGCCAGAGATCTTACTTGGTTGCATGCTGCGCTTATTTCTGCTGCTCGTGCAAAGGCTGGTGCTCCTTCTGCTTAAGATTTATTTAGCTATCCAAATAAAAATAAAAATTCTGTCCTCATAACTATCAAAGACTGTATGTTGGGTGATAATTCGATGTCTTATTATAATTATTTATGCAGAGAAGCCAAATTTGTTTATCAGAGTTGTTGTTTAAAGTAAATCAATGTAACTAAGAGATGGCTTTAATCAGTTGTGTATAATATATGATTTTATTGAAGCAGTGATAGGTTAAATATAAGCGAGTGTCAATGGCTCCATGATATTTACGGTTGAGTAATAAGGTCTATCAATATAGTCTCTAATATTGCGCATACATCCTCTTGATACTTTGATAGATAAATTATTGCTAAACTGCTCATATTCTACCATAAACGTTTTGATATTATAAGTCGACAACTTTCTGGGGTATATATCATAAATTTCACCAGGAGTGTTGCCGTGCAATAGAGCATACTTGTCCGGAACAATACTGGTTAAACTTTCTGATTGAAGAATATATAATCTGATAACTATGTGTTAGAAGTGGGTCTCATTAGAACAAACGAAGAAGAACAATCATGGCAACGAACTTACAGTCTGGGTCATTAATTTGAATTATAAGCCCTTTTGTTGGGACTGGCTTCCCTTTCTGAATAAATACCAAATAACTACCATCATCTGCAATAGTATTTTTGATATCACCATTACTGTTTATTTGGGTGAAAGGGATCGAATTGTCTGTATAAAATGATGAAAACCGTATCCCGTATGTATTACTTGATACTTTGCACAAAGTTCCGGTGACAAACCTATCAAACATGTAAGGCTTTTTTCCAGATAAAGACGTCTCCAGTAATTGGAAAATAGATTCTCTTAATACAAATGTCTTTGTATCTTTTTCTTTAATATATACGCCGTCATCAATCGCTTTTTGCATAATCATGGTGTATGCTATGTGGATCTTTGAACCCTGCCCCAGATTGAACGGATCTCCAAACACAAAAATACAAATCGGTACACAGTTTCCAAATATCTCTTTGTTTGTCAAAGAAGCCGTTATACCTGTTGTTATACCCTCTATCACTGACATAAGGCCTACTTTAATAATATCACGAAGAAATATGCTTATACTGCAGCCACATTTCGTGTTGATATTTAGCTGTATTTTGGAATCCATGTCCACATTTGATTTGTTTCTTTCGAACTACCAAGAAGCAGTTAATACACCGAGACACGATTTATAGGTATATCAACTTACAAGTTCAACAACGCATGGTTTTAAATTCCTATGGACATTGCTATATATCTCAGATGACTGAAAATCATATTGCATATCTTCCCCGTAATTATGCGTGGTACAATAGTCAACTTGACAATCGATTTGTAGGCTCTTCATAATATTCTTACAGAGTGTATCATATACATCATTGATATGTATCATTTCATCCTGAATAATGATGGACGCTGGATCTTCTCCGGGTGATGCCAGTTTGACCACTTGATGCAAACTGAGTTGAATATGCTTCGAAGATATTTGTGCAACAACAAAGTATGATTTCAAATTAAAGTCCAAATGCTGATACTTGTGTTGGATAGCTGGTAGAATTTCTTCGCCACGGGTACAGAATTTTGCTTGTCGAAGGTCGTCGTCCTTCCCAAGTATTCCACTTGCAAAGAATGATTTTTCCAATTTGTTTATTGTACCGAATACATTGTCCGATAGATTTTTATCAATAGAGACACCATACCAAATTTTGTTGTTTCTCCAATTTGATCCTACAGTACTTTCTAATTTTTCCTCTATTTGCTTGTTGAGACAGTGCAGATATATGATCATAAAAAAATACATATAACCTGGATGGCATGTAGTAAATGACTCGCTATCCGCATCCCAAAATTTATCCTTCGACGCAAAAAGATCGTTCATTTCAAGGTTTACTGTAAGCTTTTCCAGTAGGTTTGGGTTTGAGGAATTAAATAATTTTCTGCTTTTCTTTTGGCGAATTTTTTTACTTAATTTTATCCTTCCATCGCTGCTTAAAGTTCTCCTTTTCCGCATGTTTTGGAAAGCCCGGCCAAGTAGTTTGGATACTTGGTTCACTAGTGTTCTTTTTTTCACATTTCTTTTGTAACTTGAGTACAATTGAAGATAGTCACCAAAAATCTTTTCTAAAGCCAACTTCAGTCTAAACGCGCAATTAGAATTGACAATCATAAGTGTTTCTTTAAGTAGCTCTACCTATTTGATATGTGTAGTACTGGTCTTTGATATATTTCCGATTGCGTGATGAAACATTTTAACGGTTGCATATCACTATTATGTAATAAAATAGAACTTAGTTGGATTTTCTTTTAAAAGATATTTTGCCGCCTAACACCTTTACCATTCAATATTTTGCTTCTGTACAACTTGTCTACCTTTATCTAAGTATGTAAAGCCGGTTTGGATTTGTGCAGGCGATAAGTCTGTTTGGTTTCAAAATAGGTCAGGTTAAAAACGAAGCCGATACTACTAAGGAGTCAATTTACCGATATTGATGAAGATAATAGGCTTTAAGCAACTTTTAGGTTCTTCGATTGTTGTTTCGTTGGATAGTATAATTGGGTTTCTACGCACGTTAAATTCTTCCATTCGGTTCAGTAGAAGCCCTTCAATTGCATTTCTTCGGCTACGATAGTCAGAGAGTTGGAATATGGGGGAACCATCACCGAGTTCCGCGGATATGTAAAATTCGTTTAGTTCCCTGAAATACTTTTTCGACCAACAATTAACTGATGAGATTATCCCTAGGGTTAAAAATGTTTCTGGGATTCGACTTGTGTAAAAAATGTCCAATGGTCTGGGTACTCTATTGCTCCTGCCTACAAGAAATTTATCTACTTCATTTCTAAAGAGTTTTTCAACAAAACCTGAAAAATGTCCAAGTATGTCCCCTAAAGTGATTGATTTATTCGTCCAGCGAGATTTCAAGTCTGGCAATGGCTGTTCGTTGAGAACTCTATACATGTTTCTCTGGCAAAAAAAAAAAAAAAATGTTTTTAATTGTTTTCCCAATTTCCTTTTCATTAACTCTTACGTAATCCGCAAATTCATCGTACTTTTGACGAAGTTTTTCAAGCATGTCGTTGACAAATTTTGACGATAACGTAGTATCACAATGCTTTTCTACACATGCTATTAATGACGATTGTAGTTCCTTTAGTCCAAACGGGACTACAAAATGAGCTTGTTTCAACAACTGTGGCACCAATTCTCTATTTGATAATCTGAAAGCAGGGTATTGAGCTGACACCAATTTCAAATCCACGGAGTATGTACCTTGATAGTCTATTGTACACATAACGCGCTGATCACTATACTTTATGTCTCTAGCATTATGTTGGTATGTTTCCATCTGCATGTTTTGAAAGCTTAACTCTAACATTGAACAAAACACCAGCCTGCCCGGACCATCATTTTCATGGAGAAGACCAGCTTTTACGAACAGAGGCAGGAACAATTCTTCTTTTATTTCATAATCCCAACTGGTTGGAAGATTCAAAGAATAACAACATTTCATATTTTCACGACCCAACCCTTCTTTATAATCATCCACTATTTTTTGTAACAGGTCCAAAGCTTCCTCGTACAAGAGCGCGTACAGTGCCGGATTGCTGAAGGGTTGTTGTTTGGATTTTAAATAAATGTCAGCGAGCTCGCTTAGGGTGTTGCGTACATAAATAACGCCTTTTTGGAGACTTTTTCGTTTCTCATTCAATTCATCAGCCAATGCACCTCTGGCAATGATATTTCTCGTGGTATTGTCATATAAAATTGAGGCACGGTATTGGTTTTCTAAACTTTTTTTAAAAGGAATCACTGTTAAAAAAAAATACTTGAATAAATTCTGATGTTTTGATGTCGACTAACCTTTCAACAATCTTGTCAGGTCTATTAATGGCTACCGCTCCAGAGGTAAGGATGTCATAGCCAAAATCTATACGAAGTAAGCAACACCGTAATTTAAAAAAATTAAGTCGCTTACCGATAAAAATACAATATCTATGCCGAGAATAGTCATAGAGTTCTTCCATCTTCTTTTTTCCACAACGATGTTAAAAGCGGCGAAAGCACAAACACAAAGAGGCTTACGAGAACACAGTGTTTACTTGACCAATTTTGTTGTGGTACAACAACCTTGTATGACCATGAAGGTAATGATGGGGTAAAGTATGCATTCAAACTTTCTATCTAACACGTACCAAGATTGAAGCGGAGTGTTCCTTTTTTCTAGACTACTCTTCTGTCGCAAAATCTCTAGTGTCTGGGAAAAGAGACCTTCGCTATCCTTCCCCCTTTAAGCATATGGAAACAAATAAAAAAGACATCGTTTACATCATATTTTGTATATGTATATTGCCCACTTTATTTAACGCAAATCAACACCAACTTCCCAAATATTGTTGTATCTACTTGAATTAGGATATCTGTTTCCTCAAAACTTCGACTATATCATGTCTAATACAATACTTTTTTTTTTCCTTTTGCTATAAATCCGCATCCCGTTTTTAAAAATGCTGATTTGGTTCAATACAGTATCTACAGCGTATTTCCTGCTTCCATATACACTTATAATTAAAGATACACTGAGCCGTCTAATGATGTTCATTCGAGAGATATCTATGAAATGTGAAAACTCAAGCGGAAGCGAGAAATTGTCAAATTCTTGGTTGATGTTGCTTTTAACATTTCCAAGGTTTCCTTTGCAATAACAGATGTCTCATCCTATGTCGTCTCCGCTTCCATATCTATGTCTTTCATTTCAAGAAAACACACCTGTACAAACACAGGAAGAATAGTATCTCATCCCTTGGGTAATTCACTATAAACACTCCAGGATACGCATTTCTACCGATCGCTAAAATGCCATCAGATATCATTTCGGTTTTCTTTTTGTCGATAAATTTGTTCGTTACCCATTTACCCTTGTGCTCATTGGATCTTAACTCAGAGAAGAAAGATTAGCAGAACTTCCAAACGAGTAGTTAAAATTGGGTAGGAGTAAGTTTAGGCAGGATCAGCATATACATAACAATGGTTTTGCGCAAGACATAATAGGCGATAAAATTTTAACAGCCTTTTACAGTTAACTAAGACACCTCGGCTGACCTTAAGAGGCCCGTTTATCTTATTGTTAGAATGATAACTATGTTGTTAATAATTTAATTATAAGGGAATTTTATAGTTCATTGAAGTAATCATACGGTTTAAAATCTTGATTAGCGTAGTCAACATCATGGCCTATTAATCGAGCACAGAATCCGAGAGAATAGCTATAGTTGATGCGTTAACATTCTACAATTATTTTTACGCTTTCCAAGGGTCTTTCAAAGATTATCTTTAACGGGTGATTCGTTCCTTCCAAATCTGAATCTAGCAGAGTATACTTTTTCGGTACGGAATTGCTTAAATGATGTAATTTAGAAAAGTCCAAAAGGGTGTAGACATGGGAACTTCGGCTATATTCGTAGTTCCGGGGGACTTTCACTATGCATCCTTTTTGTTGAGATCGGCTTCTCTTTTCAAATAAATACAGAGTAGCTACCATCGATCTCGATAGTATTTTTGATATTGTCATTGTTATCTATATGAAAGAAAGGGAGAAACACAGACCCACCAAAACCAAGTTGCAGCGCATATGTTTCCCCTGATACTTGGCACAACGTTCCAGTCACAAACCTCTCATACATATAATGGTCTGATACGTGTAACTGGCTCCAACAACTGTATAAATGGTTATCCTAGTACAAATGACAACTTATCTTTTTCTTTGAGTTTCACACAATCGTTAATGGCTTTTTTCATTATCATAGTATATACTACGTAAACAATTGAGTTGCAAGATATGCCAAATGCATTTCCTAACACAAATAGATAATCTATTTCGTAATTTCCAAATATTTTTTTGTTTGTCAAAGAAGCCGCTATGATTGTTGCAATATCTTCTGTAACTGATTTGAGGTTTAATTCAATAATGTCACGAAGAAAAGTATCGATATTACAATCGAATTTGTCGTTGATATTTAGCTTCTTCTTACAATCCAATCCAAGCTTTCTTCGCTCATCTTCAACTACAAATGAACCTTTAAGTAAAAGTAATAGTGTAGGCCCATTTAACTTACAATCTCAGAAACGTATAACTTTAGATTTTGACGTAAACTGATACATGTTTGGAGCGAATCGAAAGTATCATGTGCATTATGTATGAGGCAATGATTGATTTCACGGTCGATTGGTGTGTTCGCCAAAATTTTCTAACATAAACTATCACATACATCATCTATGTAAATTATTTCATCTTGAATAACGATGGTGTCTATCAATATTTTCAACCACTTCTTTAAATCTGATAAATTATAAAGAAAAGTCTAAAAGTGTACTTTTTATTTAATTAAGACACACATTCTTTTGTAGTTCCGAACATGTTAGTTATGTGGGTGCCTTCCAGGTGAATATATTGGAATGTTTCTTGCTTCGTATTAATCATTGTATTACGGTTGTTTTCAACATGAAAGTAAATCGGTTCTTCTTTTCCTCTTTGTGTAGTAGAATCTCTTTCTAACTTTGTTTCCAATGATCTATCAACAGAATTTTGATTTTTGGCGCCAATATTTTTCAAAGATATCAACAGGTCGCTATCTATACTACGATGTAATTTTTGTTGAATCACAACATATTGTCTATTCTTTTTTTTAGTTGACATGTCACAGTACTCAAAATTATTTTCTATTTCTTTGCTATTGTGGTGCATATTGTTTTGTGATTTAGTCAGGTCCTCATCAACATTTTGTCTAGATTGCAGCATAGCAAGACCATTCCGGGCTTCACTGTTTCCTTGTTCGGCCGATTGCTTTAGTAGCTTTAGGCCTTCATCTTGGTCTTTAAAACCACCATAACCATGTAGGTAACACTGTGCAAGATTGTACTGAGCATATTGGTTTCCATTATTTTCTATGCATTTCTTATACCAAAATATGGCTTGGTTCCAATCTTGTGATGTGCCACATGCTTGAGCAAACATTCTTCCTAACGCAAATTGAGAGTCGGGAAAACCTTGTTTAGCAGCTTGTTCAAAACACTGGAAGGCAAATTTGTCGTTTTTTTGAACACCCAAGCCTGCTTTATACATGCATCCCATTTGAAATTGAGCTTTGGAATCTTTAAGACATATCGCCTTTTGTAACCAATATATTGCTTTATCATAATCACAAAGTACTGAACCCTGTAGAGACAGCAAACAGCCTAATGCAACTTGAGAGGGTACATGATTTTGATTAGCCAGACTTGTCAGCCATTCAATACATTGCTTTTCCTGCTTTGGAACACATTGTCCTTTATAATACATCAGACTTAGTTCAAGTTTTCCTGATTGGCAGCCATTTTCCACGGACTTTTCAAACCACCATGAAGCTAGATCATGAGCAACAGGAACGCCAAGACCATTAAGATGAATTAATCCAATGTAGTACTGCGCTTCAAAACACTTTTTGAAATGTTTTCCGTGTTTGTGAGTATTTATATCAGCAGCTAAAAGTAGCCAATCCATTGATTTTTTATAGTCGCGGAGAAAATGCTGCTCTTGATAGAAAATACCCAAGCGTAACTGTGCTACCAATAATCCTCTCTCAGCTGCATTTGTGAGCCACTTACAGGCCATTTTGTATTGCATTAGAGTAGAGCTTCCAGCCAAATGACTTAAACCGACTTCATACATGGCCTTTTTTGAGCCATTAGCGGCAGCTTCTGCAAACCATTGAAGAGCCAAATTACTATCGATGGGAGTGTCCAGTCCTAGTAAATAAATAGTTGCGATACCCTTCTGTGCCTTGGAGCAGCAATCTTTGAGTTTCTGATCGTATAGGGTGACATCAGTAGCCTTTAAAAACCATTTCATTGCTTCTTTGTAATCTCTTTAAACACCTGATTCTCCATCATAATAAATTTGCCCTATATAAAATTTGGCTGTTTCTTCTCCATTTCCCAGGGCCTTTTTAAACCAATATAAGGCTTCTTTATGGTCCGGGATAGTCCCATACCCTTTCATATACATATATCCTAGTCTATGCTGAGAAAATGGGTGATCATACTGCACAGCGGTTTTCAAAAAATACGGGAAGGATAAGTCGTAGTTTTTAGTGTCCCAAAAGGTTAATCCCGTTTTCAGTAGCTCTTTACCATAGTCGTCTATTAAAATTTTAAAATGTACATTTATTAGGCTTAAATGTCGGTCGATATCATTGGGCTAAAATACTAACTCATAAGATTTGACATTAGACAATAAATCAGAAGTGTCTGAAAGAACAGTTATTGGGAGAAAAATAAATAAATAAAAAAGAAACACAACTCAGCATAAATGATAGACATCGGCTTTATAGATCAGTGTATGCATGACACAAAGGGGTTGTTGTTATCCCATTATTTGCAAATCAGAACTTTAAAAGTTTGTAAACAAAAGAGTTATAAATGTTTCTTTTCCTTTTTTCTTCTTTAAAATTCTTGTCCACTCAATAAATGTTTGGTAGAAACTTATGGGACATCATAAATTTAGACTATTGCTACTTTGTTCAACATAATAAAATGATAGTATTTTGTACATACTCAAATAACCTTTGATCCCTGCACAATTACCGAACAAGAGGTAAATGCAAACAACCTCATAAACAAAACAAACGTTATACAACACAAACATAAACATTGTGGGATTTAACTCTTCTAGTGAAAAGTCAGCACAGCAGGCAGATATACATCAAGTTTTTTTAATTACACTGCTCAGTTCATAACAAGCTCTAATTCTATGGATTTAGAACCTATGATTAGATAGTTTTTTAATTGTTATTATCCGTAAATAGGCTAAACGTACGCTATGTTTATTGGGTGATATGCGGACAAGAAATTTTTGAAATGTTAGTGAGACTCAAAATGCACATGGCATAGTGTAGACAGTCAGTTAACGTCTATCATATGTTTAAGCCTTGCCTCATCTATACATTCTGAATCATGTTCTGAGATTGTTGTCTAGTCTATTGCTTCAGCTGATACATTTCTGTACATTTATGCGATTTGAATATAATTTAGAGTACTAGCCCATCAAGTATTGTAATGACCAAATTCTTTTCGCACTTTTAGTAAGATAAATAGAAACTGTTTCTTGGAAAACCGAAGATAAAAACAAAATCTCTCGGGAATGGGTCACCCAAAAGACCTTACCGAATATAAAAAAAACTAGAATCAAGTCAACAATAATCCAGACATTTTGAACTATAATCAAATCATTTAAAAATTACCGCATCAAAATCCCTTTCCACGTGTCAGAAAAATTTATCTTGTGAATCAGAAAGTTTGTTTATTGTAAAAGGACTCATAGACATCGTTATCTTGTTAAATTATATGACCACATAGTTCTTCAATCCTCGCCAAAATTACAAATTATATATATTTCTTTTTAAATGTTTGGTCTTTTGAGCTTAAAGGCATGCATAACTACGAAATATTAAGCTCTGCCTAAAACATTACGTGTTAAGACGCTCACCATTTTTATAGGCTTCAGCAAATGTCAGGCCCAAAGAGGCAGGGCCGAAATAGAATAACTAAATGGACATCCTTTTTGACAAAATTTTACTAACTCCTAGTCTTTATAAATGTCTAGCATGGCTTATATGCCTTGTATTTTATGCGAACGTAGATACGTTTTAAGAATTATAACATAATTATTTGTGCGCCTTGTACAGCGTATTGGCACTCTATCAACCTGTATTTCCAGTTTCATGTTTGTTTTATTGATGAAGCAATTTTTTCAATGTTGATATATATAATATAAAGAGATAAATCCTGATTTATTGTCTGAGAGCACGTCAAAAACGTCTAAGTCGATATTTGATTTTTTCGAAGAATCCACGTCTCAAGTGTGGATAACTGAGCTTCATATAATCTTCTACTTCCGATGAAGTCATTGGTTTCATGGGAAGACCAACTGTTTCATCAAACAGGGATGCAATGGGCACATCTATTATCTCCTCCGTAATTACTGGTTCAATTATAGAACCATTATGTTCAATTTTTTCCAAAAAAGAAATAAAAGAACTTATATATTCGTTGTTGTTGCTGTTTGTTAGAAACGGCGTAACATAGCCTTCCTTAATTTCCAACGCTTTTTCATACCAGTAAGTGGATTTCACACGGTCACTTAGAGCAGTAGATGTTTTATAAAGCTCGCTTAATACAAACTGTGCCCTAATATATCCTCGTTCAGCAGATTGCGTTAGCCAGTGGCAGGCCAATTGTTCTTGCTTTTCAAGTTCTTCTCCATCCAAGTAAATCAAACCTACTGTACACATGGCAACTCTATTACCATTCTCTGCGGATTTCATAAACCATTGTAAAGCCATATCAGAGTCGACAGGAACCAATAAACCAGTTTTATAATATTTTCCAATCGAAAGTTGTGTGTCGTAACATTTTCTAGCGTATTTACTTTTTTTGTGATCATTGATATTAAACACCTTTTGTAACCAATAGAAGTTTTTTTCCAGGTCACATGGATCCTTCTTAAGCATAAAGATTTGAGCCGGAAGGTAGTCTAGTTCTGCTGATTTTGTAAACCACTCGTAAGCTAAATCTCTGAAGTTGCGTTCATCATTTTGTCTAAGGATGTAATTTAAACCTATTTCATACATGGCAGGTCCATTCCCGTTTTTTGCTGAGCTCATGAACCACTCAAAAGCCAAATCGATATCCACCAAACGACCGATCCCGTACTTGTGGAGTTTTCCAATCCAATACTGTGCTTCATAACGTTTCTCAATAGAGCTGTTTTCTTTGTAAGAGCTATTGTCAGCCGCCTTTCTTAACCAGTGCATTGATTTGTTATAGTCCGTCAGATCAGGGAGTTTGGTAAAAGAGACCTAATTCCAGTTGTGCATCCACAAAACCTCGTTCAGCAGACTGCGTGAGCCAATAGAGTACCAAATCCCCTCGTTTTTGAACCCCATTTCCTTCTAGGTATATCATACCTACTTCATACATAGCTAGTGTATGGTCATTCTCTGCAGACTTGAGAAACCATTTTAAAGCCATTTCACAAGCATTAACGTCATTGAACCCAGAGGTAAAAAGTTTTCCAATAAAGTATTGTGTCTCCGGACAATATATGGCATACCCACTTGCTTTATGAAAGTCAACATTATTCCCCTTGTTTGACCAATACCATGACTTTACCTTGTCAATTAGAAAACCTGTATGAAGATAAAATTGGGCCAGACGCATTTGTGCTGGTAAGTATTCATTTCCGGCTGATTCTAATAACCAATGACTTGCCAAATAGTTATCCTGTTGTACGCCCTTTCCGTGTAGGTAACATACACCCACTTCATACATGGCAGCAGCGTTTCCATTCTTTGCGGACTCCGTAAAATATTGTAAACCTAACACATAATCGAGATCACGAACATGGAGTTTTTCAATATAATACTGTGCTTTGTAACATTGATGAATACATTTGCTTTCCTTGTGAAAGTTTATATCAGCAGCTTTATGTAGCCAATGCATTGCTTTTCCATAGTCACAAAAAATACCGGTTTTTTGAAAAGATATGCCCAGACATAATTGTGCTACTAAGGATCCATGTTCAGCTGATACTTTTAAACACCTGAGAATGGACAGGTGATCTATTCCGGGAACTGGGATTTTATACAGATACTCCTTGAAAATGAAATCCACGGCTTCGTGCAACCCGTTTTCTGTGGCTTTTATGAACCATTGTAAAGCCAAGGTACGATCCACGGATGTATCAAACCCATAAAAGTAGATTTCTCCTATTCGCAACTGTGCCCGAGCTTCAAATATCTTACAATCCTTTTAACAATCCTTGTATATGATCGTATCAGCAGCCTTTAAATACCATTGCAGTGCTTTCGCATTATCCGCATTTACACCAAATTTACTGTTAAAATAGATATGACCGATATACAGATTGGCATTGGCTGATTTATTTTCCACAGCCTTTTCAAACCAGTTTAAGGCTTTGATATTATCACAGACCCTTCCTTCAGCGCTGTAGTGCATCAATCCTAAATTGTATTGAGCGACCAAATCATTATACAGTTCATCGGCTTGCATAAAACAGGAAAAAGCGGATTCGTAGCAATTATTAAGTCTACAGGTCTTTCCTTTTTCTATAAGTAGATCCCTAGAATGGTCTTCTAAGATTTGTTAATATAAAACGAAGTCTTGATATGCATGCAGAAAATTTACTCACCCGAAGGTTCTGCAATCTGATTATCAAGCGACATGTTATTGTTAAAAAGAAAAGAAGATGAAGAGAAAATAATAACAAAAAAAAACATTTAAGGCACATTTGAATAATGTTGATGGGCTTAACACGATGTGATCATTGTACAACACTTTAAATTTACATACCAACAATGAGATAGCCCTTTTTTATAAGCTTTTGCCATCTCATTATACGTTTGTATCAGATTCTGAAGCACTTTTTAATCAACAAAAGCCGAAAAAAAAAGACTAGAGGTATGGTTCAATACATACTCTAAAGCAAAAAAGTTCATTAAATGCACAAGCTAGCTTTGTAAGAATAAAAAAAAAACAAGATGTTGTTCATCTAGTGACCAGACGACTTAGCCCAAGCAAATTTATTCATGTTAGTAAAATGGTATCTTGTACACATCAATTTGCATCATGAGCCGAATTTTTCTTCTCATTCAATGATATTTAAAAAAGTTAGTTTTGTGCGTTAAAATTGAATCAATAGATAAATGATAAAATTTAACATAATTATCGATGTTTCTGCACCAGGTTTTTTTTGACATGTAAAAAGAATACTCTTAATAGGTGAGGATTTTCAAGCAAGTCATGCACGACTCAGTGGGCGCTTCTCTTGTAAAGAGACAGTTCTTGAATGGAGTCGATATTCGAGAGGGCTGATGTAATTACAGGCAGTTGAGTACTCATAGCATATTAAGCAAAATAATCACTTCCGTGTGTATGAAGAACAAAAAGGACGCTGGAAACGCATAATGTAAGAAAATCATAATAAAGCTAGTGTATACATGTTTTGAGCCTAACCTTGTTTTTAAATCGAAACAAAAATAAACAGGAAAAACAAGTGCCCAATTTTACATGTGGTAACACTAGTGAATTCAATCAAAGCCTTTGAAATATTTTTATGTCTCAGCACACATTTTTTTATTTACAGGAGATCAGAGATCTGCAGTGCATATATCCTAGTTATAGACAGATCTATCATTTTACAGTATGGAAATTCAGAACTACAGACGGTTACATATTTTGCTGGAGCTTCATAAAAAAAAACCTTTGGTTATGACCTTACGTACGCTTTAAACTGAAAGAAGCATACTATAGACTAGTAGAAGTAATATTTCTAAAGTAATGTAATACATAATCAAAATCCTCATAATTTCTCACTGCAGCAATATTCATTCAAACTTATAAAACTGACAAACCGCGAAACCATCGAAAGGAAAATGAGCATCCAACATCGTCAAGCCGGTAAAGAAATTATGCTCACTTTGAAAGGTGCAGACACAAAGAGAAAGGAATATGTATTCTTATCTACAAAAAGTTTTGTTTGCTGGCATCCCAAGTGCTTCTACAAAAGTCACTAATAGATAATGAATAATTCAAAAACACAAGTGACAAATGCTTGAAAAAATAGAATTACACACATACCATATGGAGTTCAAAAAAAAAAAAAAAAAAAAAAAAAAACTGACGTGACTCGAAATCATGTCTTTTGCGTCAAAAAGAAAAAGAAAAAAAACTTTTTGTTAAGTTACTAGATCATGGCTGTTGAAAAGAAGAGACCCAGAGGTTTAAAAGGCAGCGCCAAAGCCAAAGCCAACAAGAAATCAAAGGTCGATGAGACACCTTCTGAAATCCCTGAAAATGCTCAAACTGTGGTCATTGACAAGGTGGTTGAAGAAGGCGATGAAGTTGGAGAAGCTGCCGCTCTTTATGAATCCGCCATTGAGAAACTTGGCAAGTTTTCGCGTGTTTTTTTTGCTTGTCTTGCAACTTGTTAACCACTTTTACTATAAACAATAGAAACAGACGCCGCCGCTGCTTTACCTTTGTTGAGAGGTACCATTCACGAATCCGATCGTATTCTTCGCAACCATGAATCAAGCACCCCTTTGCCCGCCTTATTCTACTTTACTTACGGTGCGGCATTATACGAACTCGGTCGATTAACCGAAGACGAAGAATTTGAGCCTTACTTGGACGCTGCCCAAGAACGTTTAAACACAGGTCTTGAATTAAACGACGCTACGATGGAAGACAAGATTCGTTTGGCCTTAGCCAAGATTTGGTTGGCGCAAGCAGCCAGTGCCATCTCACAGGGAGATGAACAGGTGGATACGATCCCCGCATTATCCACACAAGCGTTAGCTACGTTGGATTCAGTCATTGCGAAAGGAGATGTGCCTGCCAAAACCATGATTGAATTAGCGGATATTGTTCAAAATCATGGTGATTTGTATGAAGATTTCACCTCACGTGAGGTATTCAGAGTGTGGGCAGAAGACGCATTAAATAAGGTTTTGGAAAAGGAGCCTGAAAATGCCAGTGCATTGTCTGAATTAGGTCTGTGTCAATTATCCTTGGCCAACTATCACTTGGATCATGAAGAAGAAGAAGATGATGAAGAAGAAGAAGAGGAAGAAGAGGCAAAGACAGTATTGACACAAGGAGAGCAAAAGGCATATGATGCAATTTTGAACAGTAAAGGCTATTTTGAAACGGCCAAAGATTTGCTTGTCAAGTCTAATCAGGTGTCACCTCAGATTTTATCGGATTTAGCAGAGACTTTATTGAACCAAGCCAATCTGGTATTGAAGGAAGAAGAGCAACTCGAGATCTATCACCGTGTTGTAGAAAATATCAAGGAAGCCAATGCTTTGATTGCCGAAAAGAATTTGGATTTCATTTTACCTGAAGCATTAACTTCATTTTTGGAGGAATTCGAGTAACTTTTTTTTTTAAAGCTCCTTTAAATTGTTTTGTCCCTCCCACACTTTTTTTATTTTTGATATCTCTTTTTTTCTCTCTTTACATAAATTTTTTTTTTCTTTTATAAATGAGCTCGGAAAGAGACCCTCTTTTAAGAGAAGAAGAAGACACCTCGTCGCCACCTTCTCCTCCTTCCGTACATCGAAGTTCTACTGAAGGGAAATTTACCTTGTTAGAAAAAGTCTTATTTGCTCTTGCCACCACGTTTTTTATCACCCTTTGTATCTTGGCTGGACTCTATACCAGACGTGTCTATGAAGAAAAGCCTCCGGCTCATAACGTACCTCCTCCCACTACTCCCGGAGCCAACAATTCCTCGGTAAGTCTTTTTTTTTATATATATTTATGCGTGTGTGTGTGTGAATATTTAGTAAGCTAAAACCTCTCCCTCTTTTTTTTTTTTGCTTCTCCTCTTCGCCCCCTTAAAACATGATTAGCCTGTTTGTTTAACCCCAGATTGTGTTTTAACTGCAGCTCAGATCCTCAAGGTAAACTAGTTTATCATTCTTTCCCATCACATCGTACTGACACAATGTTGAACACAAAAAACAGGATATTGACATGACGTTGGACCCATGTGATGATTTCTATCAATATACTTGTAAGTAAAATTTTGTTTGTGATCCATGCACGAATTAAGGAGAAATACTAAACCTACACTAAATAAAGGCAGCAACTGGGAAAAGAGTCACGAAATTCCAGATGGCAAATCCGCCATTAATTCATTCGGTCTACTCAATGACCACAACAAGGATACATTGCGTGCTATTTTATCCGGTACCTTTCAAGACTTTTATGATCGTACACACGCCTCGACTGGTGGATTACCCGATCCCGAAAAGGTGATTGATGCACAAAATTTCAAAAAGGCCAAAGATTTATTCGATTCCTGTATGAATGAAGACCTCTTGGATACTCGTGGGGCTAATCCTCTTTTGCCTCTCTTGAATGAAATTCGTGATATCTACCCAGTCAAGGACACAGATACACGTAAATTAACTCAAATTTTGTCTTATCTCGCTAAACGAGATATCGGCGCCTTGTTTCAAATCGCTGTGGATGCAGATCCCAAGGACCCCTCCGTGAACTCTTTACAACTCTATCAAGCCGGTCTTACTTTACCTTCCAAAGTCTACTATACACAACAAGAGACCTTGGATACCTTGTATCAGACCGTACTCGATACCTTGAACCTTGTCTTCAAGAACGGTGATCATGACTTGAAGAGTTCAGCTGAGTGGATGGCTGGTGCTGTGGTGGATTTTGAGACCAAATTGGCCAACATGAGTCATTTACCTGAATACTTTCAAGACCCTGAAGCCACTTATAACCCCATGTCCTTATCCGAATTAGCTAAAATTGCTCCTAACGTCGATTGGGGACTTTATGTCAACCATCTTTCTCCTACCAATGCCCCACATCCCGGTAAAATCGTGGTGACTTCCCCAACCTATATCGAACGTGTCTCTTCCGATTTGCTCTCGCAAAATGCACGTACATTACAAGCTTATTTCCTCTGGCAAACCATTTATACTTACTCGGATGCACTTGGACAAGACATCCGTAGTCCCATTCATCGTTTGAAATCCAAGCTGATTGGAACCAACCCTAAATCGGTGAAACCTCGTTGGGACACCTGTCTTGACGAAGTGAATGCCTCCATTGGATTTTTGGCGGGTCGTTACTATGTGTTGCAAGCTTTTGGTGGCGACGCTGCTAAAAGAGACGCTGATGAGTTTGTAAAGTCTATCAAGGGAGTGTTTGTGGATCGTTTACCTGAATTATCCTGGTTAGATGAACCCACACGTGAAAAGGCGTTGGAAAAAGTGGATTTGTTGATCCGTAAAGTAGGGTACCCAGATACGTCACCCAATGTCATGTCGCCAGTCTCTTTATCCGGTTACTATGGCGATTTGAGCTTGGACAAGGAGGATTATTTTGGTAATTTTTTGAATGCTCGTCAATTTGGTATTGCACAGGAATGGCAACAGGTAGGCAAGACCCCCGATCGTTCGAAATGGCTCATGAACCCTCAAGAAGTCAATGCGTATTTCAATCCTTCCTTCAATGAGATTGTGTTCCCCGCCGGTATCTTGCAAAACCCCTTTTTTGGCAATAATTACCCCGAATACCTGAACTATGGCGGTATCGGTGTTGTTGTGGGACATGAATTAACTCACGGTTTTGATAATCAGGGTCGTCATTTCGATGGACAAGGTCGTCTGATTGGTTGGTGGACAAATGAAACAGCTGTCCAATTTGACGAGAAGGCGAGTTGTTTTGTTAATCAATATAGTAATTTCACCATGGTGGATGAAAAGGGTCAACCTATTCATGTGAATGGTAAATATACTTTGGGTGAGAATCTAGCAGATAATGGTGGACTTGGGCAATCGTTCAATGCTTGGAAACAACGTTATGACAGTGACAGGGAGAGCAAAGTCTACAATAATGTGCGTTTACCTGGTTTGGATCGTCTTTCTCCTGAACAGTTGTTCTTTGTCAATTTTGGTCGTATTTGGTGTAATAAGGTCACACCTGCTCAAGCTAAGAAGGGCGTAAGTTGATTATTATATGATTCATGTAAAAAAAAAAAAAAAGTAATAGTAACCCTTAAATCGTATTAGGTGCTTACGGACGAACATGCTCCTGCTAAATGGCGTGTCAATGGCGCTGTTCAAAACTCGGATATCTTTGCCAAGGTCTTCCAATGTCCTTCTGGTTCTCCCATGAATCCCAAAGCTAAATGTGAGCTTTGGTAAAAATAAAATCACTCTTTTTTTTGTTATTATTGGTGAAGTTTCTCCTTTTGTTTCTATATTGACCATGACAAGTATTTTTAATAATGCATCCTCTTTATACAACAAAAAAAAAAGGGAGGTGGGGGCTGTTGTTGCTAAAGGGCGGATGAAAATGGGAGAGAAAGGCCTCTTTTATAGGAGCAGCACAACCAACCAACCGTGACTGTGCTTATTGCAGTAATTGTTGTCCTTCCCTCCTTTTGTGTGTTCCTTTTTTTTTCTTTTCTTTATTTCTCTTTTTTTTTTTTTCATTCATCTTTTTTTTTGCATATTATATATGGATAGTGTACGTACGGATACCTCTGGATTTATTTTACCACCTGCCAGAGATTTGATAAGGTCTTCAGACGAAGACAAAATGATGCTTGACGGTAAAAATAAAATAAAATAAAAAATAAGCAGCGTTATCGTGGGCCTAACAATGAAAGAGAGAGTAGAACCTCGTTCCATGCACGACGAGTTTATTCGACATGGGCTCTCTGACCTTTCCATGTCTCGTCAACATCCTATATCTCCACTCGAACCTAAAGATTATAGAAGAAGAGCTTCGGTCACAGACTTGCAGCATTTTCACTCGCGACGTCGTCCTTCTTTAAATCCATTGCCATTACCTAATCATAGCCACCGTGCTGCAGGCACCATGACGGAATTTCAATTTCCAGCAGCACCAACAGGAGCAGCAACAGCCAACCCTTATACTTTTCCACCGAAACCAGCGTCATTGTCTCCCAAACGACGTGATTCATTCACTCACCAGCCTCCGGAAAAAGAACACGCCATTGTTCATGCACCACCGGCGTATGATCCCTATCAACGACGTCATTCGATTGCAACCGCCGATCATCCATACCAACGCCATTCTGCCAAATACCGAGGTAATCTCTAGATAGATTGTATTTTTTGTTTTGTTTTTTTTTAGTGCGATATTGATGTGCCCTGAATAAAAAAAAAAAAAATAGATGTAGGATTTCGTTTTCCAGCTACGATTCAAGAAACACCGCATTATAATAATAGTAGTACATATTCTGCGCCTCCCAGTCCACCTCAAAGTGGGCTGTACCCCACGGGTGAAGTGCATCGGAGTCATGTGTCAAGGATGGAACCCTATCTTGGGCGAAGAGCATCTATGCCGAACACTGCGCACAAATCCAGCAGACGAGGATCTGTGCTGATGTTGATGAGCGACGAGGAAGATGCGCGTAAAGAAAGTCCATATTCTCGTAGTCCTGAATTGCGCGTCAGTCATAAATTAGCTGAACGTAAGCGGAGAAAGGAAATGAAGGATTTATTTGATGAGTTGCGAGATTCTTTACCTGTTGAGAAAAACATGAAGACCAGTAAATGGGAGATCCTCAGCAAAGGTAAAACATAAAAAAAGATATATATATAAAATAAAACTAAACCAGTTTTTTTTTTGTTGGTTTTTTTTTGGGTTTCTATTTTAGCGGTGGAGTATATATCATTGTTAAAACGTAGAGATTTTGATTTAGAAAATCAAGTTTCAGGTCTAAGACGAGAGCTTGACATGATGAAAAGACGATAATAATTTTTTATTTTATATTTATATATATAATTAAACCCTATTCAACAACATGATACCCCCCACACACACCCTCTCCTCCCTATTTTTCTTTCTTTATAGTGATGTAAACCTCAATTTTCTCACACACATACACGCACATAGACTTACATATCACACCACATGCCAACAAATTAAGTGATTGTACCCAAATTCTCAATCATTTGGGGGACATACCCCATGTTTTTTTTTTCAAAAAAAGATTCGTTGTCGTAAAATGGAATAGAAATATTGAGACTGTATGTTTTCTGGTCAAGGTATCATCACTGGAGAGTCAGAGGGTTTTACCTTGATACATTTTAATGTTGTTTACGAAGAGACTTTTGAGGCATTTTGTTTAAGATGATCCTATCTGGTTGTGATACTAAAAAAAGTATTTTCGCCTTGATGATCCAAAAAACCTTAAGACCTTGTTCTTGACAGGACCATTAGGAGGGCTAGATTAGCATCGAGAAAGCCGACAAATGAGCTCCCAATTCTGTAATGTGTATGAAGCTACTTGGGTTATAGAGAAATTTACTAAAAAAACATATCGATGATCTTTCATCATACAAACTAGACATCTCTGTAGCTTCTAATCTGTGATAAGTAACAACTTGGTTTTTTAAAACATAATCAACATCAACTTTATAAAAAAACTTCCCTTGCATTTTTTTTGTTAAACATCCTATCAATTAAAAGTATACCGCTGTTTGTTAGAGATTTTTCTTTCGCATTACTGTGTCATCGAGGCTTGCTTCAATGTTAATAACACTATTTCTGGTGCTACGCTGGTAAGTTTATCGGGTACCTTTCTTCCTCGAGCTAAATTTTCTAAGGCTATTCAAAAGAAAATAAGATAACGTTAAAAAGGAAGAACGAAAAGTGAGTGGGAGGTTGTGCGTTATATACAAGGGAAAATGATAATCTGACATTATGTAAGCTAATTGTTTGTGAATGTATAGCCGAGCGTCTCTTTTTATAAAAATATTGGTGTATGTAATGCTACGTATGTAAATTTTTTATCAGTGAATTTGCAATATACACTCATTCAAAGAAGTACAGTCGTTCCAACGCCAAAGGGCCGCGGTTTTGATTTATCCAATAGGCGGTTTGATTTTACTCAAAAGACGGTTTTTATTTTTTAAAAAGGTGGTTTTTTTTATTCCAAAAAGGTCAATATTAGAAAATATAGTGTTTTACTTGGTTTTCAGACTTTGTCTATTTTATTTTGGACAAGGTCATTTCTATTTTACTTTTTTTGGCTCCCTATTCATACCTGTGGTAGGACAGAATTTTCAAAAAAATTGACCAATTACATTTAAAGGTACTTCAATTTTTGATAAGATGGGCGCAAAAAATGTTAAGATTGATTGTTAAGATTGATTGTTAATCTTAACATATTTTTTTTTTTTTTATCTTAACATATTTTTTTTTTTATCTTAACATTTTTTTTTTATCTTAACATTTTTTTTTTATCTTAACATTTTTTTTTTTATCTTAACAATTTGTTCTGTTTCAAATTATCAATGCCGTATAAAAAGGAAAATCTCACTAATCTTCTTCTTAAGAAGACTACAATCTTCTTAACGCTATCATACCTCAGAACATAAACCTGGAAGCGATCAAATGTCGAAAGCGATGCTCGCAAACAAAGAAGTAATGAACTTGATTTTAACATCAATCATTGGTAATCATTGTGCTATTTTAAAGCGTCCGATCATTATATATTAAAACATTTTTTATCAATAGGCAAGCACGCCAAGGGTCAGTATATGCCACGCACTTGTGAGTGGATCGATGGTAAACGTGCTGATATGATTTATGGTCCAATGACTCCTCCATCAAATTTGCTACCACCAGTTATTGTAGAGGTCCAAAACGTTGTCGATGAGTTGTATATGCACCGCCTTCAGAAATACTGTAACCATATTTATGAAACTTTTGATAATATTAAACCAGTTGCACTGACCATTTGCGTGAAATCGATAAGATGGGCGCAAAAAATGTTAAGATTTATTGTTAATCTTAACATATTTTTTTTTTTTTTTATCTTAACATATTTTTTTTTTTTATCTTAACATATTTTTTTTTTTTATCTTAACATATTTTTTTTTATCTTAACAATTTGTTCTGTTTCATATTATCAATGTCGTCGGTGATGGGTAAAAATAATAATAATAATAAAATACTAGATCTTTAGAGTTTGTATTTAATTCGCTTATTCATCGCATAATTAAGTTAAATAAAAGCTCAAAGGAGCACTTATTCTTTAGTGTATAACTGTACAATTAATTTCAATTTACTTAAAATCGACATATCATAAAAACTTTAATTGGTTGATTTGACTCTTCCTACTGTCTTCATTCCAGTGTTCTTTTTTCCAGCTTTGACTTTACTTGATGATACGTAATGGAAAATGTTCTAGCATCCTTGTAGTTGTTGTAGTGCCCGTTGGCACGTCCTTCATTGAAACACTTTTTCCAGTCCATGCGTTTGTGGTCCTTCATCCAGGCCATAACAAATTCATCAACTACATCCATATCACGTCTTTTTTCTTGTGGCTTGATTTGTTGCAGTACTTCAACCGTTTGCCTTCCGGCTGTTGGAGTCACTCCATCAGGAAGATCTGGAGGAGGAGGAAGGGCAGTTGCTGAAGTGCTTGAAGATTGCTGTTGGTACTTGTACAAACATGTATCCATGTACACCAAACCTGCACGAGTATAGTTTATTGAAGTTATTGTTAGCAGTTGCGCCTCATTTTTTTGTTAGTTACTAGAATATGCGTGTTTACAAGCACGTTTTCAGTCCAAATAAAAGACCTCATGTTAAGGTCATTCACTTGTACCAAATGGAGTAATTTTTTTGTGTCTTTTTTTTTTTCCTGCCCTCCTTAAACTACTTATGCTCCTTCTTCTACGCCAATTTTTATACCTCCCTTCCTTGTAGATGTAAAAAAAAAAAAAAGATATGCCAATCAATAAAGAGATACTATCCATCCTGATTTAGAACCGTATGAATGGCCAATTTTGTTTTTAAAAAGGTATCCAGTTTACTCAACTGGGAAAAAAATTTGCTGTGAGTTAAAACTGAATACCTCATCATTCCAGTTATGAAAGCCATATGTATGTCTTCTTCACTCACATCCCAAACCACCCTATTTTTAAGAGAAAAGATGGCAACCTGTGCATTTGATTAGGCTGTAAAAGAGAGCTTAATAACTAAGCGCTCAAGTTGGATGACTGAATGATGAAAGAAGAGAACATTATCATTTGGGGCGAATCAATGACTTATTGGCCTATACTTCAAAGCATCAAATAGCACCTTGTTTCGCTAAAGATTGAATTGGAGAGCGCACTCAAGAAACAGATGTAAAATTTGCTACGATTTTTATTTTTTGAAAGCTATTCCATGTAATAGCATCCTTTACCCCCTTGACAATGATGAAATCACTTGCAAACGGGATTGTATGCTCCCTATACACACACACACATACATGTACAAAGGAAGCTATATAAAACATGATGGAAAAGAAGGCTATTTTGTTTTTTTATTTGTTCATAGACTATCAATACGTTGAAAAGATCTTCCACCTCTTGGCCTCTCATGCAACTTTGGGTTATTCTTTGCAAGGATTTCTATTAAAATAAGAAGATATATAAGCTATCATTTCACCCCACTTTTTGTGATATAAAACACATTTATATCATACCTCTGTCTCGTTTGAGAAAATCCACATCACAATCATGTCTATCGGGATACCGATGACGATCACAAAAAACATACCCACATCGACATTTATTCGCTGCTTGTTTAGCCAAAGGCACCTAGATTTTTTTTTAATTGTGTTAGTCCCTCCAAATGGCTGTGTGTCACCCTTCCCTCATTGATATACAAGGAAGAAGAAGAAGAAGAAGAAAAAAAAAAACTTGCCTTTAATCGACATTGAAAACATCTTCCTTTATTCATCTGCACTGGTTTTTCCGGTAGCGATGTTGTCTCTTCTGTTTTAGACGGTGTCACTGCCGCTACTGCTGTTGGTACTGTTGTATTTGAAACCGGTATTAAAGATGAGGAAGGTGAGGGATCTTCATTATCGGGTGATGCACTACGCTTTCTTAATGCACTGTTCTCTACCTCTGTCCCTGTGGTCATTGGTGTCGTACTACTGCTACTGCTATTGTTATTTGTTGGTAAATCTTTCTTTTCCGATATCGTACTACTACTACTGCTATTGGTGGTGGTGGCGAGGGTAGCATCGGATGCTTTTGCTTTGTAACATTTCGAGCACATGTTATTAAATGATGCTGTACCAAAGAATCCACATCCTGCTGTGCAAAGAACAGGTGAATTCGTGTTCTCCATTTATATATAAAATAAAATAAAAATTAGAAGAGAGAGAGAGAGAGAGGAAAGGGGGGAAAAATACAAAAATAATGATACAACATTTGGAGCGGGTCACTAAGGGACATCCCGGGGTGCGCCTAGTCGAATGATAAGTTATCATCCATCATCGCCTTTACACATGATCTGCAAAAAAAAAAAAAAAAAAAGAAAAAAAAAATGATTACGATAGAACAAGAAATTTCTGTCTGTGCGTATTCTAGCTTTTTCTTCTCGTTTAAGGGGTCAACCATCACGCAATACGTCTGCCCAACGAGTAGTGTCTATTTCTCGTTTTTTTTTAAGACTTGAAAAGGAGAGAGCGTTGATGAGAGAAAGGGCCCTTTGGCCTTCCCTCAGAACAGCGAAATAGTATAACCTTCACTCTGATAGTCTCTTAAAGTGTGAAAAAAAAGTTAAGAGCTCACCAATGATGATGTATAACCCCAAAAACATGACTCTAGTGCAATTTAGAGAAAATACAGGATTAAAAGACTGTTGAGTTTTCATTATTTTGACCTTGGTATTGCCATGTTTCTATCCCTTGGGAGTAAGAATCATATCATACCCCCCCTCTCTCTCTCTCTCTCTTTGATAAGATGTGGTTCTTGGTTATCGAGACGCAGATTATCAATGGTTTTGCCAGTGATTTTTCTACCGCAAAATGTACATCCTATTTTTATTTTTATTTTAACTTTATCCGCAAATGACTACACTTTTATCCCCCCTCTTCATTGCCTCTGTCCAGCCTATATGAAGAAAGTATTAATAAACTATTTGTGATATTAGAATAGATCCACTTTTTACTTGATATAATCCGGTATAATAGCCTGCATAATACCAGGCCATCATTAAGTTGGATAAGCCTTCATCTTGTCCCATCATTGGTGGTGGCGGTGGTGCTGGTGCTGGTGGTGCTGTGGAGCTAGTCAATGGTGGTTCGTATCTTGGTTTTTTACTCTGTCTTTTCTTTCCTGTCTCCTCTATTGGCCTCTCTCTTCTTTCCTCCTCTGTGGTATCAGGTTGGTAAGGCACCTCTGTGGCATCGATCTCCTCTTCATAGTACACTTCCTCCTCCTCCTCTTCATAATACACTTCCTCCTCTACTTCTTCTTCTGGATCATCTACTGGCTCCTCCACATTAGACCATAGGCCCACTTGTGCTTCCTGCGTACTTTCCACTTTTTCTGTTCTACTCTCTTGTTGCACAGGCTCCTTTGTTGGTGATGGTTGTTTAGGTATATCTTGTTTTGCTTTTACTGGTAAACTGTCAAGAAATGAGCTCGTGACTAATTCAGAGCTCTGTTCTTCCTCGTTTTCCACATCGTGATGTTTCTATAAAGTGTGTCAGTACACGTGTGTATGTGTGTGTGTTCAAGCACCTTAGTTTACTTTACTTGGTAACTTGACAAGGACGCATTCCAATAGTCAATGACATCTGTATCCCAATCTTTAGGAATCTAGACTTTAATTAACAAAAACTTATTTTTCAACACTCAAAAAAAAAAAGTGCTAACCATTGTATTTGACATTCTCACTTTGAAAAAAAAAAAAAAAAAACTTTCTGAGAGAAAGGAACCAGAAAAAAAAAAAAAAAAAAAAAGAGACAGAGATTTTAATGACGGAGTAGGGCTTTTAACCTTTTAATTTCATCATGTAAGTCATCTAAACTTGACTTTAAGGTCTTGACATCGTCGTATTTTCTATCGATGTTTGCTTCACGTATAAATCCTTCTACTAGATTATACTGTTCGACATAGGCCTTTAATTGAGCTTCTAGCTCCAGCCTCTCACTGGACCCACTGTTGTCCTGGTCCTTTTTCTTCTTATCTGATTTCAAGATACGAGGCAACATTTGAAGCGGCAGCATGTTCTGCTGTAGATACGCGTTGGCTGCATAACAGATATTCGACTGTAAACGTTTCATGCAGCCTGAATGCACAGGTAATGTCTTGATACTTTTGGCCAATGTATCGTAGAGTGTAAAATTATCCAACAAAGATTTCCGAAGTTGACCTGCCTTGATAAAGCTCTGACGTTGTAAATGGCCTCCTTCCTTTTCCAGCATCAGAATAATCTCGTGAAATTTAGGTAACTGGCGCTCAATGTTTTTACGTGTCATGGCCAATTGATTGTACAGTTGGATGATCGGTAAAGGTTTCGATGCTTCTTCATGACGCAGTTTTCTTCGAAACACTGAGCGTTGACAATCACGGCATGCACGCGTATCTCCCACAGGTTCATCATCAAAGGTATCTATTTTTTTTTCTATCTTTGTTAGCTTTTTTTTGCTACATCATGTAGAAGAGTCACTGCTTTACCAGAAGACATGTCGAGAAATAAGGGAATCATTTTGGAACATCGGACGTTGCCACATACCACTTTTCCACATAGTCGACAATGATGCTTTCGGTTTATCAAGGTAAATGAATTCCTTATATTGAGACGGATTTAGATCAATATGCCCAATTATACAAACTCACTTCTTTTTTTTTTTGATATATAAATCTACTTTACACACAGTAAGGACATGCCTTGACGGATTTATCCTCTTGCCATTTTGTCACTGACTGCTCTCCATCTATATGAGAGAGTAAACTTGAGTTCTTACATGTATAATTTAGATCGTATGCTTTTTTTTTTTTTTGAATGTTGTTGTTTTACCTCTGTATTTCAGCTTCATACTCAAAATACTATTACTATTGGAAACAAACGACGATTTGGGGGACAGCATACTGCCCAGACTGTCACGCGAAGAATCCGATCGATGGTCGAGGGAGAAGCTATTAAGAGAGGCACTACTGGGAGATAAAGGTCGCTTTTGTGGATCAACGGATTCATCAGCATGATGAATCTTTGCGAGTTTCTCTAAGCGCTTTTCCAGACGATTGCTTTCGAGATAGACACGATCGATCGTCTTACCACGTTGTTTCAAGAATTCCTGGGTTCGACTTCGTGTGGCCCCGCCGGCTGTTTCGGCGTATCCAGGACGACTCACATAACAAGTCATACATACTTTACACCAAATCCCACCTTCTGGATCGTGTTTCGCTTGTCGGTCCAGTTTCATTTCATATTGCGTATGCGCCTCACAAAACAATTTACCACATCTAGTAAAAGAAAAAGAAAAAAAAAAGTTTACCCTAAATGCGCTATGGAACATCCAAAAAAAAAAAAGTAGATAGATACTTACTTGCGACAGTGTTGCTTGCCTACACCTGCTTTACCCACGACCTTATTACAGTCAGGAACATGACAGACGTCTTGACCGGTTTCACGTTGCCAATGGTCTCGTGATACGGTATCTGCTTGTTGACGATCAACGGTATCGGAGACGAAGAAAACGGGTTGGTTCCCTAGATTCAGGTTACTGAAGCTTTGTAAAGGTTCTGCCCATTTCGAAGGACCGGTGCCTATTTTGGGCGTAGCTAATGTGGTTGTCATTTTCTTTTGAGCTTGACGTAGCCATGAGAGTAAAGCGCCTTTTGAATCCTCTTCATTGTGTTCCACATCCAGATGCTATTTAAATCAATAAAAACAAAAGGGGTGGGAGGGGGGGAGACATTGGTTATTTGCAGGTTTTTTTTTTTAAAAAAAAAACAGATAGACAGTGGGTTAGACACTTACTCTGTTTAGGTTTTGTAACGTGTGGCATTGAACAAGACAGATGGGACAGATGATGCCGTCGGTCGGAACATTGTCTTGATAAGTGTATTCATTTAATGGTTGCCCTGATGTCATTCTATGTAATAAAAAAACCCCGGGTTTTCTCTTTTAACACACACAAACACACACAAAAAGAGATAAGGGTAAAAATAAAAGAAAGAGTTCCACAAAACCGGAAACATTTATGCTGCGGTGAACGAATTGTTTTTTGTTCAAATGACAGGGAAATAAAACACATGGACATATAAACATAAAATGTCATTTTAACAACAATAATAAAAAAAAACATGATTTTTTTTTTAATCTGTGTTCACTCTTATAATCACTGCAGAAAAAAAAAAAAAAAAAAAAGCGGATTTCAAGTCATTCTATTTTATGCCCAGCATTCTTCTTGATACTGTCCTGTCTTGATCATGTTACTAAAATAGGTTTCAGCCTCCTCTGGATCCAAGTCCCCGTATTTCATAAAGACCGATTTTAAGGCAAAGGCTACATCCTCTGGCATTTTATCCGAAGAGCCTGATAAGACCACTTTAGCACCTTCACCATCAATCCAATCCCATATCACTTCACCGCCCTCTCGAATCTTGTCCTGTACATAGACCTTTTTATCAGGATCGTCGCGAGAACATGCTGTCCACAAGGTGAGTTGTCCTTTTCCCACATAGTCCTCCCATTGTTCCTTGTAATGGTAATCTTTGGCGGCATAGCGACATCCAAAGATCAAAAGGTTATCATATGCACCTGCTGCTATTCTTTCCTCGATGAAACTACGCATGGGTGCTACACCTGTACCAGGTCCGATAGCGATCAAGGGAACCTGCGGTGGGGGTAGAGTCATGGTTCCCTTGGTGATACGTACGCGTGGCACGACCTGTCCCTTTTCCAACCCGCTGAGCCATTTGGTAAAGACACCGCGTCGAATACTTCGCAACGTAGTTTTATATTTGACAATCGCGACGCATAATTCCATGGTAGCCGGATGGACCTGGAGACTGGAGGCGATGGAGAAGGAGCGTGGCTGTAAGAGCGGGAAGAGGTCCAGAATGTAGTGAAAGGGGATCACCCAAGGTTTAAAATCAAACAGGATTTCAAACACGGTACGACGTGGTTTCATGCAATAGGACCATAAATCATCTTGTCCCTGTGGGGAAGCAAATTCACGTAATTTCTCTGTGAAATTTTCATCGGTGGTGAAATAGGCGAGCATTTCAAAGAAGGAACGACGGGGTACACCAAAAATGTCTAGATGGTAGACAAAGAGATCACGGAAAGTCATGGTGGGTGGCCAATGCGGTGGTAACGTGAAATCTTCATTTGTAGGTGAGATATGGATCGCTTCGTCTGCGTGTTCGGACCAACCCATGGCGTCCAAAAAGACATTGACGTCGCGGACTAGGTTTTGTGGCATCATGACGGCAATGTCTCCCGCTTCATACCCGAATCCTTCTTCGTTCTCCTCACACGAGAGTGAGACATGACGTACGTCCTGGAAATGATCGGAAGCCGTGATGCGCTTGTTTTCTTTGATGATCAAGTTGAATTCACCGGGTAAAGTGACAGGTGGTGTACTCTGTTGTAACTCCACTTTGGATAGAAATTCCAATTGAAAGCTGGGAGGTAGCAAGACATCGTCGGGAATGGCGGGTTTGTCCGTTGGGAATCGTAACATGACGGTGTCCCAGAGAGTTTTGGACCAAGGGATAAATTCGCCGTCTAATCCCATGTAGTGCTGATCGTCACAATCGCCTCTGTCGACGAGTAATGTGGCACCCAATTGTTGTAATCGTTTGTATAACTTTTTTGCTGGGAAATTAAATCTAACATATGAAGTTATGTTAACTTTTCTCTCTCTCTCTCTCTCTCTCTCTCTCTCTCTCTCTCTCTCTCTCTCTCTCTCTCTCTCTCTCTCTCTCTCTCTCTCTCTCTCTCTCTCTCTCTCTCTCTCTCTCTCTCTCTCTCTCTCTCTCTCTCTCTCTCTCTCTTGTTTTATATCTAGTTTACTTTTTATAAGAGGAATCGCCTAATCCAATCACTGCACAGTTTAAATCAGCCAGAATATCATGCGGTAAATTCTTACGTAACAAGAATCTCCAGAATTTCTAAGATTTGGGCTTTTTTTATCAGTTTGGCAAGTCTTTTTTTTTTTTTATAAGGTGTACCTTCATGTTGGCAGGTTCAGATCCTTGACCTGTGGTAGAACAAACAAAAATCACGAATTCTTCTTCAATTAACAAGTTCTGGGGGGAAGCATCGTAGAGGTAGGATGGGGTTAGTCATCAAACCCGCAAAAAGGCCCTTTTTTTTTGTTAAGAGACAAACCTTGTCGTAATCATCCATGGCCATGACTTTGGTCTTGAAATGACGATGACGAGCTTGTCTTCCCAAGGTTTCTGCAACATCTTGAGCACACCCTGTTTCGGATCCATATAAAATAACAAGCGATCGTGACATGATAAAAAAAAAAGAGAGTTATCTCTTTCTCTTTGCGGGCCCCGGACTTTTTATTTATTTATGCCAGATCCCAAAAGATCTGATAAAGATCTAAACGTGGGAGAGATACAGTCACAGGGTTAGCATGCAAGTATATATAAATATAGATATATATATTTTTTTGTTATTTATTATATGTTGGTACAAGTAAATACAAAGCCAAGGTGAATTATGTGGAAGAAAAAAAAAAAAGAAGGAAACAAAAAAAAAAGGGTAATGATAGTTATGAAGGAAAAAAAAAAAAAAAAGTAAAGTCCAGAGAGAAAGTGCACGATTGATTAATGCTTTACAGAGGGGCCACTCACACTACCATGTCTAGGCTTCTACAAAAAAAAAAAATTGAGTCCATTGTTCATCCGTTCAAAAATGAATAAAACATACACTGTGATTGGGGACAACATACTGAGCGCCTTCGACCTTTTGAGGGGATTTAGCATTTGTAAATTCCTTGATATGCTTAAACTGACGCAGCAAGACATTCATACGATCTGTAAAGACCAACTTCTTTTTATCCTTACGATAAAAATTATAGGCCCAGAACTTTTCCAAGCCATACAAATGTCCATGGTCGTAATCAAGCACGGTCAAGGCCTCAAAGTCCTCAAAGATCTCTTGTCTAAAGCGTCTTTCAAGGCCATAAGAATAGTAACGGAACAAGCACTCCAATCCATAGCGATAATCATGGTTAGCATCCTCTACAGCCAAACGCTTGAACTCATTATACATGCGCTTATTCCAATGATCACGCAAGAAATGCGACCAGAAACGAAACAAGGTGTTCATCTCTTGTGATTGTCCCACACCCAATTGCTTACGCTCCCTTAATGCCTTGGCATGATATTTGTGATACTTGTGTTGTACAAATCCCTTATCGCGTAATAAATCATGACTTGGGTGTTGGAAGCTGCCAAAGGAGTGTGCCATTGTATCCACCGAACTCGAAAGGAATCCTTCATTGGGTAAAGGTGATTTACCGAGACTGGTAGATAATACATCGTTTGGATTATAATGATAGGCTTGATCACTCAAGACCCAACCTACATCACCTTGCACTTCCTTCTTTTGAGGGATGGTAGAGGTAGATAAAGAAGCATTGTTGGGTGATGAACGTAAATGTCCAGCCGTGTTGGGAAGTGACTCTGGGCCCAAGGGATAGAAACGAGGTGCGTCCTTCTTTTGCTTAATGGGTTTATTACGCTGTTGTTGTTGTTGTTGAGGTTTACCCGATTGTTGTTGCTGAGCTGCTGAGAAATGTTGCGAGTCCATGGTACCGACTTTAGATTGAGCCTGTTGTTGTCTTTGACCTAATCCAGATTCATACTGATATAATCCCTCATTAATCATATCGGAGATCTCATCATTCATCTTGCTACGTTCAAAGGATTGATGGGAACGGTCTTTTTTACGTTGAGTTACAATCATGATACGTGCAACGGTATCGTCATCCAATTCAAAATCATCGTCCTCTTCTTCTTCGTCGGAAAGGTAGTATTTCTTGACCGTGTTGGGTCGACTTCCATCTACCCAATCATCATCGAAATCAAATAAATCATCTTCTTCGGTTGTGACTGTAGGAGTTGGAATTTTTGGGGTTTGACAGGGTAATGTGGGTACCTTGGCGGTGGCTAAAGACGCTAAAGTAGGGACCGCAGCAGTCGTAGTAGTAGTAGTAACGGTAGGAAGAGGAACAGATCGAGTGACAGGCACATCACTCGTGGTAGACGTAACGGACTCTGACATAGGTTTAGCCGCAGCAGCAGCCGCAGTAGCAGTAGCAGCAGGAACAGCAGTAGCAGCAGCATCAGCAACAACAGGAGGAGGAGTGGCAACCACGGTGGTGGGTCCGGCGGGGACGGATTGGATGATATGAACAGCATGAGGGGTGGTAGTAGCAACGGTACCAGCAGCGGGTAAGACCCATGTTTCCCAACCTTGTCTCTTACGTAAAATCTCACGGTCCTTGTTAAAGTCCAAGATGGTTGAAAGCTCTAGCGAGGCATGTACCAAGGTCATATCCGTGGTTAATCCTTTGACCCGATTGAATCCAGTGATTAAGGACAAGGGAACATAACCTTCTGTATCCATTTGACTACGCAAGAATAAATCTTTACAAAGATTATCGATACTGAAATAATATTCAATTTGTTGAAGTACGTATAATTTCAGTGTTTCAGAATCCACTTGTTGTTGTTGTTGGGGTCGACTAGGGTTGAAACGACGTCCGGTGGGTGGAGGACCACGACCCCGTCTGACACTGTTACCGGTTGTGTTACGCTGTTGTAATACTTGGGCAGGTTGAGCAGCGGTATTGGATTCCAAGGGAAGTGTGTCTCCAACGGGTGAGGAGACTTCCTTGGTGTTCATCAAGGGTTTAGCCTTTCTTGCGGTATTGACACGATTATTATTATTGTTGTTGCTATTGTTAGTGGTACGGTTGACGTTGCGTCCGGAAGAGGTAGAAGGTGTAGGAGTTGAGTGGATAATGGTAGGAGTGTAAGGTTTCCATTGACCTTTGCCAACTAATTTACTGGATGAGGTTAATTTTTCTTCGACTACTTCTTCAATAACTTTAGCTTCTTTAGGTGCAGGCCAAGAAGCGACTACGAGGGAGAAAAAAAGGAAGGTTTAGTATGCACACACTTAGGTTTAAAAGAGGGTAATGTCTTACTGTTGGAAGTTGTTGTTGTTGTTGTTGATGATGTTGTAGTTGTGGTAGTGGTAGTTGCTTTGAGCTGCCAAACGTTGACATTAGGTATAGGTGCCGGGATCTTTTTAGGGGTAATGTCTTTCACCACATTTTGTTCCTGAGGCTTTATTTCTGAAGTTGTATTAACCATGTTTCTCTTTTTTTTTTATATGAATTCAAAAAAAAAAAGGGTTAGGTGAATTTTTGTTGTTGTCCGTCTATTGGGGAAGGTATATCAAAAGGGAAAGAAAAAGAAAGTGATGGAATATATATCAAATAAAAAATTAATAAAAAAAAAAAAGTGTGTGTCAGGGTGGCTTGTCAAGTATACAAGATCACACAATACATGTTTAACCCCTTATGTGAACTCCTTAAAATCCTTTCTCATAAATTGAGCTTCTTTTTTATTTTTTTTTATTTTTTACAGTTTCCTGTTTCCTGCTTTTCCTGTTCCTGTTCCTGTTTTTTTATTTTTTATTTTTTTTTATTTTATTTTTTTTTGATACCAACACTTTTTTTTTTTTATCTGCGTGTTGGGTTCCTTACATCATAATATGGCGTGTTGTCAAAAGTCCGTGCCTGTATTTTTTTTTGTAGTGTTACACATGGTTATTAAAAAAATTAGTTCTCTTTAGACAAAGTCAAGTGTACCTTATTTTGACAAACCTCTTGTTTTTCATATGTGGATGTGGATTATTAGCCTTTGGAATGATGGCCACACAAGCTAAATTCAATGATGCTATCCTAATACCTATCAATATCCTCAAAAGTAAAAATAACCAGAAAACATAAAGAAAAAATAACCTTTTCTGATCTCTTTATACAAAAATCAGTGATTACAATACTAGGTTTGATCCTCATCTTTACCTCGCTGGTGGGTATTTTAGGTGGTTTCTACAGAGAACGAAGAGCCATCCATCTACTGTATACAACACTTGTTCTTGTAGCATTTATATATCAGATATCCATTGCAGTAATTGTTTATGATCAAGCTGCACACATACCCAACTGGTTAAGCGACACATGGAATGATTCCAGTCGAGAGTATAAGCTCTTTGCACAGAAAAAGGTACAACTACACATCGGAGAGAGAGAGAGAAAATATTAGCTGATATCCCCATCATCATTTCCCATCTAAATAGTTTAGCTGTTGTGGATTCTCTCATACATTAGATCATCCTGTAGCAACACCCACTTGTATGCCAGACCACGTTGTAAATTCGGCCCAACCTTGTTATGAATTACTGACTCATTTTATCCGAGCGGATCTATCTCATATCTATATTGCCTTATTTACAGGATTGGCGATTGAATTGTTAGCTCTTTGTAATGTGATTACCCATCTATGTTCAATTGATAATATGACGAGAAGGAAATGGGAAGTGAGTCCTGAAGAACAACGAAAATACGTTCATGATTATAATCTTTCTGCTGATACCTTGGTTGCACCTCCTTCCATACAATCCAAGTCAAGACAATTCTAAACCTAAACCAACACACACACACACACACACACACACAAACTGGTTTTTCCTTCTTTTTTTCTGCTTTTAGAACCTAACAACCCCCCTATTCCAAAAACCTCCTCTTTTCTCCTTACATCAATGTACTTTAACCTTTTTCAAACACCTAAAAAAACCTTTAGATAGAGAATTGCTTTTCTTACCATTAAAAAAAAAATAGCGATTTGAGTTTTTTCGTTTTGTCAACAAATAGTTTAATAAGATGTGCTTCTTTTTTCCAGTTGTAATATTTTACAGTAATTCATTGTACTCCCTCTTCACTCTCCCCCTTTTTTTTTTAGTTGCCTCCTTAAGCCAGCGCCCCCTTTCCATCTCTAAAAAAAAAAAAGAAGGGAGGAGGAGGAGGGTAAATTCTAATCTGCTGCTTTCCAAAGGTGCATACAATGATCGTAAAAAGAGCAAGACGCCACTAAACTTGTATCAGCAAACGACCAATCAGCACCATAGGCCATAGAGGTATGATCTAAAAAGCTTGTCGACACCACAGGCTCTTCATCTTGTTTTAAATCCACCACAAAGGCACCCGCATGCATTGAGGCCGATAACAATCGATTTTCATTGGTTGGATGCCATTTCAATCTCCAGATACCTCCTCCAGGTGTTTGACATGTCTGAACAGGTGCTCGCATGGACCGTGTGTCCCAAATATAGATGGTCTCATCATAGCTTCCCGTAGCCAAGACATGTTCCTTGTTAGGGTTGGATTGCATTGTCGTCACTCCCATCATGTGTCGCTTATATACAAACGTGGGGTTAGAAGGGTCTCGTATATCCCAACCTTTAAATAATCCATCATCCGCACCCGAATACACAACGTTGGTATTCCAGTAATCAAAAGCGGCAATCCATGCTTCTAAATCGTGCGCATGCCAATCCTCTCCAACCACATAGCCACTCTCAGTGGGTGTTAAAATGTTGACAGTACCGTTCGAATGGGAAGTGACAATACGTCCGTCTGTCTTGTTTAAACGACTGGCCCAGTCCAAAGAAAGACAGAGCGTTGAGGGATCGTCTGTTGCTTGTACATGATCTACTTTTTCCAATGTGTTGTTCTCGTTGAATCCGTACATGTGGACTCCACCTTGCGCATCGGCGATACCCAACACTTGCTTGTCATTGACAAGCGCATGACTCCACTTCATGTCAAGCACAGCGGGGGTTTCGATAGTTTGTTGTGGGATCAGGGGTTGCGTTACGTCAAACAAGTAAGTCTTGCCTTTACGAATGCGGACATTGGCTTCTTGTTCGTCCGTGAGTTGGTAGGTACCTACGGCTAGGTATTGTGCGTGGTCTTTGAACGGACAAAATTCGGTCGAGTCAGCACTGTAGCCCGTATCGAACGATGCAATGGAAGCTGCTTGTGTCATGATTGGGGTAAAAAAGATCAAAAAAAAAAAAAAAAACTTGACGCTTTCCAATTTACATACATATACGCTTGGTTTCAAGCACCGAATCTATCCTTTGGAAAAAAAAAAGTTTGAGCCTTTACTTTAAAGCTCGTCATGCAAAAAAAAAAAAAAGAGTCAATCATCCCGTAAAAGCCTAGAATACTAAAGCTGGAAAAATAGAAATGGTGTCTTTATGAAAAGATTGATGATAAAGTATGTTATGATAATTTTACTTTTAGTTAACATGATCGAATGTAAAAAATAAAGATAATCAAGCCCAAACATAAAAATTACATAATGATTTATTTGAAGATAGGTAGAGGTATTCCCTTATAAATCGTATAGTATTCTTCTTGTACTTCTTCCTATAATCCTCTTAACTGCCAGGAGATCGGAAGGGGGGTTGGGGTTCAATCGGGACAAATGAGGGCAATGAAGCCTGTGTTGGTTTGGGCGACATTGCCATGGACGGTGTAGTGTATACCGCCCAAGGTAATTCCAGCCATCCTTTCAAAAAAAAATAAAAGAACGAAATGCATCCTCCGAAGAAAAAGTGCGAAAATGAGATGCTAAATATATATATTATTAGCATCATCATGGAAGAACGCCTGACATAAATGACAAAATATTAGTTTAATATCACACCCGATGATGCTTCCACATGCTTACCTCGAATCGACGTTTTTTGCTATCGTCGTTCTAGGATAACGTGATCCAGGATTAGTATTTACATAAATAAGTTTAATTTGACCTTTGTAAGGTTTTTTAATTGTTAATATGCTTACCTTTGATTGATAATAGTTTTGTCGGATTTTGGAATGTTGGATATTTCTTTCGATATCTTCATTAATAATGTTATTTTCCAACCTTTTCTCCGCAAAGTACTTATATGCTTCTTCTGATACTAAAAACTAAAATGGAGAGTCAGGGTAATTATTTGACTACATATCTGTTAAAGAACACAAACCTTATTTAAATGAAACATATATTTATCAAGGTTTTCCTTAAAATCTATATAGTTCTTCCTTCGCTTCAAGTTCTTTAAGGCCGCTTGAAAAGCTGCTTTGGCATCTTCCTCCGTTGTAAGTGAGTATTTTGTTAGAATTTCAGTTGTGATTGGAAGAGTTTCCAAGTTGCTAATAGTATCTTGGGTAACCATTAAAGAAAGACGCGGTTTTTTTTTTGCAGAAAATATGCTTTACCATTGGTATACTAGTAGAACACTGATAGACAACTACCCCGAGCAAGTCGGTAACTTGGTAGTTGCCTATCAGTGTTCCAGTAGTATATACCAATGGTAAAGCATATTTTAAGAAAAAAAAATCGATCATCCTATAAAGTTAAGATGATTTAGCTTGTTAATCAGTGTAAACATATTTTTTGGACTTACGGATAGACCATCACGCGAATCAAAAAAGGAAGTTTAAGAAAACACGGAGGTCTAAAGATTCAATCACGACATAATGACGTCCACTAAACGACCTACGCCATCCAGAGGCTTAATATTGCCCTTTTCCATCTTGAAGTTATGGAAAAGCAGCAACAGAGAATAAAGGTCTTTGGCCTTCTTCTCATACCTTCAAATCTTGTTATTGCTCGTCTGTTAACTTTTTTTAGAAATTTAAAACTTACCATGCATAATTAAGCTTGGATGCTGTATTGCCAAAGACCTTAAACAGTGGGATAAATATTTCCCAATACGGGGATCTTTCATCGTTGATTTGATAAATCCCGGGCTTCATACAATTAAGTAAGAAATCGACCATGGAAAATTCAACGAAGTTCAAGAAAGGAACATCAGGAACATCTCCCAGCTTTTTGAACATGTTTTTTTGATTCCAACTAAGTATGCGGATGATCCAGTCGACAACATCTGTACCAAGTGTATGGAGGCAGTGGAGATTGTATTGCTTGTCTAACATAATACTAAATTCATGAGATGTTCTTTCTGATGCATCAGCTATACAACTGCTCAAACAAATATCAAAATACGATCTTGAAGATGACAAGTCTTCGACCTGTATGATTGGCTTGTTCGGGGAGACCGGATGAACGGATGGCGTTTGGAGTGCATACAAGTTTTTCTCTTTGACAGCACTCCAGACATTCTGATAATTAAAAGTTATTAGTTTACATTTAAGTATTAAAATATCAAATCAAGAAGTTTACCTGTGATTGCTCAACAGACGGCTTTGGTGGTCGATAAGAGTAAGTTTTTTCTCTTACATCTTTAACGACCATTAGCGGATCACATGACCTTGTGCTAACGACAGTGCACCTAAGGCTCTGTCCTATTATAATTAAAAATTGTAAGAAAAAGGCTTACAGGTAGCAGGGGGGAGGGGTCTTCATTATATAATGAAGACGAGCTTTACCAATGATATCGCACCATGGGAGAAAGAACCTTTTGGTAAAAATAATAAGAGTAATATTTGTTAGCATTTCTGTGAAAAACAAAAATTTCTAATTGTGAACCAACCTTTCCGCAATGTCTGTGTCTTTCTTTCGTAAAGATGAAGCTATGTACTTATGAAGGTGAAGAAAAAAGGAAAAAAAAACACGGTTAATGAGTTGTATTTATAGACTGATAAACAAGAGTTGGTTTATGTCAGGATGACTTAATCCTTTGTTTAGTCACACATAATTTTAAGGCTTTACTTGTAGAACGTATCTCCGTCTTATTTACAGCATGTCACTTGAAAATGTTTCTATTTTAAGTAAAGGCCCAAACATGGATTAAGTAAAAAATTAAATCATTCTGACATAAGCTCTTGTTTATCAGCTTACAAACACATCTCGTTCACACACTTTTGATTGAATCATCTTATAAGTCTCGTTCACACACCTTTTTCCCCCTTTTCTTTTCCGTCAACATACTTGTCTGTTTTTTTTAATGGAAGTTAAAAGGTTGGTATATAATAACTTTGTTTGTTCAAGAGACACTAAATTATAGATTCTTTTTTTTTAAAGATGCATTGCCATTCTTGGGATATTATGGCTGTGGCTAGTCTTTGCTATGGGGCGATTCTTTCCTATACTGGGTCCTTGGGTTTTGGGACCCATAGGAAGGAAAGACTGTAAATGGCTGTGACTACACTTTAAATGGGTATTACTATACTGGCTTGTTGGCCTTGACCAGCATTGCTGTAAGTGATATATGAAAATACGGAGGTCTAAACATTTCTGTATGCAAGACAAAACATGTTAGTCTTAAACGATACTGATCTACTTTTTTTTTGTTTTTACTTTTTTAGGTACAATAATTCTAATTCCATATCACACACTCTCAACGACACTTTAAAGAACATGAAAACTGGATCAGATAATCTAAAGTTTTTAATTTCAAATTACCGCCAAGCTTCGTTTGAAACTGTTAAGAAAATACACGTATACACATGCCACATTATTCAGAACAAGATGACGCTTGTGCGTTACAAGGTATCCACACCATCACTGTGGCAAGTACTTTGATGTCATTCTGCGACCGTCCCCACCTCTTTCGCTACCAGGATTCAACATACAAGAGTCTTTGATGATTCACTGAACATGCAATTCAGCACTAGATATTTCACTTTGCTATGTTCTTCATCGATGCGAGAACCAAGAGATTTTGTTGTTAAAAGTTGTTTTAATGAGTTTTTTACACCCATTTAAAATACTTTTACAATGAATTCCTTTGGGTATCTAATAATAATAAAGGACACCAAGCCTAAGCTTGACCACGACTTGGTTAACATCTTCGAACTTTTCGCGTTCCTACTAGTGAGTACTTAAAGAGTATTTTGCTATCACCAATACTAACCCGTCTTTATTTAAGCTGGATATCACTGACCAAGAAGCTGTCTTCAACCAGTTAGAACTGGAATTGTCGGGGTTAATACGAGTACCATCAGATGAGACTGTGGCTCATTTATTAATGTAAATAGTAATAAAATTAGCTCATTTTAGTTTGTTGTAAATTATCAAAGCTCTTTTGTTTATCGTAAAGAACTTCTTGTAATATTTTTTGCTTGGGCAAAAAGCTCGGTACGACAGATACGTTACATGATAATTAATCTGAATGGATACGACCGTAGGCTTTTTCTTGACCCGATAATGGACCAATACTAAAAACGGAGGATATACGAGTTGTTCATAATCATTTTCATTAACAGGCCATGATCAGCAAACGAACTACCTATAAAAAAACCTGTCTAGTATGGGCTGATTATTGTCAAGGCTGTGACAGTCAAACGGCTACTCAAAATTACAGTGAAGAAACTGGTATTGGCATTGATTAATGAAGTTGAACGCCAATCTTTTAACGAAATAACATAACACATGATTGTATCCACTCTGAATGAAAACTCCGCAGAAGTGACAGAGGCCAAACTTGAGCTTGTGTCTTTTTTAAATATTTTTTCTCTTAAACCAATACATCTATAGACATGCCACTATAAAACTGGTGCCAACAAGTTTATAATAGTTAGTCGCAAAACACCTGTTCACCATCTCGAAGCTGATGAAATAAATAGTTGTCTCTAATGACACACATGGGACGTAAAACTGGATCTGCATATATGCATAGACCTCTTTACCATAATATTATACGTGTTACTGGAAACCGATGCATGTGATGTTAATCGTTTTTTCTGTAAATATTAAATTATCCTTATTTACCACACGCTATTATTAGTTAGCTGTTGCTGCCAAAGTTGGTGGTTTTGACTAATCCGCTAACCAGAATGACACTGACGGCTTACTGGAAATGATCGTAAGAGATGTTCAGAAGGAAGCCAAGGAAGTTCTCGAAGAAGGTAGTTTAAGGAGTACAGTTAATTTCATTTTTACTAATATTTTATGTAAGGCGTCTTCTACCAAGGTCAGCTAGAATGATTATGTTTTAATCGAGCCTTTGGCTTTGGATCGTTTCTTCACCTTCTTTGCTTGACATCAAGTACTTAACCGAAATGTATATAAGGATCTTCAGCATTGCTTTTTAAATCACCTAAAACCTCAACCATTTTTGTGAACAAGCTAAAACTGTTAGATTTTATATCCGCTTATTAGGATAACACATCCTGTCATGAAGAAATACATCGGTTATGCTCTTAATTGTGCGGTTTATCGATTTACTACTGCTGCTTTACTGGGATAATATGCTTTTACAGTCCATGTATATCCTCAATTAACTCGATATAACAATGAGTCTTCTGTTACAAACACAAGGAACCGAGATGTAAACAAGTACCCTTATCTTTTCAGAAAAAAATGCCTATGAGGGGGATGTAGATAATATCAAGCACTGTCAATTGAGAGAGGTGAATGATAGCGTGACGTCGGAGACATGAGATAAGCATGTGTAGAAATACGTTACAATGGATGTCGACGATGAATCACCTTATGCGCACCAACGAGAATACAATTTCATGTTGACGATTAAGAAAAATTGGCTGTAATTATACATCAGCAGCAGGTAGAATTTGCCGCGCTTTGTACTAGATTATTTAAAGTTGGATGATGGGGTTGACAAAAAGAAGAAAAACTGGTTCCGTCCCTGGTCCCGGAGAGCCAATGATATTTTAGATGAGGTGAATTTTTGATTTTAGCGATAGGACAATTGCCGGTTAAAAGAAACTTGTATGGAAGGAAAAAAGTAAGTGAGTGAAATAAAGTTGGAGATGCGGTTGATATAAATGGATAAGAGTTATCAAATCATTAACAGTCATCGGACCCTGTGTACAAGCTGTCTTGAATTTAAAATAAAATGCAAGAGTAATTTTTGTAAAAATATAATTCCTATATACCGCCAGTCATGGTCTTTTACATTGTAGTGTTATTACTTGTTCTTTATGTGGAGTGTTTGCAGCATCCGAAGGTCCCATGATAATTGCAACACTAATTGACCCATATAACTCTTTTTCAAATAATTTATTTCGAGGCTGGCTAGATTATATTTTACGGCAAACAATCGACAGAACCCAATTAGGAAGAATAATAAAGCCGAGCCTGCGGATGATTTACATAAAAAACATTGTTCAAATTTTACTGGAATCACTTGTAGTGCCTTTTGAGTACATAGTGTTCGAACTTTTCGAGCCTGCATCGATCTTGCGCCAGTTCGAGCAAAGCTCGAACCAAGTCTTTGTACTCGAGTATGCGTTATATTTTTTTGGATTCGAGCGATCTTCGAGCGAGCATCAATTGAAGCTCGCTCGGTTATAAAATTGATAGTCATCACTTCTAATTCAAGGCTGCAAAAAGACGGAAAATAACATTTTCTATTAAAAATACTCTCAACTTCATTTAATTTTAATGGTTTAACAAATGCATCTAAAAAATCCAGTCTTCTCAAATAAATGAAACAAAAATTTAAACTAAACCTCATTAAGCAGAGCATTTGTACTGGTTGTACAAAAAATAAACATGACAATTTCCGCACAAGCAGTATCAATCAAGCAACCCAAGTAACCAAAGGGGTATTACTCCAGAGGTTTTTTTTTTTCTTTTTTTTTTTTTTTTTTTTTTTTGAAAACTTATGAGAAAGCAGCCGAAGTGAATTAGTGGACCGATGAAGATAAGACCAATATAATTTCCGGAAGCTTTAAAGGGCAGCTCTTGTAATGGTTCGGCAGTAGAACTTTTGGAACGTTCAAGGAACTGAAATCAGCTTTCTTAAACCATAAGGGTGTCAGGCTGTTTTGCATGGAGAAAAAAATAAAAATAAACCAAAAAGTGATACTGTTAGAAGGACGAAAAAATATAATTAAATACGTATTAAAAATGTATTGATGGTCTATGAGAAAAAACTATGAATATTTATATAAAGAACTGGGATAGTTCTAGGGAGAATAGTAAGCGCCTTATTGGATCATGATGTAATAATCTGGTGATAGTAAATAATCAACATGTCTTTAAATTTAGCCCTTCCATACTGCGTATAAAAATATTAGTCAGAGGGATCAACAGTTATAACATCAAATGACAAGAGTAATATTTGGGCTCGGGATCTATTAATATTCTATAGTCCAGGCCCATTCGATTGTATTGCTTTTGCAGAATAAATTTTTATTCGCCACAGGAATGTGCCCTGTGTACAGACTCCAACGGCAGGATGAGAACAAGCGGGGTAATGTGTGATTCACGATTGACTTTTATATTTATTGTCCATCCTAAATGTGATGTGACAATTAACTTTATTATTATATCTATGATATCCTCAACACAGGCTAACACCGCAAAAAAATTTTCTGGTAGAAGTATAATATGGACCGCGAAAAAATTAGGCCAGAGGTCGAGGTACATAATTTTGTACCTGAACCAGCGGTCGCGGTAATTATTTTGTACCTGGACCAGAGGTCGCGGTCCATTTTTGCATGAAAACCGACCGGTACTTCCAGTTTCTGGCGAATGAAAACATCATAACCTTATTATTTAATGAGATGGTATTGGAGGATATTCTTTAGATGTTTATTAAATTAGGGCTTTAACCCTTGCAATACTAGATGGTTTTTACAAAAAATAACATTGGATATAATAAAATATAATGGGCAAAAATAATGTTTATAATGGTTTTTATTTAATAACGAAATAATCGGTGAATAATTTATACATGTATAGAAACTATGGAACACCTATTTGTAGGGATATGTGTATTGTAAGGATGACAAACAACATCACAAAAACCGGACACCATACATAGTAAAGTGTCAGCTGTCCTGGTGGTATATGGAGACTGACAGATGCAGAAGTGGTACGTAACTATGTATATGACTTACCTTTAATAAAGCTGAATTAAACTAATAAAGATACTGTTAGAAAATATAAAGACGGTTTTAAGTTTTTTTAAATAGACTTACACCGTAATTGACAATCATGTATTTGAAGTGGATAGCAACCTTATACGCGAAAAATAAAGTAGTAAGTTAAGCCATAACAACCAGCGGGATATAACAATATTTCTGGCAACTTTTTAGTTCATTGTGAGGATGTGATGTTCTCATGTCCTTACTATATTTTTTAAAAGAAAAATTTTGTTTGGGGGAAAGAAGGAAGAAAAGAAAAAAAGAAAAAAAAAACTCGTTTATATATGAAAAAAAAATTAAAACCCAATGGGGATTAAGGCTTAGTTTTATTTTTACCACTACGAGGGCACTTGTTTGTAACTAATGCTGTATTGTGCTTCCTATATCAGTTTAAGAAAGAAATAAAATGTACTGCATTCAACAGTTCGTTTATTCAGACCACTCGAAACCTAGTTAAAAAACTTGATACTTGCCTTGTTACAGCATCGACTTATGCAGACACTCTATGTATGATGAAAGGTATTAAGTAAACTACTTTTTTAATATACTAACATAATTTTTCACCTCTCATTATCGTTTTGTTCGTCTTGCACTTCTAAACAATTGATTGGATCATGTAAAGGGCTGATCGGTTCCACCTAATTCTCTAGTGTAAACGCTCGTCTATCACAGAAACACGAGAGGCTTTTGGATTTTTTAAAATGTCCCACATATACGACATCTATGCCATGACGACAACAAATGACAAAACGAAAAGTAACAAGCAGTACCCATTCATTCCTCACTTCCTCAACCGTAGTTCCTTTCCCTTGATACTCTTGGATATTTAATGATTGCTGGGAATTCTTTAAAACAAAATTTCCGAGTTTTTTTTTAAATTGTCGCTATCAAACTCTTCCCAATGACAAGTCTTGATGAGATCTCTGACTCATCTGATAGGAATACGATCAGAAAATACTTCGTCTCCATCAAAAATAGCAACTTGTGCTTTCGAAAAGACTTTCCCGTAAAAACCAAGTCTACAATCTTAAAATATGTCCACATATGTTGAGGCAGTTTATGAAAACAAGCAATTTTAACTCTTTCTATCTTCATACATGTAATATATGTGGACATTTTGAAAAAAAAGTCTGTTCCCGCCTTTCAAACACTTTTAAATTTCTGAGGGTCTGTTTTTTTATTTTCAAGTTTTGCAAAGATGAGTCAGGCTTATGATGAGATGGCAAAAACTCATGTTGTGTCTACCCTGCCAAAGTCCATTCCAAGGTAAAACTCTTTAGTGAGAGTGAGGCAAAATTTGTTGTTTTTTTTTACTTGAAACGTTGTGTCTTCCACCGGCTTATTAATTTCTTCTAAACTATCAACAGTTAAAATATATTGTCAGAATAGGAGACGCTTTTTCAAAGGACATGCTAAATACAGCAGGAAAAGTTGGTGCAGTGTGTTGAGGATATCATAGAGATAATAATAAAGTTAATTGTCACATCACATTAAGGATGGATAATAAATATAAAAGTTAATCATGAATCACGCATTACACCGCTTGTTCTCATCCTACCGTTGGAATCTGTACACAGGGCACATCCCTGTGGCGAGTAAATATTTATTCTGCAAAAGCAATACAATCGAATGGGCCTGAACTATAGAATATTAATAGATCCCGAGCACAAATATTACTCTTGTCATTTAATGTTATAACTGTTGATCCCTCTGACTAATATTTATATACTCAGTATGGAAGGGCTAGATTTTAAAGACATGTTGATTATTTACTATCACCAGATTATTACATCATGATCCAATAAGGCACTTACTATTCTCCCTAGAACTATCCCAGTTCTTTATATAAATATCCATAGTTTTTTCTCATAGACTATTGATATAGCGCTAGTACGGATTTAGATTTAAAAAGGGACAATTATTATTATATAACAATTGTGATAGTGAGCACCAGACTTTTAGTTGTCAACTTAGTTTTATTATTTATTAAAAGTATTTCTGTAGTGATCTTAGACGATAAAATATATGGATAAGACAATAAAATGCAAATCGATAATAATACAGTGAGAGATGAGAAGAGAATATAGTTCTTAGATGTCAAAGAGAAAAGAGTTTACGACGGGTTTATGTAAGAAGATGATGTGATTGTATAATTTACAATAGACAACAAACAGCAACAAAAAGCGGAGGAAATACTACTAGTATCAATTACAAGATAAATCCCAAATTTAGGTGAAGACAAAACTAAAGAATATTTATTAAGAATGAAAAAAAGGAAGCGTATTTATAGGAAAGATCCTATCCTGTGTAACAACAAGCCACATTATTATTGGCTGCAACACTATTAATACATTTTTAACTATACAAACAACGATCGATTACGGTATTTCTTTTTTTTTATGTACCAAATTGATGAAATCCGCTGAGGCCAATAAAAGTGCTAATGCTATTCCTGAAACGGCGAGAAGAATTTACTCTTCAAAAAGATAAGTGGTACATCGAATAAAGAGCCTTCATCTCTTAATGTTTATCAATAATATCGATATTCAAGTTTCCTGTAGAAAAATCAAATAAAACCCAGTTGTGGTGTCTTTTGGTTCTGATTCTCTAGAGACGGTATCAGGAATTTTTGCTGTTTACCACTCTGGATCTCTCTTTTCTTTGGAGATTGCTCTGCACCCAAAAACTCAGGTTTACAACCTCTAGGGATAGTGCAGTCGTCAACAATGATAAAAAGAAAAAAAAAACTAATTATAACTATAAAAAGGGACTTGATTTATTCTTCATCTTTGAAGGGGTCGGTCCAAAGTGGTTGATCGAGAAGTTTGGTATCATTAGGCTACTTGTTATAAATTGTTTTCACGCATGACTTTTTTCTTTGGCCTTTACTTGTTATTTCAGTGACGTCAATGCAGTTATTCTATATAACGTAACTGTTAGTGCAAATTCCAACAGTTGTAAAATTTGAGTACAAACCTTGAACTGGCTCAAAGCACCCAAGAATTCCTGTATTCCGCCGCCTTTGATTTCAAGTATTGATGAAAGAGCTCGCATTTCTTTAAACTTATCAACAACACATCAATTTTTGTCAACCAATTGTAATTGGTAAATATCTGCTTCTAAGCCCTCACAAAGAACAAAAGGGATAGGTAAACGTTTGGCATCTTCGATGTCCAGTTGACCAGATTGAATGTGGTGCTTCAAGTGCAGCCAACTAAACATAACTGCACGCTTTTTGTCAGTGTAGTATTTACTTGGACGAAGTTGCTTTGCAAATTCAGCCAAAAATAAATCCTTCATTTTCTTGGAGAACCGGGAGATCACGCACAAGTCTAAGCGTGCGTGCAAACCAGCTTTAATGGACGCACTACTCGTGGACTCTCCCTTATCAGTGCAAGCAGTTTAGTAACTCGTCAAAAGTTATTTAGTATTTAAATAAAGCACTTACAACACACGATGACAACCGCTTTCTTGACTAAATGTTTTAATCGGGCATCTTAGGGAGAGCCGAATTATTATAAGGGGAAGCCAAAAGGCACATAGTCATAGACTAGTGACGGGTGCCTTTTGACCAGTCTGATTACATCTATTTACAGTCTAACCATCTAGTCCGTTCCCAAACCCAAGGCTTAAATCTAGATGGATACCATCCTAGAGCAAAGACTAGCCGCAGCCGTAATATCCCAAGAATTTCAATGTACCCACTTTAGTTTTTTTTTTAAAGAAAGAACTAATAATTTAGTGTCTCTTGTAAGAACAATAGTAATTAAAAACTTAAAATTTTACAGTTGTGGTATTTGACAAAATTAATACAATTGAAAAGTAACGAGTTAAAAGTATATCTTTTATTGGAGGCAAAAAATAGACTAAAAGAACTCTGCTGCTATGAAATAATTGATCCTTTTTATATTGCACAACTCTCCTGAGCTTTAATGATGAGTCAACCTTTCTGGTTTTGGAATTGATCTATACTTTGCTTCCCGCCTTGGGCTAAATAAATACTACTTGTTAGAATTGTTTCCAGTTAACGTTGTCCCATATCAGTGGATCGGGGGCATGAGTATTCTAATAAATCTTTAGTATTACGAGACACTTATTTATCAGATCATGCAACGGTTACTGTAAAAGATGCATACTTGGTTGTCGAGTGTAATTGGCAATAGAACATAATAGTTGATCATTTATTCATTATCTTTGTATTGAATAGAATACGATCCCAAATATAAAATGTCTTATCGATATTTGTATTTTTTGGTTGTAGAAGATAGGTATCCATTAATTCATACACTATTTCTTTATACTCTTTATAGGCAGTATAAATATATCAACATATAAGTAAATGAACCATTTATACTAATAGCTGTTTTATTCTCACTCTGGGTAGCTAATCCATTGAGAGAACTATTAATATTAAGTTTCTCTTTCTTATAATTCTTGATTTGATCTGAGAAGTTTCTCTTCTCGATCGGTGATATCGCAACTCAGTGGTATAGCATTCTGTATCCAATTGTCATTCGTA